AAAGCTCCGGCTGCCTCACAATCCACTGGCTGGACACGGAGTCAATCTCTGGTCTCTTCCATCACTCCTGGTCCATCTGGTGCCCAAACACCAAAGGCGCAAACATGTGGTTGCAGCAAGACTGTCACTGCTGCCAAGGAACCTACACCTGCCCCAGCTCGTAAGTCACCTGAATTTTCTATGTCTATCTGACATAATGTTCCACCTGTAGCAGTCCCATCTTCGACTTCCAGAGTTCCTCGTTCGGCACTCGATGTGCCAATGCCAGATTTGCATGCCATGGCAATGGCAATTCAGGAGGGTGCAGCTCGAATCGCCGCTCTCGAGGAACGTGTTGTTGAGCAGGATGCTAAGATTGACACCCTGCAATGCCTTCATGAAGGCCTTCGACGCGAAATCATCCTCTGGCACCCAACATTTCCACTTCTGGATTCCCAAGGTGATGCAACATCATTTTTGCTTCATCAACCTGTCCCTCCGGCGGTGTCAACCCCCGCATCCGCACTTTTCCCAGAGTATGATTCAGTTGAAGAGATGGATGTTCAAGTGAAGGGTGAACCTTCTGGTGAGGATGTTGACATGACTACATAATTAAATAGTCATAGATGTATATGCAATGTTTTCCATCAATGTTACCTTTGTTATCAGTGACTTATCGATTCACCGAGTGCCGAGTGCTGATGCCCGAAACCCGAGGCTTGAAACACACCGCTGGACACAATACACCATATGGTATTTCTTACAAATTTCATGGAGGTCCCATCACAAAACCACGAAACTTATCAGTGACTTATTGATTCACCGAGTGCCGAGACCCGAATGCCAAGTGCCGAGGCTCGAAGTCCAAAACACGGAATGAGTGGAAACCCACATTTCACAAAATTGTTAACATGGAAATATTAGATTGTCTTCAACAGTTTGCCGGAAGTCATTTTCCGATCCCTGAGCCCGAAACCCGAAATCTGGAAAACCCGTAGGGATTGGAAAATGACTTCCAACAAACTGTTGAAGACAATCTAATATTTCCATGTCAACAATTTTGCGAAATGTGGGTTTCCACTCATTTCGTGTTTTGGACTTCGAGCCTTGGCACTCGGCATTTGGGTCTCGGGTCTCGGTGAATCAATAAGTCACTGATAAGTTTCATGGTTTTGCGATGGGACCTCCATGAAATTTGTAAGAAATACCATATGGTGTATTGTGTCCAGTGTTGTGTTTCGAGCCTCGGGTTTCGGGCATCGCCACTCAGCATTCGGGTCTCGGGTCTCGGCACTCGGTGAATCGATAAGTCACTGATAAGTTCCGTAGTTTTGCGATGGGACCTCCGTGAAATTTGTAAGAAATACCATATGGTGTATTGTGTCCAGTGTTGTGTTTCGAGCCTTGGGTTTCGGGCATCGGCACTCGGCACTTGGCACTTGGTACTCGGTACTCGGTACTTGGTACTCAGTGATTCAACCATTGAGTTTCGGATTTCGGTGTTCTGGGAGTAACACTTTCATGTCAACAATTTTGCAACATTTAGTCTTCCACTCGTTTCAAGTTGCAGGTTTCAGGCCTCAGGTCTCGGCACTCAGGCACTCAGGTCTTGGGTCTTGGGCCTCAGCAATCGGTGAATCGATAAGTCAATACTGAATTCCAGGGTTTTAGGATCGGCATGCGGTGAATTTTGTAAGAAATTCCATATTGTGTATCGCTTCCAGCCCCGGGTTTCGTGGCTCAGGTTTCAGGCTTCAGGCTTCGGCACTTGGCACTAGGTGATTCAATCAGTCAGTGGTAACACTTTCGGTTTTGTGGTTCAGCTCTCGGCACTCAGTGATATGTCTCAGGACATTGATATTTCACACATTCCTGCGAGTATCTAGTGTCCAGTCTGGAGCTTCCGGTCATCGGGCGTTCGGAATTTGAGACAGTGATTTCTCGTTGAAAAATGGATGTTGTACCATGGGATTCAATTTTTGGGTGTTGGGACTCAGCATGCATGTCAGACAAGTGCTTTATATATCTATATAGTAAACCAATACCTTGGCCTATATGTCTACACAATATCTCCCTACCTTGGCCCACCCGTCTATGTAATATATTACCTCGTCAGCCCACCAGTCTATATCATAAATAATTTCCTGCACTCTTGGCCCACCCATTGATATAATAAATGTTTTACTGCTCGGCCCACCCGTCTGTACAATTCACAATGACCTCGGTGTAAAGAGCTGTTTCCTGCTGGGCTCAGCAGAAATTGTACTACCTAGACAACAAATATTTAGGTAGATCTTAGCACGTCCTATGCTGCTATACTTGCAGAGCAAGTGCGTTCGATCCTAAAGGGATTGCTAATTGGTTTTATTAGTAAAAAAATGTGTCAGATATGCAAAGAACACAATGTCCGATGGTGCAAAACGATGTCCAAAGGTAATCCGATGATGTCCGAAGGTACTTATCCAATGTCCGAAGCCAAAGTGCGATGTCCGAGATTTCAGACTTTTGGACTTCATGATAATAGGTCGGAAACTTTATAACGAGTGTTGGATTGCGAGCCATATGCGTGAGTATAACAAGTGACAGAGTATGACGGTGAACGAATGGTAATATTTCGCAATGCAACTAAGAACTATGAGAATATTCTGTGTGATCCGCAGAGTCGGGAAACGGCTCCTAACTACTGGATGATGATTGCTACGGGTCACTACAGAGTATTTAAGTAAGTATGTAGAAATTCGGAATACTACAGGCGAAGATAGTAGCGATATATTTCGGGTCTGATGTCCTATGTAACAAGACACAAGGTACTGTGGACATGTAATAACGTGGTCCGAATGTCAGAAAATGTGCATGGGAATAACTATGCACCTAGTGAGGCTAGTTCAGATGGACAGGACACGGGATGGACAAGTGCGCGCGAAGTGCGATTGGCCGATGCGATGTCCGAAGGTCCAATGTGCTGGATCCAATACGGAGTGGCTCGGACATGTGCGCATATGTTTTGGGTGTTGACATGAGTATGAAAATACATGGTGCTGAGCCCAGCACCGCGACCATCGCTACATTGGCCCACCCGTCTATATAATAAATATTCCACTGCTTTCTTGGCCCACCCGTCTACAAAATTATTCCTGTATGTCAGCCCACCTGGCTATACAATGTACCTTTACATCGGCCCACCCGTCTACAAAATGATTCCTATACATCTGCCCACCCGTCTATACAATGTACCTTTACATTGGCCCACCCATCTATATAATAATGATTGCCTCTCATCTCCCTTCAGCCCAGCTGTCTATAATATACATGTCCATCCTACTGTACATATTCCCCGGATGGGCCCACCCATCTCCATTGGTAAAAATATTCATCCCGGCCCATCCGACATCATCGAGCATATATATAACATTGGCATAGATGGGCCCACCCGTCAACATCGGAAATAATATTCCCCCCAGCCCATCTGTCAACATTGGGGATATACATCACATCGGCCCATAGTCCGCTGGCCCATCTTATACGGGATATTATGTAGGTTGGGTGACCCGTATAATATGGAATTTGTCACTGAAGGGGCTCCCTCAGAAGCCAGCAGCTCTTGTTCCACCACCTGTCCCTCCTTCACCAAAGGCCCCTTCTGAACCTCCTCATACCACAACACTTCATTGTTCTGGTCAAATTCCAGTACCCACCAAACATGGACATGCCTTGAAGGATTGTGTGACAGCTGACAAGGCAAGATTAGCATGTCAGTGTGAACTTAGAGCTGCGCGCATTAATGGTATTCCACCACCTTCAACGGATATTGATATGGCGGATCCACCCATCGTCACTACACCCACAGAAATGCCTGGGCCTCCTACTCCCATCCTCACAGACCCTGACGCCCTCTTACCTGAAAGTGAGGAGGTAGGTTTCCTGCAGGTCATTGCAAATCTCATCGTCGTTGAGGTTGCATCCTTGGTGATTCGCAGTGATACGCGACACAATCCCCTTGCAAACAGTTATGACCTCACTGTCCCACCTGCAACTTACGATGAAGCAATGCGACACCCGGATAGTGACCATTGGCTGGCCACAATGCAGAAAGAGATCAACCTCATGTCAGAGATGAATGTGTACAAATTGATGCCCTTGCCTGCAGGACAACAAGTGATCGGGTGCCGGTGTGTGCTCAAATTCAAGGAAGACTTGAAGGGAGGATCTGTCTTCAAGGCCAGGTTAGTTGCCCAGGGATTTTCACAAATTCCTGGCATCGATTTTGGATGCACCCCTGCCCTGTCGCCAAGTCAGTGTCCATTAGAGTGCTCACAGCGCATGCAGCAGCATATGATTGGGAGCTTGATTGCTTCAATGCTAAACACACATTCCTGTGGGGCAAACTACAGGAGAACATCTACATGTGTCAGCCCCTTGGCTTTGAACGTGTCAGAAAGTCTGGTTTTTTGACAGGCCGGTGTGTCAGGCCGGTGTTTCAACCTGGTGGCAGAACGGCGGCAGCTTGGCAAAATTATGTGGGGCTTGAAACTTGGCATCAGCTAATGCACACCAATATTGAACAGTTCAAGTTATCTTATCTTCCTCAGGCGTCCGTGTCCGCCACTCACCCCATTCATTTGCTGCTTAGGCCTTGTGTTGCGTCCTCAACCTGCCCCTTCCAGTTTCAATGTGCCAAGTCAAAGTGCAGTGTGGCGAGTGCTCTGCACTTGTCATACCATTCATCTGTAAGACTGGTTCGCATATTGGACAGTGGGCTGCCCATGTAAGTAGTTTTTATCCTAAACTTTCAATACTCGCTCATTACAATCAATCAGTGTTTTGCGCTTGACCAGCATGCCAATGGCAAAGCTTGGTGGTACTTCTGGCTGCCTGGGACTGCACCTATTGGCCTTCCCATCCCGCTGTCTCAGCCTCCCTCATTCGTTTTTTCTCCCACTGCCTCTCCACTGATTGCCTCTGGTTCATTGCAAATTCCTGCAGGCCCCCTTCTTGCCTCTGGTTCATTGCAAATTCCTGCAGGCCCCCTTCCAAGCCAGCCTGAAGAGGGCACGTGCACCATCCCTTTGTGCCACAAAGGAACACCTGCCAGGGGCCCACTCTGTGAGAACTCAATGTGCAAGTACCACTGCATCGAGAATGGTGGCTGTATGACGGCTGTCAAGCACCGAATAGAGTTTGCGAGCAAGCGCCAAAAGGGAAAGATGAGGTTGCCTCCATCATCGGTACTCAATGCACCGCCTGCACCTGTCACTGTGGAGGAGCCTGAATTCGAAGAGGTCAAAGACTTCAGCTTCAATGCTGACCTCCAGCTGGCATGATCACACTCTTTTGAGGACCTGATGCCTGTGCCGTCTGTTTCCACCACTATGTCCTCCTCTCCACTCGTGACACCATCCTCTCAGCTGCCTGCCATGCGGACTATCTCCAAGGATCCCAAATCAGTCACCCAGCCATCAGGGAAAAGCTCAGCCAAGGCCAAAGCTCAGTCAAGGCCACAGCGGACCACTCATATGAACGAGATGTGGTATGGTACCTACAAGCATAGTGGGCAGCTGACTGAGCAGATGGAGAAAGACCGCCAACGTGCTGCTGATAAGCTAGCCATCAAGCATGCCATAGATGTGATGTGGTGGGACAAGGACCGTCAACCTCCTGTCATCTTGTTGCTGCAAGGCAGCAATGGGCCTGAGTCTGACATTCCAACCTGGCTGCACTTCTCGCTAGCTGACAGTCCTGACCTCCGATCTATGCTTGGCGAGAACATCACCACCTTTGAGTATTTCAATATTTCTTCTCGTCTATGGAAGGCAGTGACACGGCTGGCCTATAAGTTCCATGTTAAAAATGGTGACTGTCTTTTCCTTCGACGTCATGGTGTCCTTAAATGTGCAGGCATCAATGAGATCATTGGTCGTCTCAAGGACCCAGCAGCAAAACCGCATCTTTTTCTAAAGATGAAGCAAGAACATAAGGCTGTAAAGTATTCTCTAGCACACATCAAGACCCATGGGCCACCATTGCGAACTCCCTCTATCATTGCAAAGTCTGACACTGATGACGAAGTCACCATCATATCGCCGCCTTCAAAACCATCCCTGAAGCGCCACCGAAGTATGGCAGAAAGCGATACTGAAGAGGAGGCCAGGCCTCGCAAGAGGTCGTGGTGCTATACCGATGAATATGGCATCTGTGACTTCCGTCCTGTATATGATGACTCACCCTGTCAGGACAGCAATTGCAGCTGGATTCCGTCCCAGTTACCCATACCCTTGGTCGGGTCGTTCAGTATCTCCACTGCCACCATCGCATCAACTCAGGACACCTCGCCTCCCATCACCAGCATCCTCGAGCTCATCTCTGCCAGAGATACTGAGTGAGCCTCTTGCTGACGAGTTGCAGCCATCAGTGCCGACAGCAACCTGGCCCAATGGTCTCTATGTTATAGACATTTCTGCTGGGTTTCAGAGAATGGACTCTGATGAATTGAAGTCCTTACCAGTCTGTCAGAGGTTTGAGATCATCTACGACAGAAAATTCAAGAAATCGACTTATAACGACACACGTCGGAGATGGAAGGAGGCATCAGATACCTTCAGGACTCAGCTGTATAAGGCAGGGCGCACACCTTCAGGCCTTTGGGATGTGTTGCGCAAGGCCATCCCTCTCAGGAAAAAGACAGCAGGCACCCAGTCACACGATGATGAAGAATCTGACGTTGATATTGACCTCACGCTGTAAGATACACACTTTCTCGTTCATTTACTACATAACTGTCTGTCGTCTTTGTATGTTACTTGCATTTGTTACCTGTCTTGCATTTGTATGTTACCCATCCATCTTGTATTCCCTCGAGCATGTTCACACATATTGTACCTGTCCCTCCAACTACTACTACCCTTCAAAATGTATATTGTGCGCAAGCTCTTCTCATTCAATGCCTATTTCACCCGCTCGTCCAGCTCCATTGTCTGCTCCGCTTGACTGGGATCTCATCGATTTATGTTGTGAACCAACTATCAAGATCATGGAAGGCTCAGTATCTTCCAGAAAGAGTCAGCCCCTTGATGTCCCTGACGAAACTCAACAATCAGCCAGCGGCTTAAGGAAAGTAACCGTGTTAATAAGAAAAACATCTTCAATACCCATCCTTTGTCATCAAAGGCAATATCTTGTGCCATTCTTCGACAATGGACGCCTGAAATCCCAAGCGATGTCGAAGCATCGAACACAGACCCTGCTTCAAATGTACCATCTCAGTCTTGATCGGTTTGCTGCAACTGGAGGTCCTTATGATGTCTGCAGCCTCAAACAGGCTCGAAGGGTCCAGAGAGGTAGAAAAAGAAAATAGTCATTGGCTTATGTACTTAGTTGTACATGTCTCTATGGCAAATAAAATAGGAATAGTTGTGAGCTCACCCAACGAACTCAAAGTTGAATGTAGAACATATAGGAATAGTGTGTCAGTGGCTGCATCAAGACTCGTCACACACATGTCATGACTGCAGGCAGGTGCGGCAGGACCTAAACATGAAGGCGGAGCATAATGTGGGTTTAAGGCCCTAAGCTGAAGGCTTTGAACAGTAAAAATATCATGAAGGCGGATCATTTTGTCCAAGAAGAAATTATACTTGGTGGGAAGCATCTCCCTGCAGATTGCATGATAGCTACCAAGCCAAACATTCATTTGCTCGGCAACTGACGTGTTGAACCACCAACCCGTCCCATCTGCATTCAAAAGCTCGGGGAAGTCAGCCGGGTTGCAGTAGTGTTGGCAGTAGTCATGCTTTGTCTTGTGCTTGTTCTTGAAATGCCACACGTTGACACACATCTTGACATCGGCCTACCACTCATCCCCTCGGACATCCACTTGTCGCTTGGCATCACATGCAGTGTCGTAAATAAAATGCTCTGGCTTATGAGCACCCTGCACGGAGAAGATTGTCTTTATAAAGTCCTTGGAGAGGCAGTGAGTTTCATGAGTTCTGAGAAAAAAGGAGGATGAGAGATTCTTACAAGGACATTAGACACAGCTTCTGCTCCATTCAGTGTCACTCGTCCCACAATGACCCCACATGTGCAAACAGCAGTTTGCTCATTATGATTCTCTGTCGTCCAAACTGTGCACGGAATTTTCTATTGCCTGCATCAGACTTCGCATTGCATGGCTCTGAGCTAGCCAGAGCTATATTGCCGAGTCCCTCATCCCCTTCTTCAAGTACTCCAACAGAGCCAGGGTTCTTCTCAAACTGATAAGACACTTGACCGTCCTTGACTGTGTACCACTCGATGTTCTCTTCAACCACCGCTGGACCCAGGCTCACGCTTGCATCTGGCAAGTCAGCAGTCATCACATCTGGAGCTTCTGTGCCCAAAGCATCATCTGGATATGCCACTTGGTAGCAGAGCAGCCGCTCAAACAATGCAAAGGCAGAAGTTGCTTTTGCATAGTGGAGTTGCTCCATTTGCTGGTGGTCACAATTGTCGCATGTCTTTGCATCATTACGTCTGATTGGGTGATCACACCCAGTGATAGCGCATGTGTTATGCAAACCACGATGTTCGGCACAGAAGCGGTCACGGTTATTTTGTAGAGGCTGTGTGCACCAAAAGACACCACAACATGTGTGACCTAGAGTAATTCTGTCACTGACAATTGGCTGGCATTTTTCTGTAGCATAGATCATTGATGTAGTACATGATACACATATTACGGGGGTCACTAACCATGTGAAATCTTCCCATCTGAGTGTTTGACTTCATAAACATGCATGCACCCATCACAGATATGGTTAATTTCAGGTTGCCCAATACACATGATGCGCTCGTTCCTCTCTTCCATTGCTGCTTTAAATTGATCCTTTTGCATGCCTTGGTGTGGCACAGTCAGGCACACTGTACGTTCATCATAGTCCCAGAGCAGTGCAAGGAGCACAAACACATTCCAGACATTTTCAGTGCTGAGTTGGGGCTTGAAGGGCCACACAATCTCATCAAAGGCTTCCTGAGAGACGCTGGCAAGAGAAAGCATGTAGATGCGGGCACAGTTTGTAGCAGAACACCTTGATAAACAGAAGTGTAAGCCTCACAATCACACATGTGCCACAATCACTTATGAGCCTAACAAATGCTGATTGGTCCAGAGCTTCGCAAGACGGATGTCGACAAACTGATGTTCCACCACTTGAAGGTAGTCTGGGACACCTGGATAATATGTGTGATGCTGAGCGCTACTATGCACAACATAGTTGTAATGATAGTGGCGATGACATTCTTAATTGACAAGAGTTAGCACAACGACTTGAATCAGACTCAGAGATTAAAGAATCGACTTACTCTCGCAGCTCAAGTGAACGGCCCATGCAGGTAGAGTGCCTTGATCAAGTGTATGAATTATGATTTGTCTGGGCTCTGCCCACTTCAGCACAGCAGTCTTTGGGCAATCAGAGTTTGTACAGTACTTCAAGGGTGGGTACAGGGTAAGAGACACTGCAATAATATCAGAAATGTATGCAAGTGCAACACAACTCAGACAGCAGCAATGACGCACTGATGCCAAGGTCCCACCCATGGACTCTAAAAGCCTCTGCTGCGCAATCCTGGCGCTGTCTATCTGGTCCTGTGGTCCAAACAATATCTCTCAAGGCATACCAGCACTCCCCAATGAGCTCCAGTGGAATTTTCGTTGCACGCGATAGGAAAAGAGCGATGGATTCTGGTAAAACAAGAGGACTTGATGTATTGTCTGATGTCTCCTTCAGTGGCTGGTGAAGTTCAATGCTGTGTTTCAGGTTAGAGGACAGTTCAATGAAAGAAATCAGCTGATGGATTGACATGTGAGACAGCATACTATTGCGCAAGATCGCCGCGAGGGCAGACAGTGAGTCCATCGTCAATATTGTATGTATGAAGACTACCGTCTACCGAGTATCTACTTTCATGCGGAGTTTCAAGTGGTCAGCGTCTGGTTTGCAATGGATGATCGCTGGACTGATCACCGGTCCAAACCCCATCCTCAAATGCCAGTAATCCCATAAACCAGACGTCCTTGAACGTGTTGCATCCGATGGTGTGCTTAGTCACGCACCTTGTTTCCTCATTATACGGCCTGAAGCAGGCTGTGTATGATTGGTACGAGCTCCTGCATGAAGTACTCACTCATCTCGGCTTCCTTTGCTGTGACACTGACTACACAGTGTTCATCTTTGACCACGTTAATGGTGAGGGTGACTGTTACAAGAACATCTAGACGCTTGGGCCCCTACTATTTTTCTCCTCATCCTCCTCGTATCAGCCCTCGCATCATACCCTTACCCTGACCTCACCCTCGTTATCCTTGTCATTCTCGCATTCCCTTTCGCCCTCTACTTGTCGCTCCAGCAGAGCCAGTACATCTGGCCGGACCCTTTCGCTGACGAAGCATACCCATGCTCCATTCCACCACCTGACTGATCCTGTGGACAGTCCCTTTGTCCTTACCGTCCGGACGGTAACCTATGATCTGATGCACGAACGCATCCCCTTTGCCCTTTTCCCTTTTCTGATCTCTGACTCGGTGTGCAGTCGCACATGCGACTTATACTTAGATCCGCAGCTGCACGATCGTGCCCCTGCGCATTTCACTTCTTATTTCGATCTTTGACTCACTTTCTTATCTAGCACGTTCTACCTCGACCGAACGTGCCTTCCTGTTATGGTTATACCCTTTACCGATTGCCTCTCCCGGTAGTACGAGTTATCACCCACTAATACAGTCTCCTGTCCTCTATATAAACTCGCTACCATGTACTACATTCCCTAACTTGAATCTACTTGGTTCTTGACCTCCTACTCTCACCAGAGTGATCCTTTCTGCCTCACCAGCAGTCTCTATTCTATCTTCTTATCTGCTCCTCACGGATAAGCCTATAGTCTCGATCTTTACTCATCGACTTCGTCGACGAGCAAAGCCCCTGTTAACTAGTTGGACTTCTGTCCTTCTAATTAACGACGATCCTTATGATTAACCTTCGGGTGTTCGTAAGCCCAGGCCTGATATAGCTTATCAGTCTCGCAACCTGCTTGACATAAGCTACCCGATTTGGACATAGGCGTCAAATCTTACTTGCCGAAGCCTCGCCAAGTAAGACCCCTAACCTTGGGCAAGCCCAAGGACATCCTCGACCGTTGACGACACACGCTCTGTTTGAGCGTCGCCAACAGATACCATCCAAGTCGTAACAGTGACTTGCATCATTGTGTGGCATGTTGATGACGGACTCGCGGGGTCCAATAACCATGCCTTCCTTGACTGTGCCAAGGCTCAGATTGCAGAGTGCTTTGGTATCACCGATCTCGGTACGGTCTCTAAGTATCTCAGGATCCAGTTTGTTTGCGAGCATAAGATGTACGAACTGTGGATGCATCAAGAAGACTACATCCTGCACTTACTCGAGGAACATGGCATGACTGCTTGCAACCCTGTATCGTTACCAATGGACCCTGTCTTCCCTTTTGGTCGTCCAAATGATGCTTTTCCCCATGTTGAAGACCTACCCACCACATTTTGCAAGCTCATCAGTGAGCTCCTCTACCTGGTGATGTACACACAGCCAGATATTGCCTTAGCCATGATGCGACTTGTGCAGCACCATGCGAAACCCAAGCCAAGGCACTACATGGCCGCTAAACACATCCTGCAATATCTTGCAGGCACGGTGACCCTATGCATGCACTACGGGGGAGCTGGAGATGAAGCCACCCTTTGTGGCTTCTCAGATTCTGATTGGGCTTCAAGTCCAGAAGACCATGTGTCGATCTCTGGATACATGTGGTTCCTGAATGGTGGACCTATTTTGCACTCAGCAAAAACTGACACAAGCCTTGTCATCCATTGAAGTGGAATATATGGTGCTCACCACAGCAGTACAGGACAGGCTATGGCTCAAATTTCTCTTCCAATGCCTCAACTTCCCACTGCCCTTACCCCTACAACTGTTCAGCAGACAACGCCGGCGCAATAGCTCTGTCGAAAGAGGCCACAAATCACATTCATACGAAGCATATCGACCTTTGGTATCATTTTATCAGATGCCATATCAAAGAGGGGACCATCACACCAGTGTGGATCTCAACTCACCAGAATACAGCTGACATATTTACAAAAGCTCTTCCGCGCCCGGCTTTTGTCTTGCATCGTGCGGGCCTGGTGCTCATTTCATGTTGAATGTCTCATTGAGGGGGTGTGTTGGAATCAACTTCGTCATCACTTCTCTATTTCATCATCATTTCCTTTCTTGCACTATAGCATTCCAGACATCATAGTTTATAAACTCATCTTCTCTCTTTGTTTACACCTCAGCATTTCTACTCAACACGCTGAGGTACATATCACGCTGTCTTCATATTTTGTCTCTCACTCATCATATCTGTACTATAGACTTGTCCTTTCAGTCCAATGTTCTACAAACCGAGGTTCAGAACCAAACTGCAGCAGCACTAGATATGCTGTACTAGGGTATCCATATGATGAAGGTTTGAGGGTCAGGTCCAGTGAACAATGATCTTTGGATTGGACCCCTGTACTCAACCTTTTGCTCATCTACTGGATGTGGGCAGTCATGGGGGCAGCTCAATCACTGTTAGGCAAGCTCGAGGGTTGGCTTGTAGCCTTGCAGAATATCAGACACATTGACAAGCAGGAGGCATCAATATTGAAGCTCCAATTGGTGATGCCGACTGAACTAGAATTTTTGGTTAGCCAGTATTTTAGTGAGTCTCGAAATGTACTTCGAGTATCACTAATATATTTTCAAGTTGACCCCTTGAAAACACGAAGCTTGCTCGTGGCTGTAAATGTCTTGCTGCAGGGAGGGGGAGGTAATATTGTGACTGCGAGTTTCATCGCATAGATGAATATCTTTTTGACAATAAAAACCCTTTCTTGGAACCAAAATTCTGATCGCTTAATGGTACAAACATCCGGGTTGACAGCTCTTGACCTTCAAACTTAATAATTGACCACACATTTTAATTCTCGGACTGTGTTTGAGTGACAGCTTGTAAATCGCAGAATGAAATAAGAATTGAGTGGGGTTTATAATCATTTCCAATATGTCCTTAATGTCAACATCATGCAAACTTAGGACGGAATGGTCCCGAAGGGCCGAACCATTTTCCGTTAACCTGTTGCAGACACCGCAGCATAAGACACTCCGAGAACCCCGGTAAGACTGTATCAAAAGACTTACCATACGGCTCCAGTAGGCCCAAGGAAAAAGGTCCTAAGAATGGCACAGACAATAAGCCGTGCCCCATTTTAGGAGCTACAGTACTCCGTACCTTTTTCAAGTGATAGAAGAATCTGAAGAATTTGGCAGGTTCAACGCAACGATGCAAGTGGGGATCAAAAAGAACGAACCTTCTCCGCTTTGTCTGATCACCCAGATAATTAGCAAAACTCTCTTTGGGCACAAGCCCATACTTGAACTCTGCCAGCATCAATTCCCCATACCCCGTCAAAAGCTAAATTTAGAATTCGGTGAAATGTACAGTCTAATGAGGAGATAGACGGACCGGGCAGCTGGTATAGCCATCATACTTGGCACTGCTCACTTTGCCAGTGTCCATGATCGAAAATAGGTTTTCCGTCAAGACAGGAGCCTGCGACGTAATGGCAGCAGCCGTTTTGCTAGTGGGTAGGGAGGAGCAGTCACCCAAGGAAAATATGTTTCCAAACTCGGGCTTGACATGTCTGAGCGTTGCCTGATCGACTTCTACCCAGCCCGCTGGATCAGCGATGGGCGAGCCTTTAATGAAGTCTAGCGGTCCCATGGGCGGCGAGACATGCAGGAGGGTGAAATCACGATCCACGGTTGAACCGTCCTCCTTCTTGAACGTCGCTTTCCTGTTTGCCGCATCGATGGAAATTAAGTTGTGTTGGAACTCTGCTCCAACGCCCCGCTCAATGCGCAGGGCGTTCAGGGCATCCGAATACTTCTTGACGCTGAACATGGATGGCGTGCCAGTCATGAAGTCGATCTTGATATTATTTCCTCGCCCAGATTTTTGGTATCTATCCCAGGCCATCCACATGATTTTTTGCGGAGCTATAAGACAATAAACAGCCACCATACAGAAAGACAATTGGCTTACCTCCTCCGCATTTAATGACACCGGCAGGTTGGGTAAAAATAGCATTTCCGGACCTGAGAGCATCTACGTCGTGCCAAACCTTGTCGCAGGTATCATAGGAGTATATCGACGAGACTCCGGAGGAAGGATCAGCGAGAGCCTGTGGTAAGCCAGCGATGTTGTCCCAGTTTGTCTTCAAGCCTGCTGCCACTACAAGCGAATCATATGCAATTGTCCGACCTGACGTTGTCGTGACTGATGATGATTCCGGATAGAACGACTTGACATTCTCTGCTATGTGCATGATATGTGGCGGTAATAGGGACGAGAGCGGTCGTCTGAAATCTGTCTTGGAGCCAAGACCAGCACCGACCAAAGTCCTGAAGAATACGTCAGGTTTCGTATCAGAGTCGATGAATAGAAACCGTCACCAGCCAGGCTTGAAATGAGAAGCCATCAAAAGTAATTCAGATGAGCAGTTCACTGATTCTGAGTGCTTACTTGATAGTAGTGATAGTCTGCTGCGTCAAGAACCACCACATCCCCTGCATTCAAAGGCTTTCCGGCAGCCTTGAAACGGTTGTATATCTGATTGGCAATAGTCAGCCCACCAGAACCTAGAGATTCATCAACATTAATTCAAGGGACATCATCAACCGGTGCACCTCCTCCGACAACAAGTACTCGAAACTTTTCCTTGGTGCTCGTGCTGGCATACCTAGCTAGAGCGAGAGTTTGTCGAGCGCGCGGACCTGTTACACGTCGATACGCAGGTAACATGTTCGATATGATGATAGTGAAACAAGGATGTTCAAGTGATGAGTACTTGAGTGACTTGCCAATTCTCAGAGGCCGCCGATAATCGACTTCGGATAATCTGTACCTCGCGAAGCAAGTGATTACATAATTAGTATGAGGTATTCCTGAATGCTGAATTTCAACTGAAGAGGTTACCCAAAGTTGCTCAGAGTTTTCCTCCTGGAGCACCGAGAGTTGCACTTGTTGGCGACGATCGAGCTAGGGGTGTTTCAATATTGATTTGAAAAGATTTTGCGGAGAATTCAAATTCAAATTCAAATTTAACGCCAGACAGCCCGTCGGAATATTCCGGCACCAAGAGTCCAACTGCGCCGGTTTTCTCCTTCACTCGAGTTTCTTTCTTCCACACTATTAGGACATCCGACCCAATTGTCTGACTTATTTTCGGCACCAGGAGTCCAGCTGAGCGGTTTTCTCCTTCATCCGATTTTCCTCCTTCCGCATTATCAGAACATTTCGATCATGGAATATCCGGTACATCCGACCCATGTCTGACTTGTTTCCGGCACCAGGAGCCCTGCTGAGCAATTGCGCCGGTTTTCTCCTTCATGAGAACATCACAGTCCTGGAATATTCGGAGCACCCATGTAGTAATCACATTGTGCAATTTGACAGTTCGAACACCAGCGTGAAAGTTGTATGCCTCTGTTATTTTTTTACCGTCTCCAGTATCGACATCTCAGGACTCTCAGCGTTTCTTAATCACAACGTCAAGTTCAAAGTGTTCATCAAAGATGTCAATTTTCAAGGTCGCATAACCACTACTCCTCGTGTCTTATGACTTTGCTACTGCGTGCGACAATCGAAATGCATGTGTAGGTTAGAAACAGATTGCGAGGGAAGCCAAGGCCCAATCGCAATAGCGGTAGGCTATAGCTATGACTGAATACAACACGAGCGCAGCACTACCGACCACGAGCTCGAGCTCCTGTCGCTGCGTCAGGACCCTGGTGCTCCAGACTACTGCTCACAAAGTGTTACTAAGTAACGCAAAAAAGTGCGCAATGATTCATCGCGATCATTTGTCGAACATTGTCTGTCGTTTGTACAATAACAAATCTTGCATGATGTCTTGATCATGACTCCAGCTCGACGCCACTCTCCAAAATTTCGTTGTAACAACAATATATCACCACTCTGATGTATAATCGATATAACACATGCATCCTATTTGTTTCCTAGGCTCGATCGATGCATAAACTTGAACACTTGTGGAACAAGGTCGCTGCTGGTGAAGTACTTATTATGTAAGCGCTTTCTTGGCTTGTTCTTGTGTTGTTTTACATAAAGACGCTACTTACTTACAGCCAACGACATTCCTTATTCTTATTTACCCCTCATCCAGCTGGACTGGACATTGTACATTAATATTCCTGTAATATCTTTATTTCTCCCTCCTTTCATCACAAGCTTTAAAGTGACTCACACGCTGGTCGTCCATGCAATCGAACCGTCCTTCTCTACACGCTGGAAAGCTCGGCCTGCCCAGTTCCCCCGCATGCACTCGTCTCAAGAGAGACGGGCCTTTCGCGGAAGGTCATTCGCGAAACCAGAGTCAGCCCATTGCGTTCACTGTGACTCGCCCGCTCCGCCTCCGTGGACCCTCAGTGTCGGTTCCCACCAGTGACATCCATGTCGCTCAGGTATCCACTCGCCCTGGAACCCGTGCCATGGGAACAACTTTTAGTTCTCGCTCCAAACCGCCTGCAGTCAGCCGCGAGTCGAGCACTTCTGCCAGTTCCAAATCATCTGCTTCGTCCTTCTCATTCCGGGAGAGAATGAACAGTCAGTCATCTTCGTCTACTAGCTTAGAAGATTACTTTAAGCCGCCAACAAAATCTACTGGACCTGATAAACCATCCAAGACCGTTTTGGATCAACATGAAGGTTTGCGATTCACAGTCTCATAAATCACTGTTCTGTTTATACTGCAATCCCAGACCCCAAGCATGGCACATATTTTTCAACATTGGAAAATGGTCATAACATATGGAATCGTGTTGCTGCCGCTGCCAGTGTCTTGACAGTTAATGTCAATAAAGCGTGGTATTCAAGGATTGGCGCCTCAGATGAGGAAGGTGGGGGCACATCAATCATCACTTTTCCTTGCCTTCCTAAGTTCTCTATCGTAGAAACGGCACCTGGACGCGACTCGCATTTGACCCGCGTAATGAAAGTTTATCACCTTGCAAAGGCCCGTCATCCTTCAGATCTTCCTGACTGGCTCTTTGACGAGCGCGAACGGAAGCCATCTCTCAGTTCTCGCTTCACAGAGTCGTCAAGAGGCACAATATCTGATACTCAACCTTCGCGCCCTTCAGCACCACGTTATGTCTACGACGACGCGGCCTCCCATGCACTACCGACACACCATTCACAGACCACATCCCACGTCCTCGCTTCCTCAGAAAAGACAGGTTCATCAAAGGCTGCGGATCGTCTGAAGGCATTCAGAGATGCAAAGCGAGCTGATTTGGGAGTGCGGCACGTTTCCTCCAAGTCAGAGAGCTTGTCCTACTCTCCGTCTCGAATTCATACCAGCGTGGGTACATATCATAATGGCAATTACCGGAGCGCATTGTCTTCTCCTACCAGACGACCCGCGCTGTTGGCGCAGCCATCCCAACCAGGCGCATTCTGATTCATGTCAGTCTTTCTCAGTCTGGAAGCGGTAAGATTCTGTGAGCGCACAGACGCGTATGGATAAACATTTCTATATATACTGCATGTAACTTGGGTGTCATACATGTATGCACGTGTGTTTCAGCGAACCTATACTGAATCGACTTGGTGGCATACAATTATTGCTTACATTTTGTCGAATGCATGGATTTGTTTGTATATCGATTTGATATCGATCTTATCTCATTTCGGTAGGTTCGTTCCAAATCAAATACCTAAAAAACTGACGAACAAGTCGCAGTGTGCTGACATCGTCACCTGTTGTCATTGGAAATTCACAAGTCTGACAAAATCCTGAAACTTTGGTTGCGATGAAGACTTCACATGCCGTTCTGCTGCTCGTGCCGCAGCGTGTCGTTTCCAGAGAGACCAACTGACGCCGAGACAACACCGAACCAGCTTTTCAGGTGACGGAGACAAGATCTGCTGAACAATTTTTTTTACCTTCCCTGCATTTAGGACTTCAGAGTAAGGTTTACCAGCTAGATGTTCAAGGAAGTAGCTTACCGTGGCTAGCAACCATGTTGTGGATTAGCCAAAAAAAATCCTCTGTTCTTACACCTAAAATCTGTCAAGTGCCATCTCCAGTTGCAAGACGGAAATGGCCAGTTCCACCCCGTTGACAACGCACGATCTTCGATCGAGAAGTTGCCCACTCCGAATTCGAGTCGCTATGCTGAGTTCTGACACAAGGGCAAGACAATCCTACTTAAACCTCGACCCCTGAGTGTCAAGTCTCTCCTTGCCTTTTCGACCTCTTCATTGACCCTCTTTCTTTTTTCTATTGTCTTAGTCGAGTTGACTCTCGGCTCGTACACTTCCAGTTCGTCCGTGACTTTTTTTTTGCAACTTGGGCTAACCTCTGCTTATCGTGCAGACCACTCTCTTTGATAGAGCAGGACTTCACTACTCCTAGAAGGAGCACTACGTGCGCTCAGGTCGCCAGTAGTCTTTGAACAAGGATTTTTCCGTCATGGTTTTTATTGCGCCATTTCTAAGCGCCGCAGCGATATGTACCACCCTGGTGGGGGCTGTTCCTCAACTTGATAACTTCATTCAGTATAAATCACCCGCGTACGTGTTTTTTTATTCCCTTGTTTGAGATTTTTCTCACTCAAATGGCAGTCCTGCCACAATGACCATACCCGCCATGGTCACCCCTCGCTCAGACGGAGGTTCATATGGTGATTCATCGGGAGGCTCACAAGGTGGTGTGTCACAGCAAGGTGGGAGTTACGGCAGTGGTAATGGCTGGGGTGATCAGGGTTACATGGACACGAGCATGACGATGGCGGCAACATCCACCATGGATGGTTATGGTGGTATGAGTGGCATGCAAACGTATACGACAATGTCCACAAGTTCTACCGCAAACGGCTACAGCAGTACGTCCAGCATGAGCGAGTCCAGTACCATATGCAGCGATACGACAACTTCGACTCCCGATGTCACGTCCACTGCCATGAACACCTACTCCACACCCGCGTACGGCCCAGGCAGTTATGGAGGGGGCGGCAGTGGTTCGGGTTATCAAAACTGCATGCAGAGTGAGTTTACACGAGCTTGAGCCAGTGACGACATGCTAATACCTCTATTTAGTGTGTGCTGCATCTTATGGCGCTCCTATGATGGCATCCTCTTCATGGTCCGCTCCCCCCGCCACAACTAGTGGTTCTGGTTGCACACACACCGTTATTGTTGCTCCTACACAGGGCGTTCTACGTTATGTACCTTTCGCCATCAATGCATCTGTTGGTGACACAGTTGCATTTGTCTGGAATGCCAACAAACACACTGTTACAAAGTCATCCGAACTGGCGGTAAGTGTGTTCATGAATATCGATTTCGAATGGATATTCATTACGCCTTTCAGATCTGTAATAAGACTTTGGACATGCCATTTGCTTCTGGGGTGCAGAATAAGAGCTTCGTTTGTAGGTGTCTGGAGCCAGAAATTTTGATGAAGATTGACCAGCATCTTAGTCACCCAAAAGGTCAACGACACCAATACAACATTCTTCTACTGCGGAGTCCCCGGACATTGTCAGAAAGGAATGTTCGGTATCATGTATGGTTCTTTCTTGTTTGATGTGATAGTTATCTGATTCGTGACCTCAGAAACCCTCCTAATGCTTTAATGGGTAGCAACTCATCAGTCTCCGGTATGATGCCTGTCATGGCTTCAAACGTGAGCACTGGCCATATATATATTTGATTCCCTAATCTCAATTGCCACCAGAGCTCGAATATGACTGCGATGATTCAGTACACTCAGATGGCGACGGCGAACAATACCATGGCTGGAAATTGGGGTGGAAGCATCGACATGAGTGGCATGCCTTCATCGTCCTATCAATATATGCTCGAAAATGTGATGTCAGTTTTTGATTTTCTCTCGTGCCACCTGTCATGACCCTTACGCATCCTGCACAAGGTATACGCGAACCTTCTTGGCCGCCAACCCGGAAGTTTTGTCAGCAGACGGCGTTGTCAACCTGTCTAGCGCGGGAACCACACCACTTATAGTTCCAAATGACATCACCGCCGCTGCCGTCAATTCCTCTGCATACCCTGGATCCTCCACTTCCGGATCACCGACTACAGGGGCTTCTAGCAGCAGCAGCCCTTCAACAACATCGACAAGTGGTGCCAGAAGCCTCGGTTCATCAAGCATTCTCGCCAGCATCGTTGTCGTCTCCCTTGCGTTCATCCTATGAATGTCCCATAGTGGCTGGACTTGAAGTTGGCCATCTTCATATTTTCTTTTAATTGTGCTCATGTGGCAGACTGTTCGTCCTCTTATGCTACGCCTCGCGCGCATTAGAGTGATGCTGTTCACTGTAAGCTTTTTTTCTTCAGCCAGGCGCTGCATTTTGTTTCGAACCATACTTTAACTCTGCTATCTTTGCGTAGAGATACAGAAGTGGAGTAGTTATAGAGAAGTTGGAATCCAAATGAAGTCGGATTATATCGCTTAAATGCCATAAGAAATCGAAATCCAGCTAAAAGCCGAATATATCGTCGATCTCGTCTCGTTTCTCCTTGACCTTCTTCGATTGTCTTTGGCCAGCAGGAGTAGATGATATCTTCCGTTTTGTCGCAATCTTCTCTTTTCGAGCGGACAATGTGGCAACAGCGACTTTTTCTATCACTGACAGCTCCAACTCATTAGATGCAATGTTGCAGACACGTCGTGAGGTTGCAACATACCGACTGCAGCTTGCAAGTCTATGCTCCCAGCGTTTTTCATAACGGCTCTAGCATCGGCTGGTGTGGATGATGGTAGGTCAAGCGTCTCCTCTCTGGTAATAGCAGAGCCAAAATCCTCCGGGGGGACATCTGGATCGATGGTAGGAGCCGGCTGGCCACTCTGACGAGATAAAAGACGTTCCGACGTCTTGGAAGTCTTCGATCCAGCTATGAAACTCGGCTTGTGGTTCGGCTAGGAGCTCACAGTTAGAATCAAACAATGACTGGTAGAGATGGACCAAATTACATCGATAACACTCAGTATGCGATCACAAACAGCCTCGTAGTCTCGGACACAATCACCCATTTCAGCCGACAAAGCCGCCATTCTCGAAGCAAGTCCAGCAAATAGTACAATTAGGTGAATGAATGCACCAGATTGCATTGCAAGGGAGAAATGGCTTTACAAGGCACTAAGCAATCAGAGATGCACAGATTGCCAATGACTTACTAATAAGCTTCTCGAACTCGCTCGGATGTCTGTGAACAACCATCATTAGGGCTACGTACAGTAGTATCTGTTCACTCACTTTAAGTATCAAGCAAGAATACGCTTTAAACCTCTCAGTGATGAAAGATACATATGACCGACTTGGAATATGATTCCAAGACCCTCGCATCAGTTTTTCGCTGCAAGTGCTCGATCACTTCATCTCATTCGCAGGGCGAATAAAAAATCACACCTCTGAATAACGGTGGCGCCATAGAATGATGCTCTAAGGAGGTTCGCATCCTCGGTCATATTGGCTTCTAGCAGCCGCCAACCATAACGTCTAATCTCCGAGATGCGTTTGAAGAACAAGGCCGCTCGATGTTGATTTTTACTTCTGTAGTAAAGCCTTTCAAGCACTTGCATTTCATCCTTGTAGCTGGCGAGAGCGGCTTGCAACCGACGTGAATATGCTTTCAAATCTTTGAGAATGCCGTCAACAGTAGAGTGCAAAGAATTGTCGAGGGAGGCTCTTTCTAAAAAAGAAGTAGCTGTTGGAACACAACTGCGCGCGCGTCGTGCATCCATTTCGAGCCTAGGATAGTTTAGCAAAGTTTTCTGAAGTCATTTGTAGTCACCGGAAGCAAAATGTGAGTGACAGTATTACGTATACAAATTTCTGGAAGGGCGTTAACCAAGTAGTACTAAATACCACTTTGGGTTTCTTCAATCCGCTGAGTAGCAATTACAACAGCTGCTCAGAGGACCAGTCTGCGATGTCCACACAACACGGTCAAGATGCCAAGTTCTTCCAGCGCGGGAAGATCGAGGTACGGCACTCCTAGATGGGTCGACAGGAACTCAGTGACGAACTTGATCATGTAGGAGTTCCGCGCTGAGCTGCAAGCCGCAGAGGCAAAGGATAAGAAGTACCAGAAACGAAAGACCGTCTTGAAGAAGATTGTAGCAAACATCACGATGGGAAATGACAGTGAGTAATCAAAAATCACGGTATCACTCGCTCATGTATACTACGCGGCATGTATCCCAGTGTCACCTCTATTTCACGACGTAATTCAATGCATTGGAACCCCGCTATTAGAGATTAAGAAGAGTGGGTGGACATGTCCCTATGGTGAATATCATGCTGATGCTACAATAGTGGTATACCTTTTCCTCGTCAGCTATGGGCGCTCGAAACCAGATCAGATACACCTCGTCATTCCTAGTTTCCTACAGGTATTGAGTTCACATTTGTCGTGTCTGTCTCGTTGTTCTAATGTGTTATAGGACTGTAACGATCGTAATCCTCTCATACGAGCACTCGCAATCCGAACAATGTCCTATATTCCCATACCTGTGGTCACAGAAGCACTCGGTGATCAACTACGACATTGTCTCAAAGATCGTGACCCATATGTTCGCAAGACTGCTGCTATATGTGTAGCAAAGGTCTATACTGCTGACCCTCGCAAAGCCGAGCGTAAAGGCTTCGTTGAACTTCTAAGAGACATGTTAATTGACGAGAACGCAACTGTGGTTGCAAACGCTGTGGCGGCATTGTCGGAAATTGGAGATCGTCAAGACGGCGTCATATTCAAGCTTAACTTAACCATTGCAAACAAACTCCTCGGGGCATTAGGCGAGAGCTCTGAGTGAGTTTTTACCCACTACTACCCTACAGAGACTTACGATTGGTTTTCAAGATGGGGTCAAATTTATATCCTTGATTCTTTGTTGCGTTATGTACCAGAGCAGCACGCAGATGCCGAAATGATGGCTGAACGTGTGATAGTACAATTACAGCATGCCAATTCTGCCGTGGTGCTGACGACCATCAAAGTCCTACTGTATTTGATGAATTACATAGGTGATCGCCGATTGATAGACTATATCTGCAGAAAGATGGGCCCTCCACTTGGTGAGTGCGATTCTGAGTTTTCTGGACTACAGGAATTAACAGCGTACTTCAAGTTACATTACTTTCCTCTGGTCCTGAGGTCCAATATGTCGCCCTTCGAAATATTTTGTTGATCATTCAGCGGCGACCTGCCGTTCTCAAGAACGATGTCAAGGCCTTCTTCTGCAAATACAACGATCCAATATATGTCAAGCTTGCCAAGCTTGAGATAATGTACCGCCTTGCTCGGGAAGAAAATGCCCGAGAGGTTTTAGCTGAGCTAGAAGAGTGCGTTAATATGTTATCTTGCGTCAACGTGCACTAAATAGCTGCCGCAGGTATGCTTCAGAGGTGGACGTTGATTTCGTCCGGAAGGCTGTCCGATCGATAGGTCGTCTCGCTATCAAAGTGGAACCTGCTGCAGACAAGTGCATAGAATCATTACTCAAGCTCATCGAGACAAAAGTGACATATGTCGTCCAAGAGGCAGTAATCGTCACCAAAGATATTTTCCGAAGGTACCCTGGGAAGTACGAGGGCATCATTCCAAAACTTTGTGAAAACCTTGATGCGTTGGATGAACCCGAGGCAAAAGCTGCCATGGTATGGATATTGGGGCAATTTGCAGACAAAATAGACAACGCCGATGAACTTTTGGATGACCTCGTGTACAGCTTCCTGGATGAACCAGCTGAGGTGCGTATAGCTTCCTGTTTCACTCCCAAACTTTCTGAGACACCTCTGTCAGGTCCAACTCGCACATCTCACAGCTGTTGTAAAGCTTTTCATTTACAAGCCCCAATCTGAGGTTACGAAATCGCTTGTTCACAAAGTTTTAAAGTGGGCAACGGAAGATATTGATAACCCTGACTTGCGAGATCGTGGTTTCATGTATTGGCGTATGCTTGCGATGAATCCGGCGGTGGCTGCAGAGATTGTACTTTCAGAAAAGCCTGCCATCACGACTGATTCAGATCGCATGGATCGTGGGGCTCTCGACCAACTCTTACTGCATACTGGCACACTCGGAAGCATATATCACAAAAATCCAGAGGTGACAACGTCTGACATCCTTATTCATCACTTCCGACTCATGTATGCGATCACAGACATTCATACGAAACGCAGCAGGTAGGGCACTAGTTGACAGCCCTGCGTTGAATGCAAACTCCAGGGCGGTGCTCGTTTCCCTAGCGCGACCACAACTTCCACCACTGTCCATTAGTGTATCAGGTCCTGGTCCTGTCGAACCTACGCGACCATCACAACCTAGTGAAACAGCAAACCATGTACCTCTACCGACTATTATGGAATCCTCAAGGAGTGATGAAAGGGATTTACTAGATATTGAGGGTGATGATGGCGCGGGTGGCGACAGCGGAGATGGGTACCCGGAAGGTGATGATGATGGCCCGGTCACCAAAGCCGCAGATCCATATGCTTCCTTGGGTGGTGCATTTGGTGGTTACGTGACAGATGTACCACAACCTGTGGTAGACGGGAGTCGTGGCGGTGATCTAGACGACTTACTACTCTAACAGCTTTGCATTTTGTTTAATCGTTTATACACCCGCATGGACAAGGATCGGTTGAGTATTCCGTACCCCTTCAAAATATAAATGGGATATCACGTATGTGAATCAAGAGAATGCGGACTGAATCCTGCCAGCCACTTGTGCAATGGTAGTTTTGGGTCGTAAAGAGTTGTAGTGCTGAGGAAGGATGATCAGCATGTACCGTCCCTTATGAAATATGGAAGCATACCTCCCCTAGCCCATACATCCTTCTATGGAAACTGATACGAGCTACCTTAGAAAACGGCCGAGGTGACGGACCCGGGTTGTGTTCAACAATCCGGGGAACACCACCCTGCACGACATGTATGGGAACATTATATGCTCGACTGAGTGCCAGGATCTCTGGTTCTCCACCCCAGGCACCGGTGTCCTTGATCGTCATACAGTACTGCTCGAATTGTTGTGGGGTCATGAAGCCTGTACTTGTTGCGCCAACGCCATCTTCGCCAAACGCGGATGGCAGGAAAGGCAGGAAGTCGTCTGGGTGAGTATAGATAAAGTTTGATGCAGCAGCGCGGACGGTGACGTAGTTGGCTTGGTTGGGAGGAAGTATGTTAAGGAGTGCTAGCTGGTCCGCCACGGCAGAGAAAAGACAATGACCATCCGGTGGTATCTGTCGACGAGGTTTTGGTGGGGTTTATTGATACTGAGGAACGTCTTGCCTCACCTCATGCGTCTGTACCCCAAGCTTGTCGCATGTCTCCTTAATTGATATCTCTTCTTCCTTTGCTTCCCTCTCCAGTCTTGCGTCTGCTTCCGGATCAATAGGTGCATGATTCTGAGCCAAGGCTGCCGCCTTTTTCGCCTGCTAAACGTTAATATGTGATCGGTGAAGGGTCCTGAATAGATATTCACCTGTCGCGCTTCATGTCGGCTCCTACTATCCTGCTTTTTCTTGGCCGGTCGAGAATTGTCTTTAGCTGTATTCTCTTGATGTTCTTGAATCTCTAGCAACACGGTAGCTGATTGTTGCTGTACAGTCTGGTTCCGGGAGTCGAGCTCTGCAAGCAGGTCGTCTACGAGTTGATCATTGTCCTCGGTTTGGGCCTGATCTGGAGTGCTGCTTTGTGATGGAGAGACGAACTTCTTGATTTTGTTCTTTCTTGAACCTGCCATGATTTCTTGCTGCTGCAAGTACTGTTCAGAGTGGAAAGGTGGAGCTTGTTGGTCACCGAAATCCAACGCTCCAAGCAAGACCAAAGTAGAATTGGGATCTAATCTTATCTACTAAAGACCCGGAAACTGCACTCGAAAACTCCTACGTTGTAGATGCACGGTAGATAGTTACCACTCGCCTTCCTAACACATCCACAGAGAAGAAGGTCTTACACCTGGAGTACACGGGAACTGTGGTAAATGTATATGAGGCGCTCGAGTAATATCCCACGCTTACCTTCTCCCACTTCATCTCCGTCTCAGTACTTCCGAGTCTTAGTTCAAATTGGCACCGTTTATTATGATATTGTTTCGAGCGCACATAGTTACACCGCCTTTCGCTTCTTGTTGACACTGCAAGAACACAGGACGTGCAGTGCTGGCTGCACGCAGGACACGTCGGAGCCAGCGAGGCTGAGGATCAGAACGATCATGATGTGAAATGATGCGTCAATATTAATGATATCAAGCTGTTCGCGCCCAGCCGCAGTCTAGTTCACGTACGCGCACACGATGATCAGAAGAGGGTTTTTCAACACGAACAAGACTTGAATCAAGTTACTGTTGTAATGGCTTAGTGTACAAGTCTACACTCACATTAATATTATTATTATTGGCGGAGTGATCTAATTAGAGTACGAACACATTACTATATGAACGAAGCAGAGGTGAGGCCTAGTGAGACTAGGCTGAAAAAATACGCATAGCCTCAGCTGAAACGGTGACATTGAATCGGAGTTCGATGGAATCGTTGGATGTACTGAATGCTGTAGTCAAGTGCTGTATGACAGTGACTTGAGTTGCAGGTGCACTGCCACACTAGATCAGTCTTTCAACTTATGGCGAGCTAAGCGGTTTCCCTCGGTTCACTCTATCTGATCAGCTTTCGACCCAAGTAGGCGATTTTTACTGCAGTTAAAAATCCCTTCATTTAGTACATCAAGCACCCGATACACCACACCACCTTTGCCATCCTCCAAGGTCTATCAGACATATGGACACTCTTCCGATATCCCTGACTTGCGCTCAGTGCGCTCGGAAGTTGGGTGATCTCGTAGCGCAACTCCCTGTCAATGACATCGAAGAAACATACAAAGAAGTAGAGTTGACCGCCCAACAATTAGCAAACGGGCTTCGTGTTCGAGATGGTCCTGGTGAGAGTGATATGTTTACATCGCACGCAGCTCAGGGGAAATTTATGCGCTACTGACAGATGACAATCACACGATGTTGGGAAAAACTTTGTTACCTCAGAATCTCACTACTTTACTCAGCAGCGCGTTGAACGGGGCGCTTATCCCGAGTGCTAGTCGTACAGCACCTGTCTTCGAGATTCTTCGTGTTAGGCGCGAACCTTTGCGTGGAGCATGGTGAGTTTTGTTTCTCAACTGCTTCTCGTGATAGCATACTAAACAAGCTGTGTTAAGACCAGAACCGGGGGCACCTCCTCGAGGCAGGTTTCCCCCAGGCTGTCGTATCCTTACTTGAAGGCTACACAGACACTCTTCCCGAGGAACCTCAAGCGGATCCGTTTCCTATGTCTATTGCACATTTACAAGTTGTGAAGACTGCTGTCGGAGTCTTGCTGAATGCTACATTGACATATGGCATGTTGCATTCTTACATTAATCGCTGACAGTTATTGATTTGTTCTTTAGAACCAGTGAGAAACCGTCTCATATCCCTGGAGGTTGCGAAGACGATTTTCCGGCTATCCACAGCCATATACCCTCCCGCCGCATGGATGAGAACCACTTCCAACCTTCACCTTCCTGACACATCACCAACTGACATCACCTTTGATTGTATCGCCGAATCTTGGTCCATAAGAGCCGGATTATCGAGCTGGGCAGGAAGGTTGATATCAGAACTTCAAGATGATGGTACAATTGTTTCCTGATGTCATGCTTCTGCCATTCTCATCATTGTTTTGCTCTAGTACACCCTCTGTTCTCCCAAGAAGTGTTACCATATCTCGTCCAATCACTCATCGCCTTCACGCCACCACTCTTGGCTGCACCCCCACCCCCTCACTTCGCGGAACCTTCTCAGCTGCGGACGACTCTTCTCAATACAGATTTTGACCTTCTATCAGAATCATGCTCTCATCTCGAGTCATCAGCGCTTGACGTGGCGGACGTGCGTCTTTCGCTGGCACGTGGCTTTACATTTCCCGCAGAACACCATGGTGTTCCCTGTTTTTCCGCCATGCTCGATTTTGTTGAGAAGGGAAAATATCCTCCATTGTGGTATGTCCAGTCTGAGAATGGTCTGGAGGGCGGGGACATCAGTAAGAAAGAGAAGGCTTTCGATGATTGCAAGGCTGCCGTGATCAAGGCCGTCGTCGAAGTCTCTGGAGACGATAGGAATCTCGATTTACTGTGGGATGACTCAGACGAGGCGCAGCCGGGAGGAGAGTTTGTGTCACGAATGATCGACTGGATCAGAGCTTTCGTCAGCGGTGAGACTTCTGGCAATGGAAGAGATGACCTTGTCATTTGTGCCACTTTATCTCTGGGTAACATAACACGTGGAGGTCAGTAACAGACAGTAATGTGGATGACTGACTGACATTGGTTTAGAATCTCACTCAACGATTCTACTCTCTCAGCCACATGATATTGCTCGACTCCTCTCGTCGGATGCTCTGCTCGCTCCGTCCACTGACATCAAACTGAAGCATGGTGTCATTGGCTTATTAAAGCACTTGGCACAGTCCTCATCTCAGATGCCATTTAATCGTGCAGCTCTCAGCGCCGCTGGTGTCATCCAGCTCATACTCAGGAGCGGCGTTTGGGATGACAGAAGTGATTTCATGCTTGAAATAGTCCAGGTCAATGCGATCGGTGCTATAAAGCATTTGTGTAACAACAGTGGTAAGCGTTCATTTCTGACTTGCTTTTGTGGCAATTTAAAATAACTGGGTCCCCGCAGTGGATAACGCTTGCAACTTTATACTGGAACCCGTGGATAGCCAAGACCCTCCTTCGACAGGTCTGTCGCAGTTGCTTGCTCTTGTCAAGCGCTCCGACACAGTCGCGATCAAGAGCGAAGGTACACGAATTATCGTGAATCTGATCAGGTCGCTCTGGACGAGCGAGCGTAGAGATGAACTAATCAATGAGGAGGAGCTACGAGCTAGACAACAGAAGCGGATGAAAGCCATGGATGCCTTGCTCACTCCAGCGTGCGCAGAAGCCCTGGCTGCCCTTATCGGAAGAAGCGCCAAGCACATCATCCTCATCAATGAGGGCGTAGTGGCATCAAGTTTGCTGAGCATGCACCGCGACGGAGGTGAGCGAGGCGGATTTCTGATATTGACTGAAAAAATGACTAATGTTGCTGCATAGGTGCATTAGTTCTGAATGCTTTGACCGCTCCACTACCAGTGGAAGTGACGCCGTCTTCGATGGGGTCCGCCCCAGTGTCTACAACAGCTTCCACTAGCAGTGAAACGATGGACTCCCCGATCGTCTTTTCTCCAACGGGCGCACCCAGTAAGATACCATCCGTTCGATTTGCCCTTGATCAGCTCGTCGTCTCTTTAAAGAGCGAGTCTACTCCTGCCGAGGTCCGAACAAACATATGTGCGTTCTTAGGCCAGATCAGTAAGCGTGGAACCGGCGATCAACTTCAGAGGCTGAAAGATGCCACAAGACCAATTCTTGAAGAGTTGGTTAGTGTCCACGGACAAAGTATGCTTGGGAGTGCTGCGAGGAAGGTGTTGGACATGTGGATATCGGAGTGAACTGTGCTTGGAATATGAATGGAATGGTGGATGTTATCAGTGTATTTTTGTACGTTTTCTAGACAGTATGAGACGTATACGAGTTGCGTCGTCGGAGAAATACTTGGACGATCAAGAGTACTAGTTAAGTTGTTGGACACGTATGATAGTGTAAGCTAATGGATGCAGGGCCTTTAAAACAACCTACAAGCTGATATAGATGGGATCGTACTACTATCAGGAGGGTCGGGATGCGGAAACTGAGACGGGTACTTTCCACTACTCTGTCGCTTCACGATTTGTATGCTTTACCACTGATCGTACACTGTTTAGTTTGATGTGGTCTTTTCGCATTGTCCAGGCCTGCTCAAATTTTCATTTCCGCTAGGTTTACATAAATGTCTACTTCCAGGTCGGCGCGCATCAGGGGAGATAGTCGGGGCAGATGAAATTTACTGGGAGGCCAGGAACAATGTTCTAGGAAAGGAGCCGAAAAAATCAGACTAGTACGGCACAACTGATCTATGAGGTTCGTAGTAGATAATGAGACGTGTGCAAGAGTACTATTCAAAGGTCTAAAGTTCCAGGAGTAAAATGGAAAGCATGTAGGACGTTTCGGCCCAATATGAGTACGTGGGATGATTTATTCTGGGCCTTGTAAAGGAGAGTCAGGGATGGGATGATTGATCCGCTACTTCCGCTACCATACATGATAAGACCGTCACTCAACGTTCCTGCTTCGGCGTCTGGTTCGGCGTCTGGTTCTTCCAGGGGATGGGAGGGCAATTTGTTTAACTGATCAATGACAAAAAATCGTAAAGCTCTTGGATTTTCATTCAACGGGACAGGACTCACCAGCGCCAGTTGAGTAGGGTGATGCTATATTTATCACCATGTACTCGCCAAATGTATTGCCATTGAATACTACACTTTCACGACTATGGTCAACTGGACCTAGTGGTCTCGCTAAGGGAAACGGTAAGGAAGTGGGTCCTGCTGGTTGGGCGGCGACGTGTTCTTGCTTGGTTATGGCTTATTCAAATGGTTAGTAAGTGGCAAGTCGGACATGTGAAGACCTCACTGCAGCCATAACTGTTGCTCGAATTTATGTTGATCGTCACACCTTCGGCGATGTAGTTATTCTGTATGACAATCGGGCGGTTGATTGGATCTAGAGGTTGATTCGGTAGGGGTTTGTCGTCAGCCATCATGAAAGTATGACCAGAGATGAGACCCAGTTGAAGTGGTGGATGTTGTTGGGTGCAGACAAAGTCGGTACAGGCAGTTTTATCACAGCTCAGATAATCATAACTGCTGCATGGTCAAAGCAAGCCTTTGCGTGATTGCGTGAAGTCTCAGCCAACACATGCATAGCGACCACTGCCCTCGAGTTGTTAATGTCGCAGTTAGGTATCAAAAATGCATAAAAGACAGGCAAATAGTATGCGACATCACCGCTCGGCACCCTCCGGAAATTGGTAGAGAATACATTCAATAAGTCGCGGCGACCATGGGCACATGTATCAGTTTCCTCGTGTTTGTCATGAAGGTGGCTTATTACAGGCCTTCCTTTGAATCTGTCAAAAAGTTGTGCGAAAGTCCCCTAGTGAGAAGGTGTTATGGATGCCTATCAGTAAGCGGTCAGGTTCTCGTGAGTCAAGACGGAGATATGTTCCCCATGAGGTCAAAACGGCAATGTACCCCACGAGGTTTCCGTGAGTCAAAACGGCGATGTACCCCGAGGTTCTCGTGAGTGAAGACGGCAATGTGTTCCCCATGAGGTTTCCGTGAGTCAATACGGCAATGTACCCCACGAGGTTCTCGTAAGTCAAGAAGGCGAGGCTCTAAACCACGAGGGTTGCATGCATGATGCACATCACGAGGAGAGTCCGGCGCGTATCGGCGCGAGGTTGTAGATATCACCGGTATATCACGGTTTAGTAGCGCTCGGGAGGTGAAACAGGAAGAAGAGCACGGTTTGGTAGCGCTCGGGAGATGAAACAGGAAGAAGATGTAGTGAGCTCAAGCAACAGTGTAGAGGACCGCCACGAAAAGAACAGATACGAGGCATGCCGTTGCAAAAGATGGATGTCAATGGCTATGGCACAATGTTGGAATGCAAGAAACTTTGTAGAGTGTCGAGGTGCATGGAAAACAAGGGAGAAATCAGTAATTCCTCAGATCCTTTATATTCATAAGAACTTGCACGGATCCGAAACATGCATGAACAATGATGGGAAATACCGGTGCGAAATGAATTGCGTCGTGAGAAATGCCCGTGCAAAATGAGAGCTGCTGCCACTTGAGCCGTAGAGATATACGAAATGAACGCATCGCACGCAGCTCTTCCCAAATCATGTTGCCTGCTGTTGCACCCTGTTGCCCTACAGCCTACAGGGTGCTACATTTCCTGATCCGGGGAAATGCCAGCATGATTCGTTCATTTCGCACCGGTATTTGCCACTAGCATATATGTTTTTTCCGTGTCAGAACATGCAGCTGGTTACGCAAATTTAATGCTAGCTGTTGTAAATTCTCCATTCATTCCTCGCACTCGTTAAATTTTGCGACTGCAGATTTTGCAATACCCAGCTGTAAAGCAACAACATGGGCGAGTTTATAATATCTGCAGCATTCACTGCGACTCAGGCGCACCCATCATACTAAGAGCTATTGTTGTGATACATCTCACTACGACGCAAGTCACACCAATCGTTAACATATCGTCAATATTGATGCAGTAAAACAAAATGATTCTACACGTAGAGTATATATGACATGTCATGACCGTGACAATGCCTTCCGTGCCTCCTCACTCGCCTTCCGAGCACCTGCAAGCGCCGGTCGAGTGCTTGCTGCGGCATTAGGTCGCTTCCCCTGCTTGGCATTGTTCGCAGCTGCTACAACGCGCAAGAGGTTGCCGGTGCTTGGATGTTTCGTTGTCCGAAAATTTCCAGGAGCTATCGCTCGTTCACGTTCAATCCGTTTGAGGAAAGGACTCGGTAGATTTTCTTCGTCAGAAAGGTCATATTCCGGGGGTACAGAGGGCGTTGTTTTTGTGGTCTTACAAGCATCTGTAGACTCTGTGCGTGAGGTTGTCGACTTCGAGGGTCGTGATGATGATGCGAATCCTGTAGGGTCGGAGGCAGATGTCGGTAGAGTTGCAGTTCTTCGGAGAGGTGCGCGTCGAACAGATCCTCGGATGGACGGCTTGCGTAGACGTGTGGGGGGAATAACATTCGGGTCTTTTGATGACGAGGCTGAGGCAGTCATCTCGGGACTTGTTCGTTCTCGTTTCGATGGGGAAGGCTGCAAGTCGGCGTCACCCTCCCCGTCGTCCGCATCGGAGGTCTCAGCCCCCTCATCAAAATCAAATATCTTGGCAAATTCGATATTCACTTTTGGTGATTTGACAAAAAGATTGACGAGCTGAGCTGGAGTAGGTGTTGCCAACGGTTCGCCAGTGTCTGTCAAGATGACACCTTTCATCGCTGAAAAGGGCACCACAGGTTTGACAGGACGGTTGATCGGCGTTTCGAGCGTCATGGTCGTGTTCATGAAGGAAACGTCCTGCGACCGCCGCTGGGCAGACCGCAGGCGGCAGTCTTGAGTCATCTGCGCGAGAGGTGCAAGCAGGTTTTTCACTTCTTCTAGGGGCGTCTTGTTTTTGTGCTCTAAAGTTGACGCAATCAGTAACTGGAAAGTGTGAAAAAAACATAGTCTGAACCTTTAGCTTCGCTTGTAGCCCTCTCTTCTACTGTTTTCAACTTCGCTTCTAGATCTTGTCTTGCTTCGTCCAGCTTCCCCTGCTCTGCCTCAAGCTCTTCTTCCCTCCCTCGAACCCAATTCACCTTGTCCTCTAATTCCTTCATCATCCCTGCCCTTATCTCCTGCTCTCTTGTTGTCCACCATGCAAATAGCTCCTGATCACGCTGGCGCACATGTTGTTCAAGCTCTTCCTCGCGCAGTGCCATCACTTCCTCCATACGTTTTCGCACATCACGCAGCCGTTGTTCTGAGAGGGCCTCCGCCTGTCCCAGGAGCTCGCGGAGTCGGACGATTTCGTGATCTTTTTCAGATACAACGGATGCTAGCCGTGCTTCCCGTTCTGCAAGGGCTGCCTCGCGGGCAGCAACTTCCCGCTCTTTCGTAACAACCGCTATTTTGTGTGATTTCACTGTAGTGAGCCTGTAAAAGCCATTCAGAGTGATCCGCAAGTCCTACAACCAAAACTAACATCTTTTCAGTCTCTGAAACCTTGAAAACGAGCTCTAAGCGCTCGTGTTGGAGAAGCTGAGCTGCCGAAGGCCTCATCGCGGGCTGCAAAGGGATGTTGAATAAGTAATACAATAGACAAGGATTGTAGTGTGCATCCCCGTATGATATGATACTTACGTTAAGGTTCAACATTGCTTTAATGACACTTGACAGCGCTTGGCTGTACCCTTTTGGCAAGGGAGGTATTCTGCCGTTCCTGCATAGGCAAAAGTTCAATGTTTTCTGCCGCGCGAGAAGGAAGCAATCTACACAACTGACCGTATAAATATACTCAACTCAGCATGAGTCTTGGCTTCATGGAATGGCGGCTTCAGGGCACAAAGCTCGTATATGAGACAACCCAGAGACCAAATATCAGACTTGGAATCGTAGGCCCGTTCTTGCATCAGCTCAGGAGACATATAATATGGTGTCTGGTCTCCTGGATTAAGTCATGAAAGAGTCCCAGTCAAATAGCTTACCCCGACGTATGTGTTGGCAAAGTTTGCTTGGGACAACGCTTTTGACAAGCCAAAGTCACCAAGCTTCACGGTATTTGATTGGTCCAGAAAGACTGCGGATGAAAGATTAGTTTGAAGTAAGGAATGATCTTAAATGACGTACCATTATCTGGCTTGAGGTCTCGATGTAAAATCTGCGGCCGCTTGGCATCACCTTCAGACGTGCCACAACCTGTTCGTCCAGGGCTACCAGGGTGATGGCAATAATGAAGCGCAAGTAAAATTTGCATGAAGTAGTTCCAAATCGTGTCCTCCGGCACGGGTCGGTTGTGCTTTTGCGCCTGCTTTATGATGGTAGATAAATCCCCTCCGCCACAATACTCCATAAGGATGTACAGGATGCCTGCATCTCGGTCGACATGACGGTCGTGATATCGTACAATATGTTCGTGGTGCAGATCTTTCAGGATGTTACTGAGTAGCGATGAGTTAGAGCGGCGGAAATAAACTCGAACACTGACACTTCAGCAACAATTTGTTTCCTATCACGGTCGCTCATTCTCTCGAAGTTGAGCTCCTTTCTCGCAAGAATCTGCCATAAAAAATGTCAATTCTGAACTAGCATTGTATGGATAGCCCTGTAGATTTACCTGGCCATCCGACTTCCTTCTGACTTTACGAATAATTCCGAATGAACCATTGCCGATAATATCCAGAGGCTCATACAGTTCTAGAAAGCTGCTCATAATGTCGCACGAAGTGTGCGGTAAGGGGTAGTGGTATGATGAAACAAGAACTTTACAAAATCCAGTCAAAATATAAATTTGCCAAAAGGCGCGAGTGCCACAACCTCTTCAAGTTTGAACATGTCACGCGTATGAGTTATATTCGTCATGTGACCGTGATTTCTGTCGTGTTTGGCATGCGCATGACCAATTGACGTCTTGATCATTGACTATCGACTCGTTTGTGACATAAATCGAATCGGATTGATGGTCATGACCGGTCTACACTCTATTGACGACATCCGCAATTCACATTCGATGTACATTGTACATGCACCAAACGTGCACGATGGAGCTATGGAGGCTGGCGCTCACTGGCAGGGAAAAGCTTCGTAGTACTACGTTGTAAGTCATATATTTCTCAACAAGTTCAATCATGCAGCGCAGGGCAATTTTGAGGCTGGCCCATGCTCAGGCTCAAATTTCTGTTCGTCGCAAGCTTGTTTCACAGTCATCCATCCCTCACTATTTGCTGACATTTCATTATTCATATCAAAACTGCATCATGCAATCGACTAAGATATCCTTGTTGTAATGAAATGGGGCGCTCCTGTGTATCTTGGCTTTGCGGAAGGTAAGCCATGCATTCGGCAATTCGTCGTGTGTACTAAATTTTCATCCGCAGCCACCATCTGTCGTCTTTATGCAACAACGGTGCACTCCTGCTTTATGTTCTAATGGAATTTTTGCTTGACGCCTTTGCCATCTTGTTGCGGCATAGTCGAAGAATCAATAACGCCGAATGCAAAGTACTGCACTTTTTCATTCAACATGGAGGCTACACCCTCGATCTGTACTCCCATTTCCGTTGCGTGCTATAATGTCTTCCGTGACCGTCTTTCCGCTATGATGCACACGTCTCCGTAGAAGCTTCCCATCGTCACCTCTCGACCACCCGCAACATAATGCGAGTGGAAACCCCATGCTGAAGGCCTTGTGCTAACCAACATGATGTCTGTTGGAACTTTGCCTTCCACTACATATTCGTCTGACTTGGCCCTTCTTCTATCCGATTTACCACGCGCCCCTACGAAACAAACAACTTCAGGACTCCCCAATGTTTTCACCAAGTGGTGGACCTCGTCGTGACCGGAAAGATCAACTATATGATCCGCCAAGAAACTGAATTCCGTCCATCCAACATTTCGATACAGAATACGGACTGACCAGGGGATGGAAAGCGAGCTTAAGACGCATGCGATCATTGCATCTGTGCCCTTCAGGTGACTGTCGACATCGGCCACAGACCTAGACCTAGACATGTACTGATTGTGAAGGCCGAATGCCAGGTATCCGCCTTCAGGCAAAACATCTGGGTCCAAAAGCAGTTTGATGATACCTGTTGTCAGCGAGTTTACGTCGTAAACACCCTTTCTCTCGAGGGTGGCGAGCGAAATGTCGTCATCGGTTGGAAAGTGTAGGCGATATGTAAGTATCACACGATGACCTGACGTGATTTTTCTGACCGCAACCTGTACGTCGTCGTAGAACGCAAGAAATGCCACAGATGTCTGCGTCATCCTTGCGAACAGTTTTGCAAAATCAATTGTCCATTCGTGATGTCCCTGGCGAAGGAGTAACGCTCCGCCTTCAATATCTGTTGGGAATACAACTAAAACGGTTGCAAAACCTTTAGGGATTGCCTTGTTTGTGTATGGATTGGTGGACTCCATACGACGGACGACTGCAGATGAAAAGCCTTTAATAGTGAATTATGAGGCATTTCAGTTTCTTTAAAATTCATTGCCACGAACCAAACACATCGCAGAACTCGTCGAGACTGAGGAAAAACATTCGTGATTCATCATGACTCTTAACGAGCTGATACTCATGGAGACAAACATCTAGCAAATTAGGTTGTCCGGTTGAGCCCTCTTTTGTCGCGGCGAGGACTGGGGGAGATGTTTCATGACACTCTGCATCTGGTACGCTTCTTTCAGTATTTATTACAATGGGATATAATAACTAACCATAAATCTTGAGGTGCTGGACAAGAAGTTGTAACGGTCGCTTGCTATTACCACCCTCGAGTAATTCACTTCTGATGGCCTCAGTGAGATGGCGATGTTCTGCATCGAATGTAGTGGCGATCTCGATTGCATTGAGCTGTGCTGGAGTTATTTGGAAGTTATTTTCTGTCGGAGACCGAGCACGACAATAGTACGCCAAGTGGCGGAGCTCTTCGGATGTTGCAGACAGTAAGTTCATTTTTCTGTTGGCAACAAATGACTTCAACTTTTCATCTTATGTAGTATGTGGATATGCGAGTCATACCCTGCATGATCATCAACACCTATACTGTAAAATAAGGTGCATTTATCTGGTGTGACAGGAAGTGTTCCGCAGCAATATGGTGGTCTGGGCTTCATGGAAGCTCGAACGTTGTCCAACTTCCCCATGGTGATTTCTCTATTCAAAGGCAAAGACCCGAAATATTTAAGATATTATAACACGAAGAGAAGACACGGTGAGTCAACAGCTCAAACGTAAATTTCTTGCAATAAGAAGCGCGCTACATGACTTTGACTCATTCTTCCATCAAACCTTCGTCAACGTAAGGCTCCAAAGGGGTCACGCACTTCAAGCTTCAGAGTCATTTAGTGAGTCAGTGATTGGTCGAAGGTACGTTTTAACTTGACAGTGACGAGAAAGCTGCTTTCCGAGCACGCTTTTTCAAGGTTCAAAACTCGTACTATTACTACAGGACCTTCGCAGGGACGTCCGCAACTAGGCAAATATCACCATACAAGTTTCCCATCACCACCTCGTTCCCGTACGCAAGGTATTGAGAATGCACGTTTGTGACGGAAGGCATCTCTGTCATTTGGATGATGTCAACAACATCTTCCGAATATTTGGAGTAATCGCCAGCCCGCTTCTTGTCGTCGTTCCCGAATTCATCAACAAACCGAACGAATTCAGCTCCTGGACCCATTTTCTCACCTGCGCCCCAGTGACTCCAAACGAGGCCTTTCTGGGATAGATCCGATATGAATTTATGGAGCACGAACGTCTGTTCCGAATGAGACACCCTGTCTCGATATAGAACGCGAAGAGACCACGGTAGAAGAAGCCTATTCAGGACGCGCGTCATAATCGCATCCGAGCCCTTCAAGCATGGCCCAAGAGTGTCCACTCTCATCTCTGACGATACCGGATACTGATGGCGAAGTCCGAAACTGAGATAACCACCGTTAGGCAACACCTTGGGATCATTCACGAATTCGGCAAGGGCAGTCTCCAAGGACGGTTCAAAAGGGCCAGGTGCTAAGATCGTAGCAGCTGATGGACTGTCCCCGCCAGACGCAACGTAGAGTTTGTAACTCAATGTCAGACGGTGACCAGATGTAATTGGACCAATCTCACATTCGACCTCATTGAAGTACGCTGCATAACCAATGAGAGGGATCTGTGCTTCTGACAGCATTGTTGCAAAGTCAACACGCAACTCTCTTTCGTTGTTACGTAGAGTGCATATCCCTCCGGTATGCGGAGTCGGGAATATAATATCAAGGAAGCCGAATGTCTTGTCGCTGGTTGTGGCACTCTTGTGTGGTCCAACAAAACTGCCCGCACCTAAGCGTAATAAACATTAGTTAGAAGAAGTACGATATGCAAATACTCGCTAACCATAGATATTCAATTTATATAATTCGAGGCCAATGTCCCGCCCTATGGCCATGCCCTCCAGTAACGACTGGCTCACGGCATCAAGCAATCCAGTGTTTGCCAAGTTAAATTGAGTAGCAAATTCAGTGGCGTTTAACCTGCCGGCCCTGAGTTTATTAGGAACCTCTCCATGGTCATGACTATACGCTGCAAGCTGACAAGCTTCATGGAGAGTCTCAAGCTGGTCCTGCGTAGGGAACAGCAGATTTATTTTTCTAAATAGGTTTCAGTTTGTAGCCACCGGCGAACAATGTATGGCATACCGTGCACTGCTCGTCGCTGTACTATAAAAGAGCGTAGATTGCTCAACAGCAATTTCGCAAGTTCCACTGCAATAGGAAGAACGGACATCTAGTGTTGCGCGGATGCGAGCCAGACCGTCAGGCATAGTATGAATTGCAATGGATAGGTAACTCGGAGTCCCTATTAAATATATTATCTTACCGTATCAGAATCGAATCCAGGTCCGTATGGAGAAGATATCATTATCAACGGAGGGAGCTGTAGATCGGAGCACCTGAAATAAAATGATACTACATCAAGATCACGTACTTGTAAGTTCCCTGAGTCACATATCTATAGTGCCATCATATGAGTCAGTCCCTATCCTCTCAACACGTTTTCTTAAAGTTTGCTTGTCTAATACATAATTGCCTTTGCGCAATATCAGCATGTGAAGATGCGGAGTTTGAGATCGAGATCTGGCGGACGGGCTGCTTTCTGATCGTGAAATGAGTCAATTCCTGTAATCTAGACGGCCAACGAAGCGATCCAGAACGTCTAATATACGCTTGCGTCGGCCCCTCGTGTCAAAGACAGTAGCATGATCCGAATTAGGATCAAAGAGCACTTCTAGCGTGTCCGTAGCCCAGTATTCCGAAGGGGTTGGTTCATCTGTCAAGTATTTTCTGACTTGCTCCGAGTTTACGATTTGATCTTTTCCGCTCAACCATACAGCGGCGGGTCTTCCCACTAGTTCTTCTTTCCACAGTACGTTTTCAGACCAAAAGAAGTGCCGCGACAAGGTCCGCGAGATATCTGGATCCCTAGACGTGAAATACCAAAGCTGTAACTCGTTAGCAAAACGAGGTTGTCGGTAGACGAAATTAAAGGCGACATCGGGAAGATGAAGAAGAAATGGTATCGGATCAACGAAAAGTATCGCTGCGATGCGAGGGGATAAATGGGAGTGGAGCATCTGCGTAGTGACGACTGTCCCATAAGAGTGCGACAAGACAACAACACGATCGAGTCCGAGATCATCCAGAATTTGCGATATAGCGGTGCAGGTTGCTGAGCTTGAGAGTGGAGGGGAGGTGATACGCATGCTGATGGAAAGGAATTCAATTGCCAAAATTCCAATATCTGGATGCAGAGCAATGAACTCCTTGAAGAAAGGCGTGTATGGGTATAAGCCAATCTGCAAAAATATTAGATTCATTTACATGAATCGCTCGAGAGCTCACTCCAATGCCGTGTATAAAAAGGACGGGTAGTTTCGTGCTTGATCGGTGATGACGATACCAGTATGGTAACTTGACTACTGGTGATCTTCGCGAGATGAGACAACATGGGCGCATCGGAAATGATGCCATGCAGTCGCCGTCATCATAATGGTGGAATCCCTGGCGCCAAAGCCTGAACGATGAAAAAAGATCCACCAAACCCACGACCTGAATAATGAATGTCGTTGAAGCTTATCATGTTCGGATGGCTACTGGTACTTACCAAATACCAGATGAATGGCCGGTGCAACATCGACACATTGTCAATCGTGGGTCGCATGCATCGAGCCCCATTGTTATATCCAGGGGCCAACTTTCTATCAATGATAACTTCCACCATCGAGAGATATTCCTCTATTTCTTCTTCCCATTCCACTCGACAAGTGTCTCTCGTTGCAGAGAACAAAGCCCAGAGGAGCCAGTCCACGACGTTTTCTCTCTTAAGCTCTGCTGAAAAAAACCATCCGGAAAGATAATCTGAGGTTGCTAGATAGCTCGAACATCGCTGAAAAAGCATCCGTCGATATTCGCGAGTGTGAATGGTGGGGTGCACTGCAGGCTAGAGGAACTGCTTAAGACGTCATGCTTGCCAGTGATACAGACAAATCCATACCTTCTGTAACATCCACCGTCTAGGCAGGTAAATCAACGTATAAAAAGATATCTCCAATAAAGCATATCCTCCCAGTGACGTTCGCCATCCGAAACCTGGTTGAGCAACGACAAGATATGCAACGTACAGAAAGCTAATTGGCGCCACCAGTCGAAGAAGCCCTATGCTGATGAGTATAAAGACATATTCAGGCAGACTTTTACCAATCATTTGCGAAAATCTTCGAGATTTAGAAAGGACAGTTTGAAGTTATCGAGTTACACTCTCATGTAGAATCCTTTGGTGATTGTCTCACACATGTACAGCGTTTTAGAAACTCGGGCGGGTCTAGGGGAGACCATTTAATATATTTCCATTAAGTATTATTTTCTCACGGTTACACTCATCAGCGGGTGTCGCCGAAAAGTTTCCCTTGCTTTCCACCATCATCCAACGGCGTCGACGAAATGGCAAAGAAAAAGAATAAGCAGGTAGGTATGCAACTTCTTCCTATACACGCTGATTAAAGATTCTTTTAGATCATCCGCCCATGGTGCTGGTACTGTGAAAGGGAGTTTGAAGATGAGAAAGGTATTTTTCTAACACGTCTGGAAGATGGAATCTCATATACACGGTCATTTAGTCCTCATGCAACACCAAAAGGCCAAGCATTTCAAATGCAATATGTGTCCCCGCCGGTTGAACACTGCTGGTGGCCTGGCCGTGCATATCCAACAAGTACATAAACTGGAACCAGAGAAGTGCCTCAAAGTCAATTCATATCTAGTTCGTTTTGTTGACTTCGTTTTGTTCAGTCTTCCTCGGATTGAGAACGCTATGCCAGGACGTGACGGGTATGAAGTGGAGATTTTTGGAATGGAGGGCATTCCTGCACCTGATGTTGCAGACTATAAGCGCCGCAAGGAAATCGAACTTGGCTTAGCTGCGGGTTCTATATCTCAGCCTCAGCCTAAGAGACCTAAGATCGAAAAGAGGCCTTTATCGGAAGACGAACTCAAGGCTCAGTTAGAAGCCCACAAGGCCTTGATGGGCGGTAGCAGCGATAATCCTCCTGCTCTCCCTGCAGCTGACAATAGTGCAAGCGCGGTGTACGGCGCTCCTCCACAAGCATATGTTGCTCCTCCTACTCCAGCCCCCGGACTCCCACAGCCAGGGATGCCTCCTGGCATGGTACCAGGTGCGCCTCCTCCATTTTTTCCAGGAGGGCCACCTCCTGCCGGCGCTTTACCACCATTTCCGCCATTCCCTGGCATGCCTGGTTTCCTTCCAGGGTAAATCATTTTTTTCTGCAGTAGATCGTGTGTTGATCTGTCGTATAGACATCCCCCTCCTGGCTTTCCAATGCCTCCTCCTGGTCTCATGCCCCCACCGGGTATGCTTCCCCCAGGTGCGCCACCTTTTCCTCCCGGAAGTGCTCGGCCGCCATTCCCTCCGCCACCTTCTTTTGTTCCCGCTGGTTCAGCGTCACCGTTCCCACCAGTTACACCGGGAATTGGACCTGGTGCTCCTCTGCTGCCATCAGCTGCGGCTATGGGGCCACCCGCTGCAACCGCAGCACCACCTCCTTTGACCTTGCCAAATCCGGCTCTTGAACAGAAATATGCTCCTTTCAAGAAACCGACAGAACTCAAATATGCAGACCCGAACTTTTCCCCTGTGAGTTGATGTAACTTTTCCCCCGATCCTACAACTAATGAGTGTATCTTAGGAAGAGAAACGGGCTTACACTAAAAAGTACTATATTGCTCGAGACTCAACGAATATGCCGCCATTTGGTATTGACTCTTTGGCGCTTTTGGCTGAAGAGACGAGAGGGAAGAAAAGGGCACGAGCAGAGGACTTCCTCTAGTGGTCAGGACTATACTTTGCGTTATGCTTGATCCAATGACATCGAGACAGACCGTATGAATCTCGACAGAGGGTTGTCACAGCGCAGGCAGCCCAAAGAAGAGGGTTATTTGGTGGAGACTCACCAGTCCGTCCCATCCATCTACTTCTTTCTGCTCATATATTTTTGGCACTCATCACCTCCTTATACTCATGTCACTGCACAGCGCGATGTTTGCTGCGATTTCTTCCGTCAAGCCATGCGGTGCGGACTTCTTCTTTTCCTTGAGTTTCTATATCGCCAGAACGTATTTTACTGTGTATTACGGTCGGTCTTTTCTTTTCTGTTATAATAGTCTTGTTGTGCAAACGGTATGTCTATCGAAGGTTGGTCTTCAGCGTGAATGGTATTCCCTATAAACATAATCACTTGACCCCACAAGGTGTCACTGACGCTAGCACGAACCATACCATGAGGCATAAAACTTTGACAGTCTGATTCAAGCTGAGACATTGTTCTCGTGTATGCTGTTGGTTACTGCGCTATACACTGCGGCTATGCACCTGCTGATTGGGCGAATCATAGGTCGCGCAAAGACTGGCTTGACGCTTCAAGTTTGTCCGCACATCTACATAACGTAAGAATCGTACGTTCTCAAGCAGTTGGATCTTATATTGCTCACCCACACCATGTAATTCCGAACGAGCAGAAGAAGCAGGCATCTGGAGTATATAGTATACCAAAAGCTCCCTCGTTGTCAATTACACATGCACTATAGTAGATCTCCAATAGTACTATGCTCCAAAAGATCCAAGACCGACCGTGCCAATTTCGCAGCCTCCTTATCGTCATCCACGTGTATCCGATGGTGGCGTCCCCCAGGGCTCATGCTTATGCTGACACCCGCAGTCCAATCACACATGTGCCGCAGCGTCGAGGTGATCCCTGCTTCGGTGAGCTCGTGTTTCCGACGAATGTTGGACTGGACGAGGGAGAAGATGCAGGAGATCAGGGGACAACGTGTGTCGGACTTGGCATCGGTCATGCAGTCGTGCATAGCATGGATAATGTGAGTGTGCGCGAAGATGAAATCCTGTTGTTCTCGCGAGCCGTTTGCGATGTTCGCCAAAAAGCATGCTGTCTGTTTATCCACTGTGTCAGTGAAGATTGCCAAGCAGAATCAAGTTGACGATTACATGATGGGTCACATCCTCGCTGGAGGATTCTAGACCAGAAGTAATACAATTGGCGAGAGTCTCCTTATCAATAGATTCAAATACGTAGTCGACTCCTTCTTCGTCTTCTGTAAGGTTGCGCAGAATACCCATGGCTTGTTCTTGGATTTCGATATTGGAATCGTTGCACAGCCTGTGGCACAAATGTTCAGATGGTTGTCAGTAGTACAGAAGTTGAAACGGACACGAGGAGCCGGGGCCAGCATAAATGTGTCATTACCGTCTGTCTTATGCTGGGATCGCTTTTTCGAAGGGTATTCTTCATTGCCCACAAAGCACCAACCCTCATATTTATGTCATCAGAAGCGAGTAGTTGCATCAATCGCGCAAGGAGCCCTTGGTCCAATAGTTTCTGAGGATTAAATCACTCGGACACAGGTCTTTGGAAGAAATTTCGGACGCACCGGCCTCAGCGGTGAGAAATCGTTCACCAAGTTGCAAACAGTATTCAAAGCTGCATATGTTACTCTTGGATCTTCGTCTTCCTTCTTAAATATCGCAAAAACTTCCATTCCGATTTTGCTGTCCACGATATTCGTGCGGATGATGGAAACTGCGCGACTAAGTGCGCGCAGGCACGTGCATGCTGCGTGGCGGATACCGATGTTCTTGTGCGACAATGAGACTTGTATTGTTGGGATGATGTGGAGATCATCTGCAACTTCCCGGCGAATGTTATTGTCAAAGAGCGAGATCGCTGCGATCACGGTTAACGTCGCCTGTAATATATAAATAGGTGAGCACATCCTGGTGAGAGGATGGTACTTACTTCTCTGAGGGCAAGAGTGCTCTCAGGTTCGTCTTCTTCCCATTCCGACGTCCTTTCGAGTGGAGTGATGTGCTTCGCCAATAAAACTACCTTTTCCAATGTTCCGCGTTCATAGACCTCTCGGCACAAATCTCTATCGTCTTTCACTAAATGATCTAATGCAAAATCAGATCACTGCTTGAAGTAAGAATGATGTTCTCCTACAGAGAGTGTAGCATGTTTTAATCTTGTTCTGTGGGGTTTCAGACGACGAAGAGAACACGCGGTTAACAACATGAATAACGTTCAGAGAAGCAGAATAATCTATTGATCCTGGATGGTGACTTGCATTGGCTCGAAGAATGTGAGCAGCGCTGAAGGTGGTCAACATTGAATCAAGGGCCTGATCAAACTAAGCACATACCACAGAGATGCAGTGAGCTGTACATCAGTCGATCTACTTTTCGTCAAATTTAAAACTATGTTCAAGGGGGTGTCGACTCATGCCGGAACATCACATTTGGTCCTGATCAAATGCTGATAATCGCGCTTACCTGTATCAGGCCAGGCCCTTGTGAGCGTGGTTGCAACTACAGTATTTTCCGTTGCTAAGGATGATATTGCGCCAAGCGCAGCTTCTTGTAACTGTGAGGTATCAGATTCACTTGCGTCTGATAAATGATGGAACGACCTTTGTGTCCTTCTTTTGAAGGAAATTGACCAGAAGCCGGACCACCCATCCACCTTGTTTGGCTGGTGAACTGGAATTTACCATTTCCATTTTTTCCCAACCGCGTCTGGCCTTAATCTCTTTGGAGCGCTCAGCAGGAGGTAGCCATTCTACGACGGCGTTCCGATGAGCTTCTGAACGGACAGTTGTACTGATAAGCTGAGCAATAGCGATGTTTGTTTGTGACGAAGGATCGGCCAGGAGCGGGAGAAATATATTGAGGCAATCAAACTTGAGTCCTGTTAACAAGACTACGCATTGACTGAAGGAATTAGAGTCACCTCGAAAAGATAACTCAGTGCGACCTTGGCTTCACTCCGCAAATCGGGGTTCCATGTTCGAAGACCAAGTTGAGATGGACCAACGACTTCAGCAATGGCGGTGGACAACACTCGTAAACCACGCGCTAATGCGGATTTTAGTTGCACAGGATCGTGGGGTTTCATATTTGACAGCGCAAAGAGGAACGCATGAAGAGCATTCGCGCGGATCAAGCTAGTTAAAGCGACCTCTGAACCTAGAATGAACAGTTGGTCCGTGAACAAGAAACTATCATATGGGCACATACCATAGGAAATAGATGCGATCACATGGGCGGATTCGATACGAATATCGTGATGAGACCCTTGGGTATCAGCACAAGACGTTGGAGAGTGCTTGACGCAGTTGACAAGCCTAGCCCAATGACCATAAGCTATGCATGATGCATAGGGTGGTGTCACGTACAAATGAATGAGCGCTGAATCCTGAGCAAGGGCTAGTTTGGCGGCAGGGTTGCCGATGACTGAGTTTTTCAATGTCTTGAGGGTGGTGGTGGTGATAGTTCGCACTGTCATCCGTTTAGACTGCGTCGATGCAGTATGAGCGGCTGGTGGTTGATATTGAATCAAAACCTACTGTTTAACTCAAGTTGTTAATGCTGTTGAGTACTGTCAGTGCGGCCACTGGTGAGTAATGGTCTTCCACACGAACCCGGCTTCCGACTGTCAGATGCCCTCGCCGGACCTGCCGCCGATGCAGTGCCGCACTTCATTGACATAGCTGTCACGTCCTTGGGTTCAAACCACATCATTCATTTTTCATGACGTCTACCCCGTCAGCCGAGGATTTATTACGCGCGGCGTCGCAAGGATTTGATCACCTCTTTGCAAATGATATCGACGCAGCCCAGAAGGTGTTTGAACATGAGGACTCTCCTTTTCACTTATTAGGACTTGGCGTCGTCGCATTTCTGCAGGCAGCCCTTGGTATGGAGGTTGGTTGATCACTTGGTATACCATTTCTAGATACGACTGATTTTTACAGACGGGTCTAATGGACGAAGCTACTCGTTGCCTTACGGCTTCGGAAGCAGGCGCCAAGAAACAAGCACGGGCGGCAAAGTCATTACCTTCAATACATCGATTCGACGCTGGAATGGAGTGGGAGGTCATGCATGCCGATGCCGTTGTTCTGCTTGGCTTAACTCATGCACTGGGGTATGTTTGACCCTATCGACGTATGCTCGCTTCTTATGTTCGGTTATAGCGAGTCATACCGGGGCTACTTGCAATGTTTGTGAGTCTTGTTTCATATCTGTGTTTGCTTGCAGTCAATATTTTCACAGGTATGAACTTAACAGGCGAGTGTTGGAATCGAGATGTGCCATGTATGACTGATGTCAGGATAGTGCCCATTCTAAATTCAATAAGTGCGTTATCATAAGCCATTCATGCACTATACATGTTCATGGACCATCACCAGACTCTTCAAGACTGTTTACCCGAATGGTCTCCAGTCCTACGCAACTCCGGCGACAACTCCTCTACCATCGCGTAGAGGCTCTGATGGAAGTTTGCGTTCTTCAGTGATACAATCTAAGCCAACTACTACGCCTAAGTCAGGCTTCTTCAGCAGGTGGTTCACTCCATCGACTTCAATTGCTGCCCCAGGGACGATCACAAATCCGCCAAGCGGGCCCGTCGAGGAACTCGTATTGTCCGGAACTGCGTTCGGTACCTTTTTTCACACCTTTGTGTTATTATATTGAATCCAAGGCTATTAGGATATGGGTTGTTTAACCTGGTGCTTTCTCTCTTACCTGCAAAGATTAGGTGTGTTGCTAAGCGTGCGAGCAACATCCCCTTGACTGCGCTTCAGAAATGTGGTCGGTTTTCTTGGCTTCAATCACGATCGCAAACTAGCTCTACAGGCTCTTGCAGTTTCTGCCGCAAGGAATGATATTCATTCCGTGTTTGCTGGGTACGTCCCCTCCGTAGTCATTAATGCCCATTGTATTGATCAAATTTAAGGTTGGTTCTAATGACCTACCACGGAGTCGTTCTTCTCCTTTCTGGATATCAGGCAGATGAGGCGCACATTATCAAACAGTACAAGGCCATAGTTCAAAGGTCAGTATTTCTCTCCCTCAGTTCATTCAATTAAGGCGTCCCAAATCAGAGTAGATGGCCGATACCCTGATGGTTCCTTGTGGATCCTGAATAAGGTTTGTTTTACTCAACGTAAATACTCTCGTTCTCATTCCCTGTTAGGCAAAGATACAGCGCATGACATATGATACCGAAGGCGCGATTGAGACCTTGAGAGATGGTTTGAAGCCTGAGAGGAAAAAGTCTTTCCCCCAGGCTGACACATTAGTATGCATGATGATTGTGACTGTGATCGTCCAGTTTCTGACCCACGTTTTTCCCTGTCTTCAGCTCACATTTGAGTTGGCCTGGACACTTCTTTCGCATCGTCGTTACGAAGAAACGGCAAAGCAGTTCCTTGGCATTACTAAACTCAATAGCTGGTTTCTATTTTTGTCTTCTTCGCGTAGCTTCGAAAACTAACCTATTAATTAACCAGGAGTCACGCAACATACTACTTCATTGCAGCTGGTGCGCCAATATCACATCATTCTAAGCATACTGTTTACCACTGCCTTACTAGGCTGCTACTTCTCATTGAAAAATTACAATAGAGCCCAGAAGCTTTTGGACAAAATTCCCGACCAGCTCGACAAACGGAAGCTGTCAGGTAGAGATATGCCTACAGAAATTTTCATCAAGAAAAAGCGTTCGTTGTCCTCTGAAACCAATCCTTTGACATTTAATGAACCTCACATTGGAATAGTGGCTTTCTACAAGAGAAAGCAGGCTCGTCTTGGGGGAGATGAGAATCGATTTGTAGAGGCTATCAAAATCAGTCCCGCAGAAGGTTCGTTTCATGGCATATTTCTTGTATGTTTTCTTACTATTTTTGCAACAGAGATTGCTATCTGTGCGTATTCAAATCAATAACTTCAGCAACAAACATTGACTTGATCTTGCATAGTCTGGAATACCCACGCACGTATAGAGAACTCCATTGCCATAGCGCATATCCAGGAGTGGTCTTCCCTGACCCCAACTATCACTGATATCGAGAGCAAGTATCTAGCGACACATGTTCCAAAGACCGAAAAAGACGACCTCGATACTGTTGACGAGCTTGCAATACGCTCGCTCCTTCTCGGCATCGTCCACCGTACTCTCGCCGAGTATGTGGCTGCGCGCGCATTCCTCCTCGATGCGCTACAAAGAGCCCCTGATGTCGAGATCAGTTCATGGGTTGGGGGCGTTTCCGCCTTCGAGCTCGCCGTGCTCGATTTGAAGGAAGCAGAATCGAAGGCTGCAGACATGAAGCCAGAGGAAGCCATGACGATGTGGGAAGGCGTGCTCGCGAGCGCTAGCGAGAAACTAGACCAAGCATATACAATGTCCACAAAGCAGACGGACCTATCATCGAGGCTTGATAGCCGAATTGTCATGCTCAGGAATGAGATTTGTGACAAGCGTGGATTGCTTGGGCTTCCTGCATGAGACAGGACAGCGTTGTACAATACACATACACTATCAATGTTTTGTGACACCTATTTCGGACTACATTGAATGTCTATGCATCGTGATATCTAACTTCCCTCGAGTGGCTTCCGAGTTTGTCATCGCGAACGTTTCACAGACCTCCATCCCAACGTCCATAGCATGGAAACTAAAGCGAATGGAGGGAAGAGCCAACTGAGTCTCCACGACCACCCAGCTGTCCGTTCTAGCTTCACAAGACACAGACGAACTTGTTGTTCCAGATCATGTACAGTGCCAGAATTATCAATGACGATATCGGCATACTCTACTTTCTGCGCTATAGGAAGCTGTGAATTAAGGCGTGCTGAAGCATCCTCGCGGGATGAACTATCGCGCGCCATGAGCCTCTGCAACTGAATGTCTGCTGAACTACGATGGGTCGTAGCTGTGGATGAGAACCAAAGGTATCAGAAAGAAACATACCAATACACCACGACGACTTTCCCCATCCATTTCCACAGCCCTCCTTCTATCAGAAGGGGGACATCCACAATGCATAACTTCTCTCCTCTCAACCAGCACCAAAACACATTCCAAAGAATGGCACGCGAAACAGCAGGATGGATGATAGAATTCAATTTCTTCCGCTTCACTTCGTTATTGAAGATAATAGCACCGAGTTTCTTTCTGTCGAGGGTACCATCTGGGAACAGCACTTCAGAGCCAAAGGATGCGACGATTTCAGTGAGCCCTTTTGTTCCTGGTTGCACCACCTCTCGTGCGAGGACGTCTGCGTCGATGACGGGTATCTCCCGGGACTTGAAGAGGGTGGACACGGTTGATTTGCCAGTTGCGATACCCCCGGTGAGACCGACAACTGAGATTCGTTCAGAAATCAGCGAGGACATTCGTATGGAGACAAATACCCAGCATTGTAGACCCTCGCTGGCAAAATGCTTAGGTGACCGCTCTTGGAGAGTCTTGGAGCTTGAAATTTGAATGAGTAGTCCAACGATGAAGTGACTTGTGTTTCGCCACGTGACTCGGATGTCCGCTGCCTTGTCTCAAGCTCTCGCTTGGTGCTGAATAGAACAAACCTAGTACAATAATTATTTTGGTATTAAGACAATCGACCTAATCACCGCCTTTATATCATAATTTCAATGCAGCTGCCCCCAGGCCTTGGAGATATCAGCAGCTGATTTATATCTCAAATACACACTGCTTCCCGAAGTATTCTTGAGAATGTACTGCACGAATCCAAATGATATGCGTGACATATCATCATAGCAAGCAGGCGACAAACAATCGGCGACTCCGGCTGTATGCTCCAAACTTTGAAATTTGAGGACATCGTGAGTCGTGACACGAAGCTCGTCTGACCGGCCATCACCGTAGTTCAGTGGTTCTGCTTCGCGATCTTGGAGTGACAACTGCATGCTCCAAGGCTCCACGAAAGTTCTAGAAGACCATGAATACAGCTCGAACCTAACCATTGTTATAAGCCATTTGACAAATATGAATTTACAACGCGACTCTGCCACGGCACGATTCAACCGAAAGACGGATAAAAGGCCAAGCCTTCCTGAATAACTCAACCTTCCATAAGCGATAAAACGGCGATCAAGGAGCAAGCTTGGCAGTATCTAAGACCTGATCTGGCGCGAGTTCGAGATACCACCGGTCTCTAAAGACGTGCGGATGAGCCATACGCATACAAAACATGACACTTACGGAAGGTATCACTCGAAAGCGAAGTCCCACAAGTGTCTCGGCTTCATAAATTGCCATCAAATTTCGAGCATGAACGTTTGAACCCCGAAAAAAATGCCTATATGTAAGCTAGGGAATGAGAATCAATTTGAGCCTCTCGATGCCAACAAGGCCGCTCTGTACACCGGTTACGGTTGAATCGGATAGAGCGGGCGTTAGAATAAAACAATGAGCCTGTGCATGGAATCGGCAGACTTAAAGATCTCCTCGGATATCGTTGAAAATAATTTGTCTCCATGACATGATCAGTGATTGCAGCACTATGTATCATTGCTTACCCGTAGCCGACTCAATTCGTAGCTCTTGAAAGTATCTGCCAGTAAGATTCTGGTACGACCTCACAATGGTGTGATTGCTGTTCTGGAGCTGATTCGTTCACAGGATCAGTGCACGACTTCCATGATAGGTGACCCACTTCCTAGTAATGTTGAATGCGATCACCTCCATTTCTTGGTGCGATGTGAATAAAATGCTAAAAAGTGACTACATGGTGAGGAGGAGACACACATATATAGTCTGTGATAGACGAGGCCTGCGAACCTGTGAGAACTCTGAACCATAGCAAGCGAGGTACGGATATGCGTGGGTAAATTGTCCCCAGTAAGAGCAAGACATTATTCAGCCCTCCTGGATGGTGAGGACATTCTCCCCGCAATGGTGAAGACCACCAAACAAGATGAAATTGTTTATAAGCTGAGCGCTGTCGCTGATCGAGCTCCTTTACCAAGCAAGCGAGCAACGGGTATATAAGTTCGCCTCACACGTCGTCTCAGGCTTCTACCCGAGATTCAGAATCCACCATTTGCCCACCATAGTTAACCTCACCAACTTATTCTTCCTCTCTCTTATCCCAGTTCTCAAGCCCGAGTCACCTAAAATGGCCTTAAACGTGGTATCTCGGAATGTTGTGAAGAAGGTGTTGGCTGTTGAGACACCCGAGGTGTGTCCATTTCCATGACTGCTAATCTCCGATAGGCTTACATATGTCTAATCGATAGGGTGCTGGAGCGCTCGTACGACGGTCCATCGGAAGCGCAAGCTTGCGCAATTTGACACCTTTCTTGTTACTGGATCACTTCCATGTCTCTGAGGGTGCCGTAAGTTGATTTCCTGTGTGGGCGCAATACAAATCATACAATTATTATTTATACAGGGATTTCCCGACCATCCCCATCGCGGTCAGGCAACCGTAACGTATATGCTCGAAGGGTGAGCAAATATTACTTATGGCATGTACTGCGGGCCTAATGTGATGTTTTATCAAGATCAAGTCGCCATGAGGATTCCGCCGGACATTCTGGTATGATTGTTTCGCTCGATTTATCCTGACACACGTCATCACATACGACTTCACAGGGACTATCAAGACCGGCGGTGTTCAATGGATGACTGCCGTTAGTGAACAGCACTTATCTTGTATGCACAGTCAATCTCAACTGCTCCGTCATGCAGGGAAAGGGGATCATTCACGCGGAGATGCCCGTACACGGAAAGAACGTGCCTGAGCCCCGAGGAATGCAGCTTTGGGTAGACCTACCAAAGAACGTTAGTCCCATAATCCATGCCTATGTTGCTGCGTGATTATATATAACTGACGAACGTGCACAGTCCAAGATGACGGTATGTCTAGCAGGGCGTTGGTCTAGTCTTTATCCTAACGTTTGAAATAGGAACCGACCTATCAAGAACTGGACCCTGAAGAGTATGTATGTGCTTTGAGAATTCTTTCTTCGCTTACGCTTGATTTTTCAGAATTCCAGTTGCGTACCCTGAAGGCAAAGATGGCAACATCAGCATCAAAGTTATTAGTGGAAAGAGCCATGGCGTTGAGTCACCTGTGCGACCGCTTGGCGGGTGCTGGTACTTCCACGTGCTGATGAAGAACGGCGCAACCATGTTCCAAGATATTCGTATGTCTTCTTTGATACCACACTTGAAATTAATTCATTAACACTGTTGACAGCTGCCGGTTGGACAGCATTCATCTATAGTATGTTGGACGAATATGTTGGATCTATCAAGGGTTGACTTTTCTGCTTAGTTTTGAAGGGTGCAGTTAGCATCGGTGAAAGCGGTCCTGTTAACGATGCCTTCCATACTCTCGTTCTTTCTAATGTGGACGGTGAGACTGGTGTGCAAGTGACAGCTGCAACAGACGACACTTCGTTTGTCTTGGTAAGTACACTCTCTTCATAGAGAACTGTTCCTAAACTTTTTGGGAAAGGTCGCTGGAGAGCCTCTCGATCAGACTGTTTTCCAATACGGTCCTTTCGTGATGACGAACCAGGAGGAAATCCAGAGGACACTGATGGACTGTGAGTAGTTTGCTAGAATGTTTGATAAGGTGCTTAATGAGTGTCCATACTGATATCCAGACCGCACGGGTCGTAATGGGTTCGAGAAAGCGCACACGTGGAAGAGTAAGATTGGGAATATGTGAGAACCCTGATACGCGTAATAGTGTTCTCTGCAAAGAGTAAGCTCCTTTACCACGATGCTCCATGATTCGATGTTGACGCACGCTGGCAGTTCTTTCTAAATGTTTCTTGCCAATGAACAATACTCAGTCCGACAATCGCAATAGCACTGTAGAGATACTTATTTCATATGTACCTTCTTTTGAAATACAATATTAATCGATTCGATATCATGTTATACTATTGATATCGAGAGCTCGCATTGGCTTGATAGCTGTATGCTCTTCCCCTGAAGTTGTAAAACAGTAGGGGACGCAATTCGACGAAGTGCATCAAGCCCTGGCACGTGTTAAGCAGGGTCAGTGTAAGCTGAGAGTACGATAGGGGTGTTGTAGGTCATTAGTTGATAGGCGTTCCGGTGGTTTCGAGGCTCCTTGTTTGGGACCCATGTGCTGTCCATAGATGTCAGATGGTAGGCTCGTGACCAGTCCGTCTGTGAGGCAAGCCGTCGATAGACGTAGACGGACTGGTCACGAGTCTAGTCAGATGGCACAACCGACGAACTGCGAACTGGGTTTAGTAGGCCAACAAATCATTGATCCAATGCATACAAATTCAGGGGCAACTCTGAATCGCCGAGTCACTGTCTGGCTCCTGGTGGGAAATTGGTTCAAGTAGGCAGGAGGCAGTAGGTTGGAGAGTATCCCAATAGCACGGCGCCACCTCTGAAGATTTGATTTCGAGAACTCAGTTTCGCGTGATCCCTCCGAAACTGACGGCGCAGGATTCGCATGCTAGTGTTCTGATCCTTCGAATTTCATTTTCAAGTTTCCGAGTCAACACGAGATCCTTGAAAACGCGTCAGTGCTGACCAAGAACCAGGAGAACAACAATGATGTCGGGCAAGCCGCAAGCGCGTAAGTAGTACTGGTTCGGCTTGCCTCATAGGTTAGGACTGGTCACGAGTCTAGTACTACCTAGACCTTCCCAAGCACGGCGCACGCAGAGTATTCTGGCATCACGTACGGCTAGGCACTCGGCGTTTAAAGGGGAATCAACTACTTATCCTGATTCGCCTTGACCCGCGTATAGATCCACACTGAGGGGTGACCGCGCGTTAAACCTGACACATAGAGTTCACCGAGTGCACTAATACAGTTTGAAGAACGCCGTTCGGGATCTTCAATCCGGATAAATGACCATGGCCTCTCTGAATTCAGATCTTCCATATTTCCCATTGAGTCGCTGGGTCGTTGTATATCAGACTTGAAAAAATTCCATAGCACAACGCACTCACCCTTCCTATTATTTTCTGGCTCAGACTCATCCATTCATTCAACCCGGAATCTGCTAGTCAAGATTTTGAGTTCAACATCCCCTCGGCTACAAAGGTAGTTAACAAAGACGTAATACCTTTCTTTCGTCTGCACCGGCCACACGAGCCTCCTGTTGTAGAACCGGTTGGTTTTATAGCCAAGGAGGCGCGTGTGCATGCCCTCGATCGTTGCACTGTCGCTGACACCCTTGAAATCTCTGCAGGCATTAGAAATAATACTGATGAGATACCACAGGGTTTCGAGTCAGGTTCCTCAGGGTCAATGGCAAATCGTTCATCCTTTTTCTCTTCGAATTCTGGCTAGGAACTTTACATGAAATTTAGAATGTATTTGAACGAGCGAGTGCTTCCAATATTTGATTATACTTTGGCCAACCTCGCCCGTACAACCTTTCTAAAGTTAAATCGGGAACATGTGACTTCTGGTGGCGGTAATAACAGACAAGCGCTGCATGCTCGATAAGTACATACTCTATTTTCGTACCATGACCAAAGATCCACAAATACACGTTAACTAAAATTTGTAGAAGTTTGGCAAGGTGAAATAGAGCAAGAGTCCGGCGATAGTCATAGCCCGGTTCCATCCCATTGTGGGGTTCGCGCTTGTTCCCGGTGACAAAGTTGGACAGCGGCGACCTGACACCACAGTCGTGGAGAAATATTGAAATCTAGGTGGTCCAGATGATGCATGAATGTAACGAAAGATATCTGATTCGCAGAAGTTATGACGAATTTCCTTAGCGCCAAGCGCGCACTAGCACTGGTTCAACGAAATATTCCACGGTGTTCCATAACGCACGTTTGATGTTGACCGGGCGTCATGGCATACTTGTGATGGCATCAGCGCTTTATTTCCGATCTTTGCTCAGTGAGAGGTAGCTGCACAATTGATCGGATTCCACCATTTTGTGACAGCCTCGAAGCGGCCCGGCAGTATAGGATATCGCCAGGGTCATCATTATGTACTGTCCAGGATATGTTAATACCTTGACGTGTGGCATGAGTACGTACAAGTACGCGCGTAGGTTCACGATACGGCAAAGCTACACTGACAGTTTAAAGTGGATAGTACATATGGATTATCTGATTCGGACGCCGCGAGGCGCGGTTCTTTGATCAGCAATCACGATTGCGGCGGCCTACACGGTGTTGGAACTTCTTCTGTGAGATCAAGGCTACGGAGAAAACGCCAAGTATGAGCTGGCCATCGAGCCAAGAGTTCTGATAGGTAGGATATCGAAATTCATATAGAAAACCAGAGAACGCCTCGAAGGTTCCAAGTGGAAGCTAGAACCGCCAAGGGTGGGTGAGTGATGTGGCACGATAATTGGCCCAATGGCCGAGTTTGTGATATGATCCGTGACAAAGACCACGCGTGGAGCGGAGGTCCTTGAATTGTTAGAATAGCTACGTGTTAGCCGCGGGCTGAGTCATTTTTCAAAGGCGTCCTTTTTTTCAAACGTGCGAAGGCTTGTCATTATCTCAAAATGGAAATCAATGATTTTCATAAAAACCTGTTCTTCCCGGAAAACGCCAGGACATAATACTAGTTGAACCGCATTCGCTCAGCCACATCCACTATATATTAGTAACCGCCAAGAGCCAACTGTTATATAAACCCCAGAGCCTTTCTCATAACTTGTTCATTTGTACCAAGTCCATCTGTACTACCCCACTTCACTATACCCTCACAACATGGATCGCTTCTTTGCACCCAACACTTCAGAGGCATTGGCTCACACCCATTTAACGTATGTTCACTTCCTTTTTCGATTCCAGCATGACCTGATCTCTGTGGCATGCCAGTGAAAATTGGTTCACCTGGGACCAAGACCATCCCTCATTCAACGAGACCCTCGTAGCAGGCTGCGCTTCCTACCAAGCATTCACGCGTTACCTATCAGGTTCTGACCTATTCATCGTACCTCGCTCTCGTCGTGAACTCGAAGGTGTCTTGTACGTACTCTTTCATCTCCAAACTCCACCCTCTCTTATTCGCTTGCTTCTCAGGCGACGTTACGCATATGATAGCATACACAATGCCATATCAGTCTCACGGCAAACCCTCCAAAGAGGTGGATACAGCCGAGTCAGTGGAGTACTATTCGTCATTGATTCCTAAGCTGACCCATTTGGTCTAGATGTGCTCCCTTGCAGAAAAGTCAATACGCGACGTCCTAAATACAAATGACAATACAACTGTCCTTCTTAATCTGCATGCCTCTCAACCAGAAACTTTCACAGGACCGGATGTGTCCCTGCCTAATTCAAACACCCGCATCAGGACTTGAATGCCCTTTCTCATCGCATCAGCTTTGCTTTGTTCGACCTCCCATTCTCGGCTCCCCACTGATATTTTTTTCCACCGTGGCTTGTTGGGATCTTTGTTTTCGCTATCGATCTCGTTATTTGTATAATCGCATCTGTAAAATTCCCCACAACGAACCACCCTTACCCACTTTGTACATGTACTACTACTACTGTTACTACTACAATTTAATCGATTCTCTTACTTCAATTTGGAACTTGGGAAATCGGTCATTCAGGGGGATCCAACAATACTTAAACAACACCACCTCGTTTGGTATACCAGGCACCAAAACGTATATTCATTTCCTACGGCGTGGCATATTCCCCGCACTCCGTAATTACTCACGAAACCATTTTTTTTGGCCGCCAACCAACAATGTAACCGTTGGCTGACGCTTGTGCGAAAGCAATAACGCCTCGGAACGACAGGCAGTAGAGAAAGGAGATGCTAATGCAAATTTATAGAGTGCGCAGCGCGCTAGTCAATATTACCAAATGGATCTTTTCGAGACTGGCAGTACCTGTGAGCCTGCGCATCACCATTGGTAGATTCATGTGAAGGGCCACAGAGCTTTGGGGACATGATCCGAGTCGATAACCAAGCTGTACGGCACCTCACAGAAGTTGGAAAAATCATGTTCAACCGATCAACCCACGGCCGTGCAACGTTTTGAACAGGAATTAATATTAGCTAGCGCTTCTCCTACCAAAACACGCATCCCGTAGATAGGGCGGGGCTGCGGTAACGTAGATGCTCAAACCCAGATGCGGCACACGTTTATCAACTGACTCACATGCATCCGCCACATGAGTCAGTTCTGCAAATATGGTTATCTCCCCATCAACCGCACGCGTTTTTTCGAACCTGGTTCCTGCTCGAACGGAACGCATCATGATGAGATGACAGCGGATATGACATCTGAATGAGAACAAGCGCCGTGACGCTGTTCGAGATAACGTTGATGACAGAACTCCGCGCGTTGAATCTTCATAAAAAAAAAACTGTTGTCCAGCTCGTATTGAATAGTCGTTATCTTGTCGTCATGCGAGAGCCACCCTGAAATTTGTATAGCCGCTGGGCAGATTTACATAAATGTGGGATTATACTAAACGCAGCTTGGTGAGTGTTGGTTGTTACCGACACCGGTCGCTCTGAAACATGAACGAATAAGGCTGTACTCACAGCACATCCGCAAGTCTGTGCCATCTCGACATCTCACTCGATATAGATCGTTCTTCTTCTGCGTCGAACTCTCCTTGGACGTAATACAGATCCGGTAAGAAAGTCTACATCCGAGCCGGAATATAGGAAACAAGGGTACTGGGAGGTACGACCGGGCTCTGAATGTGAATATGTGATGAACAGTCCAGGCGTAAAGAGCAGGAAAAGTTATTGAACCCTGTTATCATGATTACGTTAGCTCCATTATGTAAACGGAATACACCCTGCAGCGGTTGCCGACCCTTGGCCAATCCGGTCCCGGTCCCCAAGTTTATATTTATACGACAGGCTATCGCATGATTGGGGTATGAAGTCACTGGCTAGATAGAATCCGTGGCGCTTGAAGTGCTCGTGTTCAGGAACGACAAGCAGGTGAATATCGATACAGCGACACACGGAACTCTTGTTCAACTTTCGTGAATATATGCGACGCCATCGCGAGACCGTCTAGTGTTCGGGATGCGCTATAATTATTAGCAGCACTAGTACTGATGATGAAGAAGAGAATTGTCGCATTGGTGACATGGTCGAGTCCGTCGATTCCGACCAGGGGTTGCGCCTGAACGGAACGAGAGTATGTACTATGGATCAGGAGAGCCGCGATGACCCTATAATCAACACGAATGGTGCCCCTGCATGGGAGCTTTTGATGACCAATGGTTGCTAGAGAGTGGAATAGATTGGAAGTACTTACCAGGCTTGCTTACAGTGCTGGGGCCCCGCACGATAAGAATAATCGCAGAACACACCTCCGATATAGAACACAAAGATACGAACAAATTTATATCGACTGGATAGCTCTGGGAATCATTTCCCCTCAAGCCGTAAGCGCAGCCAGTTCACTGCAAACGCCGCAGTGGGTGGTTAACGTGCTCCACTGGCAGAATCCAAAAAAAACCGCGAATTACTCATTTGCTCACCGTACATTTGGTGACAATGTAGCTGCCCACCATGATCGTGGGGTCCATTTGGTTGCCGGAATCTAACACGATCATGTTTTGGGTTTCCTCCGAGATCGACGATAATGCCAAGAGAGTTGCCAAGAGGAACGTCCTGAGGGATACGATCGCTGATTCAAAACACCAATTCACCTCAAAAAAATTTGTATACCAAGCAAGTTCACAATAACAACTAGAAATGTTGGCTCAACTCACTGGGTAATACTACAACTCCACTAGAGTGTGATTCAGGTCAACTTGTTGGGTAGCGTCGTCCTGTCCAGACCTCGATGAGCACAATATCATATCACATTGATGTTACTCGCACGAGTAATGGGGTACTCGATAAGGTATATCCAGCCTAGTGCGAAATCCAATGGTTGGGTCCACAAAACGCGTCGCACACCCCTCTTGCGTGTGGGATACGTAGGCATCTTTCCAAGGGCCGCAAGAGTGAGAAAACAAAGAACAGGAAACTGAGACGATGTCCGAGGAGACTACCTAAACCAAACGAAGTTCTGGAGCCTATCATCAAACCAGCGCCATAGTCCCATCTAGCTCGTCTCGGTTAGTACGGTAAGTAATTTAAAAGCGGGCAAATAACTGCTATCATGGACATTTGGCAGGCCTTGAGCCCACGGTGCAGCATGCTCTCGTGTAGGTCTTGTAAATTCTCCACATGGTAAAACTTCTCGTCTACACGCTCAGTAGCAGCCCCACTCAGGCGGCCGCTAGGCATGCTAGTCTTGAAAGCGGGAATCACGATGACTGCAAGAAATCATGCAACTATATTAATATCCTCGGAATGTCCTTGCGTACACATCCGTGTTGAAAGAGGGTATACGACTAAAATAGCCAGGTATACACGTGGTCACTGGACAGTCAGGTGGGCTGGTCAGTAAAAGGCCTCGCGGGATAAAGGCAAATATACATACATACGTCACAGTTTATGCTTGATTTCTTTCTTGGCAATCTTGCTGAAGCGCTCAGCAGGTATTCCGCTACTAAATCTTTCCGCTTGAGCATAACTCTCTCGCAGGTTCACGGCGTGGAAGTTGTTCTTATCGTTCAAACCAGCTTTGATGAGTGTTTTGATGACGGAGATAGAGGCAGGAACTAGGTTCTCGAGTTCATTTTTAAGATGCTGGTGAACTGCAGAGTGGAATTCTTCAGTTGATTTTGATGGAAAAATCTTGCTAGATGATTATCAGCATGGGGGAGGGAAAGTCGGGTGTGGGAACGCGCACTTGACGAATCCGCATTCAAGCATCTCTGACGCGCTAATCTTCTTATTAAGAAGAAGCACCTCGTTTGCCTTGGCGATTCCCACTTGACAACATCATAAGAAAAAGGTCATACGACGATGGATTCACTTACTGCGGTTGACGAATGAAACACTAGCTCCTCCTTCCACCGAAATGCCTTGAAGGGCACAAGTCTTCAGCATGTATCGAAGAAAACAATCAAACGCGCGTACCCAGGAATGGGAAGCCGACATTCAACCAGGCTCCTGGCACCGCGTATATCAAGTCAAAGTTGCCGAGGAAAGCTACGGGAACCTATTTGAGATGGCACGTATAACATCTATGGTGAACGTACCAGCTGCTATGCCTGACATCGAGGTTGTCATTTGAACCGTTTGACATTTAGAAAAGAAGTTGCATACCCATCACCGGCCCATTTAGCGCCGCGACAAGAATTTTGCTATGAGTGTAGATCTTTCATGACAGTCAGCGATACTATGAAAACGCGAGGATTGCGACGTACGGCGTGTGTGCAATCTGTGTTCGCAGCAACCACCCCATTGATGAGGCAATCCCTCATCGAGCGTTGAACCGGAACGTCACTGTTCCCGTCTGAGGCAATTTTCTTCACGTCCGTGCCACTTTCCGCAAGTAAAACACTATAAGCAACGAAAGTGTAGACTTACGCGCAGAACCACTTTCCATTTGCTGTCCAAAGATAAATGGGTTGCTGCCACGAATTTGGAAACTTGCTTACCTTGCCATACGGTTGCTACTACATCTTCTCTTTTATCGACCGCGCGTAAAGAGTTGGCAAATTCATCATAGTCTGCAAGTCGATGGTTGCTCAGCCAACGTCAAAAAAATGATTAATTTAAAGAATTTAATTATGCAAACCTGCTGGTGTCAACGCGTTCAGACGGTGAGGTTCATTCAAGGATATCGTCGCGATACCCTGAGAAACATTCACTGATATTTTACTTGCAGGCATGGTTTATGATGGCGTTCAAGAAGGCGAGGATTATCACGAGGGGATGAAGAGACTTGTGCGCAGTGGATTACCGGTTATAACTTATAGCCGGCTTCGGTGAGGTGTGCAGTTCAAGCGGTGGTCTAACCACTGGGTTCTCGAAACCCAACCTAGCGGAACGTCTCGGTAATTTTATACCTTGGTGCACTGACGCTGTCGACGACGATATGATGAGCTCGAACCGACCGACCAACTTGAACTATCGCGTCCTTTGCTACCCACACATCTACACATATGCATATCTTTTCTCTCAGTAGAACTCGTTCCCGCAAACGGTCTGGATGACCATCATCACTAATCTGCTTCTGATTCCGGCATACAATAGTCCACTGGTGTGGCGCGTCAGCGCGCTCGAAAATTTCGAGCACCAATCTACTACTTCCTAAGACCTGCTGTCTCCACACGTTGGTGCATGTCCGTGCATATTGCAGTTGTGCAAACCAACCATTTTACATCTCCCTTTCAGCTCAAAGCACCGTCGCAACGAAACACACAATGCTCACATCTTTCGAAAAGCCCGTCCTAGTCCCAAATCTGTCTCGCCAAAGAGGTCACCGCTGACCGGTCAGCTAGGAGGCCTGTTTCATAGGCTGAGAATTTGTCCGTAACAGCAATGTCATTTTGTTCTTGTCCGAGCGGGAAATGTGTGGACACACGTCTACACCGACCCGTTCATGAGGACTGACCAGCAGCAGCACCTCGAACGAATCCTTTCGTTTTTTAAAAAAAAATTATATCCTATGAATTGGGTTACAAAACATACCAGCGCGACGATGAACCAGTCAGTAAAATATCTATGCCAGTCTGGGCCTTTGTGATGCATTCGGCATCAACTCCGTGTCTATTCTCCCCGCGCAAAATGCGCTTCTGCTCGACAAAGTAAGCAATACTCGTGCATTCAAATTATCATATAGAACACTCAAACGCTTTTCAGTGATATAAACAAAGTCTTTACTTTCGGAGGGCAAGAAAACCTTCGCATGTGTTCCGTCTCACCCCTCCGCCGGCCGAGCTTGGACCTGAACTCATTTTCAACTCGGCGTTGATGTCTAGTTCCACTGTCATCCCAGTATCGACATTCAGCACTTTCATACACCGATTGCGGATGCACGTATCAAGCTCGTTCCCCATCTTTTGGTGCCGCACTTCCTGCCGTAGCCATAGTACTCTCCACATCCCTCCCACTCGAGATCAACGAGCACTTTCAGTACCTTGCAAGGAGCTGTAGATTAGTGGATGCATTGAATGCCTGGCAGTGCAATTTCTATTAATAGTGTGAAGACTACATGTATGATGTAATGATATGAGTACTTTGACGAGACGGTGGGGTCGAGTGTTGATAATGATGAGGCTAGTGTTGTCGCAACGGCAAATTTTCAAGATATGGAACCACGATGGTAGTGGACAACTCCACATTCAAGCTCGATATAGGATTAACATAGAACAAAACTGTGCACTCGGTATTACTACGGCTGGATCATTTGCAAGTAGAGCTAGAGGATATTGATTGAGAAACTACCAGGGACAATCAGGGCTAACAACTCACAGATCTCGACAATTCGACCAGTGTTCTCCATGAGCCATGCGACTCAAATCAATATCTAGCCCAAGGGGGGGTATCGCTAATACAGTCCCAAGGGAATAAAATGGGTTTTCTCGGGAAGCGGGTGGTACCCAGAAAAGAAGCCGACGATAGGCTCCTACCATCCATCCATCATCTTCCAGCACGACAGGGGTTGTTTTAACGTGAGAGGTGCCCTCGAGTAGTTCAGCAGAGTTTTGCAGTGCATATTCCAAGCGTGATGGAAAGCAAATGGTGCGATAGTTCCAAGTATTAGTTAACATGATAGTCTCACGTTTGCAAGGTGTGGTGGGACGTCTGTCCAAAGAGAATGGAGAGGAGTGAATCTCAGTGTGCTCCTGGAATTGTTGCTCTGTCGCTGCATTCCACAGCCGGAGAGTGGAATCCCAAGAACCAGACACGATGCGAGTGCCATCGGGGGAGAACGAGGACTGACAAAACCGAACTAGTGTGCCCTCGGAAGGGCTCACCCAATGGCAGCCCCGTTGCTGCATCCCACAGCCGGACAGTGAAATCTTCTGAACCAGACACGATGCGAGTGCTATCGGGAGAGAACGAGACTGACAAAACCGAACTAGTGTGTCCTTGGAAGGGCTCACCCAATGGCAGCCCCGTTGCTGCATCCCACAGCCGGATAGTAGAATCTTTGGAACCAGACGCGATGCGAGTACCATCGGAAGAGAATGAGACTGACGAAACCGCCTCAGTGTGCCCTTGGAAGGGCTCACCTAATGACAGCCCCGTTGCTGCATCCCACAGCCGGACAGTGGAATCGTAAGAACTAGACACGACGCGAGTGCCATCAGGCGAGAACGAGACTGATAAAACCGACCCAGTGTGCCCTCGTAAGGGCCCACCCAATGGCAGCCCCGTTGCTGCATCCCACAGCCGGACAGTGGAATCGTCTGAACCAGACACGATGCGAGTGCCATCGGAAGAGAATGAGACTGACAAAACCGAATGAGTGTGTCCTCGGAAGGGCTCACCCAATGGGAGCCCCGTTGCTGCATCCCACAGCCGGACAGTGGAATCGTAAGAACTAGACACGATGCGAGTGCCATCAGGCGAGAACGAGACTGACAAAACCGCCTCAGTGTGCCCTCGTAAGGGCTCACCCAATGGCAGCCCCGTTGCTGCATCCCACAGCTGGACAATGGAATCGTCTGAACCAGACACGATGCGAGTGCCATCAGGCGAGAACGAGACTGACGAAATCGAATAAGTGTGCCCTCTGGAGGACTCACCCAATGGCAGCCCCGTTGCTGCATCCCACAGCCGGACAGTGGAATCGTAAGAACTAGACACGATGCGAGTGCCATCAGGAGAGAATGAGACTGACAGAACCGCGTCAGTGTGCCCTCGTAAGGGCCCACCCAGTGGCAGCCCCGTTGCTGCATCCCACAGTTGGACAATGGAATCTTTTGAACCAGACACGATGCGAGTACCATCGGGAGAGAACGAGACTGAGAAAATCGAATGAATATGACTTAGGAGCTCACCCCATGGTAGCCCCATTGCTGTATCCCACAGCCGGACAGTGGAATCTTCTGAACTAGACAGGATGCGAGTGCCATCGGGTGAGAACGAGACTGATGTGACTGACTCGGTGTGCCCTTGGAAGGGCTCACCCAATGGCAGCCCCGTTGCTGCATCCCACAGCCGGACAGTGGAATCTTCTGAACCAGACACGATGCGAGTGCCATCGGGCGAGAACGAGACTGATGTAACCGGCTGGGTGTGCCCTTGTAAGGGCTCACCCAATGGCAGCCCTATTGCTGCATCCCACAACCGGAGAGTGGAATCTTTTGAACCAGACACGATGCGAGTGCCATCGGGAGAGAACGAGACCGACAAAACCGAACGAGTGTGCCCCCGGAAGGGCTCGCCCAATGGCAGCCCCGTTGCTGCATCCCACAGCCGGACAGTGGAATCTTTTGAACCCGACACGACACGAGTGCTATCGGGAGAGAATGAGACTGACGAAACCGCCTCAGTGTGCCCTCGGAAGGGCTCACCCAATGGCAGCCCCGTTGCTGCATCCCACAGCCGGACAGTGGAATCATAAGAACCAGACGCGATGCGAGTGCCATCGGGCGAGAACGAGACTGATGTAACCGGCTGGGTGTGCCCACTGATCACGGTCTGAATAGCCGCCCAGTTTACAAGACGTCCATGCATCAGACGAAGAGTGTTCGGAAACCTGGCAGTAAACTTGGAAGCTATCGTGGACTTGATGGGGGAAAATGGCAGTGCTGATACATACAGATGAGGCGTGCTGTATAAAATCATGCCACCAAAGACCTGGACGAATCTTTGTACATCCATTGCAGTGGACAAGACATTTGCATATCCGGACTGGCCCTGTGTTTGCGCATAAGCACTTCGCCTTGACACCACCAGGTGACTCTGTTCTCACCTTCAGCCACTGGGTAAGGAGTGGAAGCACAGCAACTGCGCTGCTAAGTGCGTTGAGGAGGCCGAGTGCCTCGATCCAGTAGAGTAGTCGCACATTGTCCAGGAATATTCCTATTTGGTCAGCGAGCTCCGTGTCGAAGGTCGTTGCTCGGACGTGCGTAGCCCAAAATCGACAGGAGTACGACAGGTGCGAGGGAATGTGTCTTGCGACTTTGTCCGGCAACTCGATATCTTCACTATTGGGCAGGTAGGAAGACTTTAGATTACACATATTGAAGCGAAGGTCGTATTCCATCACTCGAAGTGAGGCAAAAGCAAGATCGCGTTGTGAGTTCGGCATCTTCACGAAAAAGTCTCCACTGGATGATTTGTCTGTTAGGAATTCGCGAAAGGATGCGTGAAGGGGTCGAATGGGGCTAGATGAGTTGGTGGTGCCGCTTAGCAGGGATCCCATATGTGCTACCACGATTTCTACTTCGTAATGCTCCCTTGGGTCTGGAAAGTGGCACCTCATGGCATTCAAAGCATCCAAAGGGAGGGGTTCGGCTGAACCAAGTATTTGTCCCATCACGGAATGAAACCTTGCTAGCGCTCGCCGATATTCGGTTTCTGTGCTGTCCTTTCCCATGTTTTCTCCTAAAATGAAGCTATACATGCTATACAACAAGTTTTTCCGCTCTCCATGATGGTGGGACACGACAGCATTAAAGCGTTCGATTGGATATGAGCCAGCAGAGGGTTTTTGGATGTATTCGCATGCAAGACGCGCCCATTCGAATAGTCCACCAGGCTTTGTCAGCGAGGTCTCCGAACTCTTTGTCCCCAAGGCCAGACACCTTTTTCAGCTCGTGAGACACAAAAGTACGGATGTCTCTCTTCGAGTCTTTTTCTGAAATGTCGTCCATGGATAACCGTCGGATATGTGGAGCATCCTGAAATTCAGAACTGATGTCAGGAAGAGCGCGAGAGGTGATAAGAATTCGAAAGTTGGATGGGAGTTCGGTGATTTGGGGAAGACCTTCGCCCTCCAGTGTACCGGCGAGTATGCGGAGAAGGTTACGCCGTGTCTCTGCTCCACCGCTCTCATCCAGCGCTTCGATCACGATCAAAACAGGCCCTACGCTCGACCCAGAAAATTTCTTTAGCGGTTCCATGAACAGCTTGCGCCACTGCTGGATGATATCCGTCGTGCTCTTGAGCGCCTTTGCATGTTCGACTGCGTTCGCCAATGCGCGTCTGATCTCCGGATCACGGTCAGCGAGGTCGCGAGCGATGGTGGAGAAGACTTTTTTATGACGCTCGTCTGCTCCAGAACGCCGGTCGAAGCAGAAACACGAACCAAGCCCTCCCGAGTCGTTAAACCAGTTAGCGATTGTGTGAGCGATGGCTGATTTGCCCGTGCCCGCAGGGCCAGACAACCACATCACACGCTGAGCAGTATCTCTACTGTCGTTGATCCATTCAGTGATCTGGGAAAGAATGGCCATGCGCGTCCCTGGTAGGCATTGTTTTGTGGTATCAAGTCCGGCGGCTGCGGCGTAAGGCATATCACTGAGGATCAGTTTGTCACCCAGTTCATCGCCTGAAAGGGTATGAGTGGACGGAAAGTCAGAAGCGCATGCGAATCCTTACTCGCACACCGGACGAGATCAGCTATGTCTCGAAGAGCTTGGTCCCGAAATTGTTGCATAAGCCCATCCAAAGCGTTATTATACCGTTTAATCAGGTCATCCGTCTCCGAGGCAACATTTTTGCCGAGTCTCTTCCCTGTGAAAATGGTATAAGTATCATAATATGGGAAGTTCAATAGCGCGATGACTCACAAAAGCTCTTCTTCTCTGAATAATCCCTAATGAAACGTGCGCACTCTAGAGTCTGCTGGGCGATTCGTCCAGCGATACTGAGCTGGGATGAAATCTGAGCAAGAGTGTCCTCTTGTGACATGAAGCAGTAAAGTTGTTCCAATTTCTCCAGAAGGGATTGTACTGATTGGTCGCGTTCTGTTTGAGCGAGAATAATCTGCATAGAGTTAACAGCTGCTGAACAGAGGGTCAAACTACACGTACTTTGGATGCAGCAGACAGCACGCCCAGCGCCATCTTTGCGTAAGGGTGTACCTATGCAACTTGATTAACTCGCTTCCAACCAAGAAGAGTGGCCCATACATTTGTAAGATTCTCAATAACAGTGTTGAAAATTTTGAGTGGTTGAAGGTATGTGGTCTGAAAATCGTCTGCAGTAGCGAGATCTTTTGGGCCGTCCTCGACTTTGGATACCACAGAAGTGACATGTCCCCCGAGTAGCCTCGTACCTTCCCATCCCCCACGGGCACCCCGAAGTTCTGCACCAACTGATTGGGAATCCGGAATCTCTTCCACGCCAGGAGTATTGAGAATCTGCACGGCCACCAGAGTTTAGAGATGGAAAAACTATTTGGCGTATATACTAGTACCTTCGAAGCAGGTTCTCCGGACGCTCCTTGGTTCACACAGCCACTGGTACTGAGATTCTTAGACGTGGTGGGCTGGTCATCATCGGAAGGATGCAGACGCAACACATCCTTGGTGGACCTCAGATAAATTCAACATCAAAATAATGACTACTTACCTCAATATTCTGATTCGATGAAGCACTTTCATGATCGGCGTTCTGGACAGCGAGGATTTGGGGGCGGGAGCGCTTGAAGCGTTTCTGTACATTATCAGCTATATTCTAGCTCCCTCAGCATTCAGGTCGACGTACAGAAACTTTTTTATTTATATTCTTCTTGAATTTCCGCAGAGCCCGACAGAGTCCGTCACGGGGCTGGGTCTGGATGCATGAGAGGCAGCGACGATGTTATTAGCGCTCGTCGATACTGATCTCGTGAGGGCACATACCGAGCTCTCGCGAGCAGTTGTTTCTCTGGATACAGAAGCCTCTGGAGGAGGATTCGGCCCGTGGTCTTCGCTCATTGCAAACAGGTAAAAATTGGAATTAGCCTGAGGGAAATAGATGCAAGAATCAGTGGGAGGGGAGAGTACGTCGGTAGAACCAAAATTGAAAGACGCCCGAACACCCTTGACCACAAGCCTCAAGGCAGCGCTAATCATGTGTAATTGGGCAGTGCAGGAACGTGGGTCGTGCTAGCATTAATTCGTTCATCGTGGAACAAGCTTGGCTTATAGGTCTTATGAAATACATATGTATTTTCCAACTAGTATGAGTGATCAGGCATTGCGCGGAGTCAAGGCCTCATGCACATGGTGTAACTTGGGCATATTTTCTAATCGTGTTTCTAACAGTGTCTCTAACGTCCACAGGGCAGTGATAAAATCATTTAAAGCTGGCTTAGTTAGAGAAGAATCCTGCGAAATCGGGCAGAACAGGGAAGCTACTTATCTTTCAGCCACCACTTGTCATTGCACACTCCGCCTAAGATGCTCAGAGTCTGCAGACGAGCCTTTATCTGGAGTTGTAGCTCCTTCTCTGCCTGCTGTAGAATGTGCGCCCGTTAAACGGGAATATGCTTTACGGACTCGGAGGGTCCAGAGAGGGAGGAAAAGAGATGATACGACGTAGCTGGTAGTAGTAAGAGGAATAATGGGCGGTTCCCGTACAGGGTTAGGCTCGGGACCAGCCTGGCTTATATAAACACGGACATGTGACGTACGTCAGACTGGTCACGAGTCTAATGTTTTGCAAATTCGACTCAGCACGACTTCCTTATGTGGTATGTTATATATACTCTATTCCGAATTATCACTACGGCAACTTGAGCGAAATTCAGGAAATAACATTCAATGTCCATTTAACTTTTCTACCAGCGTTTCTATCTCACCGATACCATCTGCCGGGATGACTGGAAGACAATCCTAGATTATAGAAGAAACAAACATTGAAAACTACTATCACAACCTAATATCTGATTCGCCGATTACTACTAATGATACTAACCACAGAAAGTATTTCGGATTCAAGGTCGACCCGACCATCGCGGGAAGGTGAATAAAACCGAGCGATGACCATCTGTCCAAAAGATTTACTCCCAGTATATAACTAAGCTTACAAAGGCCCTGTCGAAATGCTGTTTACCAGGAAAGCCTCAGCTGTTTGCCTTTTTCTTGCCTTTGAACAGGTTCTTACTGCACAGACGCCTCTGTCAAGTTTAACTGCGTCTTTATCCTTTTTTTCGGAGGTCGAAAATGATCTTGGACAATGGGACTTTGATAAAGGACCTGTGGTTAACGCAACAGGACATCTGGTGTTCGAAACGGCCAATTCCCTGCTTCAGCACTGGCCAAACACGCATTATCGTATTGGTGTGTCTAATACTGAACACCACGCAGACGAGTCATGACTCATTATTTACGTCTTGCAGGTCATACAATAGTTCCAGGAACTATTCCCGTGGGCACTATACTCTACCATGGAGCCATCGGTCCCAATCCACCAACTGCCCTGGATTGGGTCGCTGTGGATCCAGACCACTCCATAGTTTTTTGCCGGGGATCAATCGAAACAGGGTGCTGGCACGTCATCCTTACAGTCACTCGGCCGATGAAAGTGCTCTATTTTGACGGAAGCAGCGCTGCGAAACTCCTTGAGGGCACAATGGACACCCAAGATCTCGTGGCATGGTCGAAAATGAAACCAGAGTGGGTGTTGAATGAAAAACAGCGCATAAAGGATCTGTGTAAATGGGGTCAGAAATATGGCTTGAATGGCTTTGTGAGGTTCGTTGGATTTTGAGATGCGTCAATGCCCGATGCTGATGTGTGAGTTATAGGATGGAAATGAATTTGTGCGAACCCATACATAGTTCCTTGGTGGTTTGTTATTGACGACGGTCATAGTGAAATCATGATATGCAACTTCACCTCTCACATGGAGGTTGTTTCGTTCTTAAATCTCGAGAGCACTCGCATCGGCAGCGGCCCGCCTACGGATCTGCCAGAAGACCCCAATACCGGTGAGCGGCCATGTCCATGTTTTAACGTAGGTCTGATTATTCTCGGACATCAGTGCATCACGCTCTTGAAATGATGCATTCTACTTCATCTCGCGAAAATTATCCAGGAGAAACCCGAATTATTCTTGATTTTTCTGGGCTTGTCTCTTTCTATGACACCGCTCTTGTTCCCTCCTTGGTCCCGCGTCGTGTAGGCTTGGAGCGGTGGGATCATCGAGTGAAAGGAATATCATCGGAGGATATAGAACGCGTCCAAGACAGGCTAGCTCAAGTGTTAGCACAACCATCTGTGACAGCCAGCGGCATCGACTGGAAAACGGTCTTACGGGTGGTGGTCGATCGATATGCCAACCGTCTGGAGCTCATGCAGTACCATTTGAACATGACGATGGACGATAGATCGGTCTTTAACCACGCAAAACAAATCCAGAGACGACTACGCACCATGCTTTTGCCCTACACTGTGTTTGCAGCCTTACCTCCTAATATCTCCGTCCTCGCCAACGCGACAAATTTGTGGGCCGCGCCAGTTTTTCGTGAATGTGCCAAATCACATACGGCCTCCATGGTAGCTCGCAGAACGACATTGACGCCTTCTGAACGTTTGCTCCTGCAGGCGGTCTGGGAAACTACGCATGAAATATGCCGCGTCCTCACGAAGATGTGGGCTTCTGGAATGGTTTTGGGAGTTGACCCACTTTATCCTCTGGAAAACCGCCCTGAAGCTGATCACATACATACTCTCATGGGCGAATGGAAGGAGGATGTGACACAGTTGATCTCGTGGTTGGACTGGAGCGTGTGGGTGAAGTGTCGACCGGCCTGTAGTTTCGAGGTAACAAAATCAAGTTACTTGTTTGCGAAATGACTGACCTCGTCGTGTAGGAGATGTGCTACTTGCCTACTTGGCCGTTGGGGTTTTTCCCGACTCCCGGCACACAACTTCAAGCTCAATGGAACAATGCTTCCTTATGGCCGGATCCAAACAAAGGGGAATGGAAGAGACCGCATCCCAAGTGCATCAGACGGCTGGAGCCATATGGCTTTTAGGACATACAATGTAGCTTAAGTGTGCCGCGTGCGTGTAATGTGCTAGCTCTTTGTGATCATCGAAAGAAAAGTCGCTCGTCTCCTTCATCGACTACAGTATGATTGCAGACCAACAAATGCATCTTGCAGTAACTCCAAGAGCTAGCTCGTCGCGTCTGAACAAACCGCACGTCAGATCGTGCAAGTACCTTTTCCAGAAACTATAATCCCACAGATGCTGTATTCCTGACACCCTACAACCATCTTTGATTTATAGGATACTTAATGAGCTCTTAGACCACGATCTCATTCTATGGTCTGACATCGGTGACTCTTTCTTCAGTACGTCCTAGCATCAGTCTTTCCCTATTCAATATCCAACGAATCTGACCGTCGCTCATAGTCCTCGACCAAGAGCGCTTCGCAAGCGAAGTCCTAGGGCGCTAGTTCAAATATGAGAACTTCTCCTCATTCATCGATAACTCAACATGTACAGCTTTCACAAAATTCTTCATTTCCAACAAAGTGTAGCTGAGTCTCAGACAGGCGCCTTGACCGTCAATGGTGTTCAAGTTACGGAAAAACATCAAGCTGCTATCTCTTCTGAACTCGACGACCTCCATCGCTGCTCATGAGGCATAAGAAACACGAGGACACCATTTACCTCAATGTGAACCCCTAGTTTATGATACCCGGCTGCGGCACACCTTCTCAAAGGGTAAAATTATCACGTTCCTGCAGAAAGTCATCAAGTATACTTCACATAAATTTTTTCTCAAGGCCAGACTTTCCCGAGCTCTATGAATCATTTATGCAGCGAAGTAACATCTGGCTCCACTCTGTTCAATTTCCCTACTACAGGAAACTATATTGGCTGCACTCACGATCCGATGCAGAAGCATGGCTCAGACGGGCAGGCTGAGAAGAGTTCTCTGGCATAGCGTTTCACTCGCGTATTTGAACCGCCTTGGCAAGGTTTGTCGATAGCTGACTTGACTTGACTTGCAAGTTGGAGAGATCTTACAAATATGATCAATGAACGAATGTCTATCTTTATCATATGCATATGTGGTCTGCCTATGGGAGACAGATAAAATTGATCTGAAGGTAGAGGTAAGGGAACCATTAGGGCAAGAATGTCTGAGCTTGTTGCCACCGCCGCAGACACGAACAAGGTGTGGAAAGGTATGTGTAACTTGGTCAGATCGCCGCCGGCGCATAATTATCGTTACACCAAAAGGTGGGACTCGGATACTGAAAAGCTTTCAGTATCAGCGACGGTATATGACATGTACTGATTATCGGAACTCAGGTAAGCCAGCGTGCTTACAGTATGCTACATAGACTCACTGGTCAATCTATGATATGATGGGCCAGGGCTGTCTAGTATACTCATTGTTGCAGATGAGTCGGATACCTCAAAAGTGGATGAAGTTAAAAGTTCGACATTAAATAAAGTGTTACTTACAGCACTCGGAGCAGAGCAACGACCCCCACTGCTAATAATAAATATATTACACCACCCCTTCTAAATTACCTAATTATCGACTCTTTGACCCAACCTCCGACGACAAGTCTCCAAGTTTGAAGCTCGAAGCCTTGAAACGCTTTCGAAAGTCCTCTTGCTCTCCCTTGATTCTCAAGTGCATTCGGGAAATCACGCAGAATGCCTGTTGCAGTCAATGGTATAGGTACCAAATCCAATGCCAACGGAAAGGCCATTAAATCCAAAAACCAGCTTCGGCGAGCGAAGGCAAAAGAAAAGAAAATCCTTGCCACTCAAACGACACCTGTGCGTTTCACATCTCAGTCTGAATTCGAAATAGTGAATCTATGAAATTGAATTGTGGCTGCAGGAGCTCAATGGGAACTCTGAAACTGTGAAGCAAGAGGAGGATGGGTCTTTTGGCAATGTCGAGTACGTGATTGAGCAGCTGGATGTCAAAGATCCAGCTCTTGTGGCCTTCTCCGACATTTTTGCACGTTTCCAGGCTCCTCAGGACTATGCAGAGGTGCGTCATATGATGTCCACCCACCCCTTCCTCTTAGTTCACGCAATATCTAGGCGAAGGATTCGGAACCCACAAAAGGGGAGGTTATCTACTCAGACGATGATATGGAATCAGACGCCGGTTCGGATGCAGAGGAGAAGAAACCTCTGTCGAAAAAGAAGCAACGCAAGATGGCCCGTCTGACGATTGCAGAGCTTAAGCAGCTGGTGGCGAAACCTGAAGCAGTTGAATGGACGGATCCTTCAGCCGCTGACCCAAGATTACTGCTTCATCTCAAGAGTTACCGCAATACCGCTCCTGTACCTGCGCACTGGAGTGCAAAACGAGATTACTTGCAAGGAAAGCGTGGAATTGAGAAGGCGCCTTTCCAGCTCCCTTCGTATATAGCAGATACGGGTATCGCGACAATGAGAGACGCAGTTAAAGAGAAGGAGGCTAATATGTCATTAAAGGCCAAAACTCGTGAGCGGGTACAGCCGAAGATGGGCAAGGTCGACATCGACTATCAAAAGTTACATGACGCCTTCTTCAAGTTTGCGACAAAGCCAGTGGTCACTGGCTTTGGCGAGATGTAAAATGTTCAATTCTTTTCATTCCACTTTCGCTTATTCATTTGCTTGTTAGGTACTATGAGGGGAAGGAGTTCGAAACGTCGCTGAAAGAGAAACGACCAGGAGATTTGTCGCCAGAGCTTGTTGAAGCGCTATCGATACCACCACTCGCACCTCCACCTTGGCTAATTAGCATGCAAAGATTTGGTCCTCCTCCGAGCTACCCGACTTTACGGATTCCTGGTCTCAATGCACCCATACCCGAGGGGTGAGTGTGGCGCATTTTAATGAGCTCGAAGTTATTAATCACATCTCAAGCGCTCAATGGGGTTTCCATCCTGGTGGATGGGGTAAGCCACCGTTGGACGAGTATAATCGCCCTCTCTATGGCGATGTATTTGGTGTGTTGCCAAAGGTTACCGATGCGAACGTACGTGAAAGAGTTTATTCAAATGCCTTTCTCTTACACTATTCTTCACAGATTGGTGAACCAATCGACAAGAATACATGGGGAGAGCTAGAGCCGGAGGAAGGCAAGTTCATTTCTATCGTCCTTATGGTCGCAAATACTGAGAGAACCTGTAGAGGAGGAGGAAGAGGAGGAAGAAGAATCGGAAGAGGAGGAGGAGGAGGAAACTGCGGAAGGAGCACCAGTCGACGGCCTTCAAACACCTTCCGGTCTGGAAACGCCTTCCGGTATGGCCAGCGTTGTCTCTACCGTCGCTGGGGGACTCGAAACACCCGACTTCTTGGAGCTGCGGAAGACGTCGTCCAGACACCAATCATCAGACGCCTCGGAGAGTGGACCACGGTCGCTGTATCAGGTTGTTCCGGAGAAACAGACCTCCGTGCGCGGGCTCATGGGTAGTGAGCGTGGGTATGACGTCACTCAAGTCACCAATCCACAAAACCTTCCCGTGCTTGGGGAGGAACGGGGAACGAAAGTACGTCAAAATATTTTTCCAAATACTTCGATAAGGGTATTGATCACCGTTATAGCGTAAGGCAAATGGTGTCGACATTTCTATTGACGCAGGCGAGATGGAAGGCATGACTGATGATGAGCTACGGCGAAAGTACGAGCAGCATTCACGAGGTTCAGCAGGAGTGGCAGGATCAAAAGAAGACTTCTCAGATATGGTGGCAAAGGAAATGGCGAAAAAGAAACAAAAGATGGATCGCGAGCGGGATTCAAAGAAGGGCAAAGAATTTAAATTCTAATCTTGCGTCTGCGCCATCCTCTGTACATTTTCTGTTTTCCTGCTAGCTTGTAGTATCCGTTTATCATTATATCTCTTTGTCTTTTGGTCTCATCATTATGAAGTCGTTGATTTAAGTTATGGTGCCTAGGTATTGATGGAAATAATGATCCGACAGGTTTATTTCAAGGTTGTGTGAAGTGTAGGCTGTGCATTTCAGCGCCTAGTAGTTGTCAGCTCTGATAAATCTGCTTGCAGTTGTGCGGAAACAGTGATTTGAGCTAGGCACGCTGCGCCTCCCCTTCCACTCGTTTCTCTCTCTTGCGTTGGACATCATATTCTTCGAGGAATGTCGCAAGTGAAGATGTTAGTCCTCCGATTCCTACTAGTGCCGCCACTCAACAGGTACTTTTAGTGCGCTTCAGCCACCCCCAAATGTCGATTTTGTCGTTGGTCAGTGCAAAAACCGTTGAGCTTGAATCTTTTTTACGACAAAAACACTCTTAGGCTATCCCGGCATACCACCAGCTGCGAAAGATCGTCCTCAAGCAGCAGTCAAGGGTGTACGTGCTCGCTCTAGACAACAATTAAGTTGGCTTATATCTGTCAGGCTGTCGAGGTGCGGGTGGGGCCTCAGGGCGTCAAAGCAAAATGGGTCCGTGTTGAGCTCAAGAAGATCGAGACACTTCCTGGCGGTGGCCAGACGAACTCCTACTTCGACTTTATTGGCTCGAGCCCGATAAATCTATGGGAGTCGAGCGATGAATACGAGTTACTGCAGTCAGTGAGTGGTGTAGTCATCCCGGTGTAAATACGTCGGGGACTGAGAGCTAGCGATAGCAAGACCTCCCATTCCATATTCGTATACCCGAGTCCATTCCGCCAAGCATTGCCCTTGAAAGAGGCGGTGAGTGCCCGCGCAAACACAGTTTTTGTTATCTGATGGTATCTCTTCGCATATTAGCTGGCATCCGCTATGAATTAGTTGCGACTGTTTGTACTCTTGGGAAGAAGTGAGTCTTCCAAGTCAGACCTTGAGTTGCGTGAGTTGACTTGCCATCTGCAGAGGTTTCTTCCGCCGCCGTAAAACTGTTGTAACATCTCAAGCCACTACTATCATTATTGACAAGCACGAACTCCACTCGACGTGGCCTGTATACGCACAAGCAGAATCACGCACCGTTAACCAAGACGGTGTACATCTCACAGTGGAACGCCAACGAACATGCTTTGGACCAGGCGACCGAGTGTCTGTCATGGCTATTCTCAAATCCGACTCAGTGCATCCAGTCATTCTCCGCGGATTCGAGTTTTCTCTCAAGGAAACAACCATATTTCGTGCTAGTACTCAGGCTGGCCAGACTGGCAAGCGCAATGGTCCGCAGGTCAAAAGTGGGCTGGTTGGCGAGCAAAAGGTGCCACTCAATGTCACGTTGTTTGGTGGCATGCAACACAAGGCGGAACTTGGGTGTTTGATCCCGAACACACATACTACTACCACGCTCAACGCTGCGAGGCACATTGACATCACATATACAATCTTAGTCAAAGCGTGGTTTGGTTCGATGCAGGCAGTTATGATAGAACTTCCTGTTGTCGTCTCGAATTGGCCAAGGTGAGGATTTCAGTCAATATTTTGTGTATATATCTAACTGAAATGCAGGAGCGTGTCCGAGGAAGCCGTTAGGTACGCAATACTAGCTGTTATGACTGATCTATACTAAAAGAATCTCAGGCGTATCGGTGTCGCCCCCAGCCTTTGTATGACTCCATCAAGCACTGCACCTACGGTCCTGGCTCGCCCTCTCACCGCCAACTCACAGATTTCTGACTACAACTCCTCCGCTCAAGGACATGGGCGCACACCTCTGACACCTCCAACCTCATCCATCAAGTACAATACTACTCCCAACGCATATAATAGCGATAACCAGTACGACGACCTTGAAGTGGATGAGATCGGCGCTCTTAAGAGTCTCCAGTCTCGTGTGCCAGGCACAATAGACCACCCAGGCTACGGCTCAGCAGCCCAAGTTCCTATGGGTAGCATTCAGGAGGACAGCGCCCTCGTCGTACGCCCGGTCGGCGGCTCAGGCCGCAAACGACGTGGCTCGGCTACTGCCACAGGGACACAAAACCGTCTCACAATCACTAACATCAGTGATCGGGATGCAGAAGTACGGGAGGCTGTGGAACAAGCACAGCTAGCTTCTAGACAACAACAGTCGACACCGATAAGGGGTCAACGTCCGTGGCTCTCCGCCGAGGAAGAAAAGAAGAAGTTGTATGAGAGTGCAAGGGCTAAGGTTGAGCAGGTCCAAGGTAGTGCTGTTATGGCCCCACAATCTAGTGAGACAGTGAGTAGATATTAACATCCCAATCTTCCCCTCTAATATTCCTTGTAGTCCTTACAACCCAAAGGTTCTCCTTCGTTCCAGGCTGCCTGGCCAACAGCAGAAGAGGAGAAAGTCCGTCTATTCGACAAAGCCCAAGCCACTGCCAAACGCACTCAAGCACTTGGTGCCTCGAGCCACAGCCGAGAGAGTTCTGAAGCCAATGGCTCACCTGGGCTCTTGAAATCCTCTCGTAGCCTCAGTCCTATTTCAGCAGGTGCCGCCCTCTACCAGCACGCGGTATCCTCCATGAACAAGAACCCCACGAGCAACACAAGCCCTAATGCCAGCGCGAATGTCAGCCCCGCGCGCTCTCCCCACCCGCCCTCACCACCTCCATCGACTTCCCCCAAGATTGTTCCACACTACCCGTCCGCTGAGGAGGAGAAGGCTGCGTTAAAGCGGTACCATGAGGCCAAGCTCGCTGTCGATCGGAGCCAGAACACCCAGTACGCGACACGCGAAGGAATCTCGTCATCCTCGGCAGCACCCGTTGCTTATGATACCCTCTACCCCTCATCCAGCATTTCTCGGAGCACGTCGTACGGCGCGCAGCCAAGCGGGTCTGATATGCCCCCGCCATTTGATGGGCCGAATGGACAGCCACAGTATCTGAATGAAAAGGAGAGGCTGAGAAGGCACCGCGAGGCACAGGATGCGGCCGCCATGGCTGCACAAAGTTCTGCGGCTGCTGACATGTCGCCCTCATACACCGCTTCCCCATTATACTCACCACCCGTACAATCTTATGCAACTAGCGCCCTGTCAGAGAAGGAACTCCTCCGGCGGAAGTTTGAGGAACAAGACGCTGCAGCACTCGCCCAGCAGCAGCCTCCCCCTCCACGGGCTGTCAATGGTTCACGCCTCCCGCCTCCCCCCGTTGAACCTGCCGTGAGTGGCTTCAGACCACTCACAGCAGCCGAGGAGAAGGCACAGCTACGTGCCAAATACGCCGCTGAGGAACAGCAGGCCAATGGCAACGTATCCGCATCTGCGTCAAGTTTTGTCCCCCACCATCCTTCGCCATCGAATGCCGTTCTCTCACCACCACCTCCTCCACCGCTCATGCCACGTCCACCCGCTGAGTATATCCAGGAGACTCAGGAGCAGGACGCTCGCGTGCGGTATTACGACAGCATAACCATGGGAATTGACAATTCGTCTATGCGGGTTGGGTCTCCGTTGGCGGAACCTGGGATACAGCTCGACATCCGCCCATTCACACCATTCAGTGTTGGGCTGTGTGACCCTGGCAGTCCTGCAGCACAGCGACTCCCACCACCACCTCCCTTGCCGCCACAGAATTGATTTCTGCATTATGAATAACCATCTCAGCAGTTTATTTCTTGCATTTTTACTACAAGCTCTTAATGCATTTCCCCTCATTCTTCCCGATCGTGCCACTGACAAGTTGATCAGTATATTTCTGTCTATCGTTACATTTTTCGACGCATTACAGACTACATATGACGTTAACGTTATAATAACACAAAGTGGTAGCAGTATCATTATAGCTCTACAGTGTTCTGACATTCCTTACACACATCATGTTACCCATCCTGCTATTTATTCATCTTTTCCTTTTAGTTCTATTTCCTGCTGATGATAATGTCGATTCTGCTGGACCCGAGAGCGAATCAACATCCGGTATGTCTGATTTGCGCTTGCGGCCTCGTGTAGTGTTCGTGCTTTGAGTTGGTTGCATCAAAGACGTAGCCATGTCCACGCCGCCGTCCTGAGAAGTAACCCCGTCAAGGAATGCATGTACCTCTTCACTTGGCACTTTTTTGTCCACGCCTGCTCCACGCGCCGTTGACGAGTCCAGCTTGTCTGCCAGTCTCAAGCTCTCAATATCCGGGTCTTCCTCGCCCTGGCCCGTATGCCCAGCCGCATCGTGCGCCAGGTCCATCCCGTTAAGATATGAGCCAATGTCGAAAGAATCCTGCCCCGAACCTACCCCGTAGGGATCATCGAGATGTGCCTGTGTGTTATCAGTGGCGTCGAAAGTCGACGGGTCAAAGCCAAGGCTCTGAATAAGGGAATGGATGTTCGTCTCTAGCGAGTCAACATCTGTGTTGATCTCGTGTGCTGTAGAGTAGGTTTTCTGCAGGTGGTCGTCGTGTGCTTCGAAAGCCGCTAACTCGGCGCCATCACTCTGCGAGAGAAGAGAGTATGGACCAGAGTAGTCCTGAAACGTGGGAGGGTCGTACGGCATTAGTTGCGCTGGGTTGGCGTTTGTGTGCTGCTCGGGGCAATTGGGCCTGCGGTTGCGGCTGGGGTTGCGGCTGGGTGGGGAAAGGCTGCTGCATGATGGACTGTGGTATTATTCCTTGCGCGTGTCCATCTCCTGGAAACGAAAACCCACCCCCACCAAGAGCAGTTATCAGTTTCTGCATCTGTACAGGAGACGAGAGCACCTGGGATAGTGCAGCATGAATGAGAGCGTCATTCTGTGGGGAAGGGGGAGGGGATGTTGTAGTTAGGGATGTAAAAGCAGGCGCAGAGACTGAATGGTGAATCGGGGCAGGGCGAGGGAAGGCAGTATTGGGCGAGGTGGCTGGAGCGGCATTTATATTTGATGGGTTTGGGTTGATGCCATTGGCTGTAGCGGTGGTGTTGATTGGGGCTGTGTTGGGGCATGACGTAGTATTTGAATCTGCTGAGGGAGTTGGGGCATCAGGAAGGGAGGGTTCGATGGATGCAAATCGGGGTGAAGGATTACACGAAGGGCCATACTCAGATGGGATAGCAGAAGGTGTGTCTAGAGATGCGAAAAAATCTGCAAAATTTTGTATAGAGCGTCAATGCCGAGACGTACGTGTAAATGGAGGACGTACCCATTTCGGAAGACTTTGCACTATCTATGCTAGTCCTCGGTTGGTCCTCTATGATCTCAGTAATGTCGACACCCTTCTTTGCACCACTCCCTCCGCCACTGCGTCCATCGCCAATCATCAACCGCTGTGGTTTTCTCGCAACGATCTCACTCCCCTCACCACCACTGACAACCCCACCTCCACCTATATCATCCTTGCGTATTGGATTGTCCGCGTGACCAAACACACCAGCAAGGAATTTGAGGATACGATTAATGGTGTCCTGATGTTTCTTATGTCTCTCACGAGCAGCAATAGCCTCCTGCCAAAGATGTTGGTTGGAGGACTTGAGGTCGTTGAGGTCGGCAGAAATGGCGGCTTGATGTCGTTTGATGGCTTGGATACCATTGACGATCGAATTCATGTCCATCAATTGGCCAGGAGTTAAAGCTCCTGCAGACGCAGCTGCGCCCACTTCTTTATTGGAAACTTCAGCGACGGCAGAAGCAACTTCAGAGGCAGATGCGGCCTGCTTTTTGCGCTGGATAAGGCAGAGCATGTCCGGTTGGCCACGGAGGAAATGAGGGTGCTCGAAGTTCCAGAATTCGGTATCAGAATCCGAACGTAGCACACCTTGTTGGAGATGAGGAATTTTGTGGAAGCCATACATATTGAGTTGGCGGACAAATGAGGAGAAGTTCTTGTGTTTGAACCAGCGTCCTAAGACTTCGCTTGCGAAGCGCTCTTGGTCGAGGACTATGAGTGTGTCAGATTCGTTGGATATCAAATAAAGAAAGACTAGCACTGGGACGTACCAAAGAAAGAGTCACCAGTGTCAGACCACCGAATGAGATCGTGGTCTGAGGGGTCATTAACCATCCTATAAAGCAAGATGGTTGTAGGATGTCAGGACTACAGCATCTGTGAGATTAGATTTGACGAAATACACACTCGTATAATTTTTGGAGAAAGGCGGGCACGAGTTGCCGTGCTGGTCTGTTCAGATGCGACGAGCTAGCTCTGGGAGCTACTGCCAGATGCATTTGTTGGTCTGTGCTCATATTGTGGTCGATGGAAGAGACGAGAGAGTAACTTAACTTTAGACAATCACAAAGAGCTAACATGTCAAAACATCGAACTTAAAAAGTACATACGTCACGCGCGCCCCTGCAATAATTTCAAGGACTACGTACAAAATACGTGTATATGTAATGTAATGCATGTGAATAGTGTATCTAAAAACTATGCCATCTGATGGCCTTGGACTGCGGTCTTTTTGCTTTGGGTTTGACCATACGAAAGCACTATCCCATTGGGCTTGAAATGGTGCACCAGGAGTCGAGAAAAACCCAAAGAGCCAAGTAGGTAACGGTAGCACATCTCCTACTGGTACACCACGAGGTCAGCTATTTCGCAAACAAGTAAATTCATTTTGTTACCTTGAAACCACAGGCTGGTTGGCACTTCACCCACGTATGCCAATCTAACCCCAACGAGACCAATAGTGTCACATCCTCCTTCCATTCACCCATGAGAGTATGTATGTGATCAGTTTCAGGGCATTTTCCCCAAGGATCAAAGAGGTCACCTTCAGAAATTATATATCTTCGTGGCGACGCAGCATTTTTCATGCCTAGTTTCTCGCACCACCTGCAGAAGTGAACGTTCAGAAGGCGTCAATGCCGTTCCGCGAGCGACTATGGAGGCCGTGTGCGGCGTAGCACATTCACGAAAAACTGGCGCGGCCTACGAATTTGTCGCGTTAGAAGTGATAGAGTTATTGAAAGGTAGAGCTGCAAACACAGTGTAAGGCAAAAGCACGGTGCGCAGTCGTTTCTGAATTTGTTGTACGTCAAAGACCGATCTAACGTCCAGCGTCATGTTCAAATGTGCTACACGAGCTCCAGGCGGCTGACATATTGATCAGTCACCACCCGCCAAGACTGTTGTCTAGTCAACGCCGCTGGTTTTCACGGGTGGTCGTGCTAACGCTTGAGCTAGCCTGTCTCGGACGCGTTCTGTATCCTCCAATGATATTCCTTCCATTCGATGGCGCCTCCGCTCCAAGCCTCACGGTGGAAGACCAAAGGGGAACAAGAGCGGTGTCGTAGAAAGAGACAAGCCTAGAAAAATTCGAGTTTTTCCTGGGTAATTTTTGCAACATGAAGCAGGATGCACCATTTCAAAAGCGTGACGTACTGATGTCCGAGAATGATTCAGACCTACGTCAAAACATAGACATGGTCGCTACAAGAATTGGGATACTCTGGCATACCCTTGCTCGGACCGGTGTCTAGGCGAGCGCAGTCAATATTTGAGAAGGAAAGGACCTCCATGCCAGAGGTGACGTCGCAAATCATAATTTCACTATGACCGCCGATAATAACAGGTCATAAAGGAATTACATATGGGTTCGCACAAATTCACTTGTCCTATACTAACTCACAAATCAGCATTGGGCATTGATTCAAATCTCAAAATCCAACGAACCTCACAAAGCCATTCAAACCAATATGTATTTCTGACTCCATTTACACACATCCTTTGTGCTGCTTTTCATTCCACATCCACTCGGGCTTCATTTCCGACCATGCCACGAGATCTTCGGTGTCCATGGTGCCCTTGATAGTAGGAGCGTATGACTCAACAGAGATGTCTGCGCAGTCGGAACCGTTCAAAGGGAAGAAAAGCCAAATAGCTGCGGCTTTCCTTGTAGACAGCAGTTCGACAGGGCCTTTTTAAGCTTAGGCTAGTTAAGCTTGATTATATACTGGGCGGATCCATATAGTTTGATTTCCCTCGTCGTAGGCCACTGAGAGGTTGGGATATAATTTAGGATTGTCTTGCAGCTGTCAGGTGGTCAATGATAGAAATTATGATGGAAAATAGACACAGTATCATTTTCTGAAAACACCGCAGAGCAATTCCACGCAGGTTGTGCGCAGCGACGATCATAGGGTACTTAGTCTGCCGTAGTCAGACCTCACCAAAAAGAAGATAGTTGTTCCTTCGAGGTTGATACTGGACCGGACTCCGAGTTACAAGATGATCAGTGATCACGTTCCGGTCGTCGCAGATGAATCATGATTTTAAGTGACAGCTACTTTCATATCGATACTAGACCAGATTTCATTTTGTTTACTTTCGTTTGCTACAGCGTTTTTGTTTATACATATTTGGTTTACAAACGAGTTGATCCCTGCACCAGGGGAAGTGCACATGCAGTTTCGATCAGCAGAACGGCAGTTTCAATATTCGTCTATAGTTCGGGGCGATAATTGTGTTACAGCCATCCATACGTAGTATTTATACACAAACCAACCAACGTAGGAATGCAGATATGTAGAATTGGAGAATGAAAAAAAAGAAATAGCAATATTTCCTGACTGGCCCTCTGAAACCACCGCCCAGGTGCTTGCCCAAAAGGGGGGAAAGTAAGTAAGGAGTGTGACAATGAAAGAAGCGCGACGAGGGGTATCATCGGAAAGGAATGGGGTGTGATTGTCTGGCAAATAACCTGGCGCATGTGTGGCAGAAGAATAGATAGACAACAGAAAGGAATAATTTCATTCGATATGCAACAAAGCAGGTCGTGAGCGGGGTCGTGAGTGTGCTTTTAATTGAAGGTGCCCATGCTGGACGGCGGTGTTTGCTGGTATACTTGGTACATATATGCCTGGTAGAGGTGCTGGGGAACGTTCTGAGTATTGAAGCCTGGTTGACCCATGTTAAGGATGCCACCAGGTGCAAGATTGGGAGATTGATTGCCGTATGGGATGGTAGAGACAGGGGTGGGAGTCATAGAAGGAGGAATCGAGGGAAGTCCGCCATTACGACGAATAGTAGAGGTGCGAGGACTGCTCATGTCCGGAGAGCGAAGGGCAAAAGGATTGAAAGGGTCTGAAGAGGGCGAGAACGCAGAAGGTGGTTGAGAGATACGGCCGCGTGGCGCAGGAGCTTGACCATATGCAGGATCTATGTGCAGTTGCGGAGGTCCAGACTGGGGGTTCTGTCCACCCATCTGCAACGCAGCCATCATCGAAGCCAAACCCTGATCATTCGAAGGGTAGCCTGATGGCAGGCCAGGCACTCCGTAGTGATTCTGGTTCTGACCCTTCTTGCCAGGCGGACCATTAGTGGTGTACGTGGGCTGGTAGTTTGGGATGGGAAGACCAACTTCTTCAATTAACCGACGATAAGCCTGGGTAGCGATAACCTTGAGCTCGATCAATACCCGCTTAGTGGCCTCAATATAAGTTGGCTTGTCAATAGGGTCGATGAACGGGCTAGTCAGGATCTTGTGCACAACCGCTACACCATTTACTTGATCGCCCAACACGTCAGTGAGAACATGGTCCCCTGGAGACGAGAACAACGCTTGGACGATCTGACGAGATGCTTCGAACTCGATCTTCTGGTTGACAATCCTGAGAACGGTCAAAGATGCTAATTTGTGCGTGCACAGGTGCGACAGGTGAGGCGTGAAACGAGGTGCAAGAAGGTTGTACCGCGAAGGGAAAGAAGATGTGTCAAGCAGCCATGTCAGCAGCAGTGCGCCGTTAGGGTTTGTCGCCAGAGGAATAGAATTCAAGATCACGGCAGTAGCAATACGACGTTGCTGGCTCAACGTGATATGTGGGCTCTCGAGACATGCTCTCATGCTGCGTGCACCGAAGCGACCTTGTGCGATTTCCCACATACGATCGACCATAGCGTCGAAGATAAAATCGTTAGCAGGAGCCCCAAAACGCAGACAACACCTAATAATTGATCAGTTATCGATGATATGGACAAAGAAATATCATTGCACGTACTGAACCACGTAGTTACCGAACTGATCAAGCAGCAATGGTGGAGCATAAGCCCTCAAATTTTGCACGATGAGCCCAACCTCTTCAGGAGTCTGGACACACTCAATGATCTTCTGTGCAGCCCAAGTACCATTCTTGTGGATGCCAATCATCGCCAAATGAGGTGTGATTCTTTCCAGCATCGCGAACCGCGGCACAGAAGAACATTTTTCAAACAGCTTTTGTACGACCTGCAGCATACCCAGGTGAGCCACGGCAACCGGACTCGGCGTGGGGATACCCACCGTGTTGCCCAGCCAGTCCGAGGCCAAGTCGACGATCTCGCCATCCAAAAAGTCACCAGCCACTTGATCAGTTTCCTCCACGGTCATTGTACCAGAATCCAGCCTCTTGCGGAGTTCGCGCAATTTGGAGGCATCCCAGCGCCTGTTGTTAGGTCTCTCAGAAACGAGCGGAATCGTCGTGTAATACATTGTCGGGGGGCGGAACTCTGAAAGCGCCATGTCAGAGGCCCCTTGAAATCATTCACCAAAAAACACGTACCAGACAACGACTGAATATCAAAATCGGCATCAGGGCTACCAGCCGTCAACTCCTTCATGATCATCTGCTGTTCCGTGACCGAAGGTAACCATCCAGCAGGCTTCGACAAACCGTCAGAAGCATACGCGATATTGTGCATACCAGAGCCAATCATACTAAGCAAGAGATTCGAGCGGTAGTTCTCCACCTGACCACCGAGCACTTGCTGATCTGCTGGGATAGTGGACGCGCCTTTCACGCTGCGAAGAGCATGGATAGTGGCTCCGACGCTCAAATCACCAATACCCTGCACTGCAACGCTAGGACTGTCATCTTGCGTTCCGTTACCTTCCTGACCATTCTTGACAGGGACCTTGGCAAAGCCGATACGAATAGCACCAACATCGCTACCAAGGACATCACGACCATTCAAGGCCTTCCGGGCACGCACAGCGTCATCCAGACGTTCAAAGTTAACTACCCAGATGATTAACATTAAAACACTCCATGATATTCAGTACTCACTGAATCCACAATTTTTATGCGTCAATACCCTCGCGGATTCGATAGGCCCATAAGGGCTGAAAACGCTCAAGATCGTCGCAGGTGTTGTGGTGCTCGGGATAGACCCAATCCACAGCGCACGAGTAGGCGTAGATTGTAGCTGTGCGTCCAATCCACCAAGGCCAGGGCTGCTGGCCTTGCTCAAGCCACTAGGAGACGTGGCACCAGAGCTCGTAACAGTCGTGCCCTTGGCAGGGGCAACAGGAGCACTGTCCGCTTTCCCAAAGCCAATGCGCACGGTCTGCCCGTTTGGCATACCGATGTTCCCGCCTAGACGGTTGAGGACATCGTCTTTGGCTCGAATAGCATCCGCTTGATCAACAAAATTAACAAAACCGCACTCCTGGAACCAGCCAAAACATCAGCATCTCTTCGTCCAATCAATCTCAATCGCGTACCTTCTCCGGCAAAAGCCTTAAACTCTCAATAGCACCATACGGCGCAAATACATGAATCAGCTGCTCGCTCGTGACAGCACTATCTAAATTCCCAATCCATAACGACCGCGTAGGGGTCTGGATCTGCGAGTTATTGTTCGCCTCGGTCTTGGGGGACACAGCCCTTCCCTGCGAATTGGGCGCAGCGAGGTACGACGATGCACGACTCAATTCGCCGTTGGGGAAATGCACCGTCGGCGAAGACGCCCCCCGCGCACTCGACATCTTCACATCACTCTTCAAAATCCCAGCTGGATTAGACAGGTTCGCAAGACTTCCGTTCGCAGCCGCAAGATCGTTGAGATATGGGGATTGGGCTTCAGTAGTCGTAGCGCGGCGCTGAAGAGTACGAATGGGATCATCGAGCGTTCCTACGGAAATTGCTCTGGGTCGGGACGAGAGTGCGCTCGCAGGTGTTAGATGGTCGCCCTGCTTGAACCCCTTCGCCACGTATGACGAGTGGAAGAGACTAGCGTCTGACATGGAGCCATCGTACAGGCCCAACCGTTGACGTTCGTACGGCCGAGTATCATGCCCATCAAAATACTCCTCTTCCTCCTCCGCATTAGGGGTGGCGAGGAGAGACGAAGCACCAGAGGAGCGCGTACGATAAGGGTTTGAAACCGTACTCGCCCTCAAGCGCGGTGGATTGGCGAGGTTCCCAGCAATAGCAGCCTGCGCTTGGGTCCGTAGTTCAGATATAGTAGCAGCGGGTGGTGGTCGGTGACTATCATCCAAACCAAGATAATCCAAGGTATGAACATCAAAATCATCGACCGAATCCGCGGACGTAACGGAGCGTAACTCGTCCAGAACAGGAAAGTTAGATCCCGACCCATTGGCGGAGGATAACCATGACGATGAGAAGATAGACGGGCCGAATGCGTTGGAGAGACCGGCTGAAGGCAGCGTTAATGAGCCTGATCTTAAGCGACTGTTACGCTCGGAGCCGACTGATGTGGGAGCTGCCTGTGGAGCCGCTACCGTCGTGGTATGCCGAATGGTAGGGCGCACGGGTACGAGAATGGTAGGAGGCGTGTTGGCGGCCTGCCTCTGCTGCAACTGTTCGGCAAACGATTCCGTTGAAGGAGTAGTACTGCTCAGAGTACTGGATGCGGCAGCGAAGCGCTGTGCAGCGAGATGGACATCAGAAGGCAGCGTTCCAGCCCGTGCTCTCCTAAAACCTGGTGCATAATTAGAAGCGGATGTGGTAGAATCATCACTGGGGGAAGCGACGGTGGTGAAGTCGTTTGGGGGAGAACTGCTCGGAGGAAGAGCGCGCAGCGCAGGCGGCCTATATCTAGCACTGTTCAGCCGTTCTTCCGCCTGGATCTCCCGTGCCCTGTTCGCAAGCGTGGTAAACGAAGCAGATCGGCTAAAAAAGCCAGGAAAAATGAGACGCACCTCTTTGCATATGCAGCAGAAGGGGCTGGAGGAGGGGTCTTTCCCGAAGAGACTCGTGAATAGGAGCCATTGTTGTCAGAGGCAGATAAAGACATTATAGGGCTTATTTTTGGTGGAATTAGGATTAGCGTTGGGTGGATGCGATGATTAACGGACGACTAGTCCGTTGTTTTTGTCGTGCAAATGATAAGACTTGATGCCCAAGCTGGACCTATGATTGAGATGTGAGCCTAGACGAGCAGGGTCGTTTCGTTCGTTTTCGCGGTGGCAGTCGCGAAGCGGGTCGAGACGTGAATTAGCCTATCACAAAAAAAAGAACGGAATAGAAAAAGCCAAAAAAGCAGAGTTAAAGCAAGGATATTGGATTGGACAGTCAGTCCAGAGAGGATGTACTTTAGAAAGCCTGGCGACTGGGACCAGAGAAATATGCAAGTACTAAGTAAGATGATGCTACAAATTCACTGGTTGGGAGAAACCTTGAAAGAAATCCCACTCTAGCTTTTCACACTCCGCCATTCTTCCCATCATGAACTTACGAATAATTTCGTGTTACGCCCAAGAATCTTGTTCGTCCACCGCATCAGAAAAGAAACTAGTAAATATCCGAGTACTGCCAGTCACTGCCTCAAGCGCAGCTTTCTATCAGGAGGGCGCTGATTGGTGATTGATCATCATTCGTTTAAACGCTTCCTGATTACTTCATGCATACCACAAGCGAGTAAACTATGAGTGGGGGCTGTGAGCTATAACATACAAATGAAAGCCGTCGCAAGACAGAAAACTGGAAGACGAATGTGTATGATGCAATCGACCCCATGCTCGCAAAAATGTATAAGTAGGTAAAAGGGCGAGCGAAAGGGTTGGCTGAAAAACCTAGAATACTTGGCGCATCTTTGCGCAAAGAGGTATATGGGAGAGACGGGTCGATATCTGATACAGCTCTAACGAACGAAGCTAGCAAAAAAAAGCAACAAAAAATCAGTCCAGAACGAAAACCTGCAAGCAAGTAGTCAAGCAAAAGAGGGGGGCTTGAGACCTGAGAAACCTTGCGGTAACGAGAACGAGTCGAGCAAATGCATATCAAATGTTGGGTGATGCAGTGGCAGACCGAAAGTTGATGGGTGTAGCGGACATAATGATGGAGTTTCGAACCGTCGATAGAGCGGAGGACCACCCGATCAAACTCACGCGTGTCTCGGCCCCCTCATCCGGGGCCGCACACCCCGTGTGCGAGCAACAGCATCCGCAACCCGTTTCGACCGCCTCAACGAGCGGCCATCTTTCAAACTCCTCGGCTCCTCTTCCACGATCTCTACGTCCACGTCGGCATCAGCGTCCGTGTCTTTATCGCATTGGTCGTCCGCGTTGTCATCAGGTTCCCCATCAGCATCTTGATCCCGAGCATCCATACACACATCACCCTTGGCATAACCCTCGCCCAAATCCTTCTCCTCCCAATCAGGACATACACATAACACCCGAAACATCTCTGCCTCCGTAGGACTCAGCGGTAGCTCTCCACTTACGATCCCATGTCCATTTCCGAGATCGGCGCTTCCCGGTCCAAAATCGGTGCGTCCAACCCTGAGACCGGTGCTTCCACTGCCAATGCCAAGACTAGTGTGTTCGCTCCCCGAACTAGCGCGCGCACTCCCAAAGTCAACACCGCTTCCGAGGATGCTCCCCCTCTCAAAATCTATCTCACTCACGAGACATGCACTCCCACTTCCAGAACTAGTACTTGGTCCTAACCCCGAAGCAAGCGCTGCCAGCGCAATATCAAATGGAGGAAGCACAGGTTCCGCTTCGACTTCTGCTTCTGGCTCGGTGTCTTCGGGAAGACACCATACCTCGTGAGCTTTGAGTATAGGCATCGGAGGTGCGGGGCTGGTGGATGCGGGCAATGACGACGGCAGTAGTGACAAAGTTGGATGTGAATACAGCTCCAGACATGATGAATGTGGATGCAACTGCGAAGACAGGTGGGTAAACGATTCAGCCCGTGACGAAGGCGCCGAGGGTGATGTCAACTGAGGTGGAGATAACACAGACGACGCCCGTGCCGACACCAACGACGAAGACGAGGAGGAGCCCTGACTCCCCACAATCCTCCCACCCTCAAAACACACCCCAAACTGCCCCAACATCCTCCCAGGCTTACTCGCCCTCCAGAAATCCCTCAAGGCGCTCGGGAACCGCATTACAAGCTCGTCGCTTAAGAACACCTCCACGCTTGTTCTTAGCACCTCGTCTTGCAAGCAAGGCTGTTCCGCGCGCTTGGGACCCGCCTGAACACTGGTCCTTAAAAACTCCCTCGCACAATCCAACGACACCCACAGCCCCGCCACAGCCAAATTTGGATGTTCAAATCGCACAGCGCTCGAAGGAAGAACCGGGACCACAGCAGCACAAGGTGACGGCGATGGTGAAAACGCAGCAAGCAACGGCGTTAGGTTTACGAAATCCGTGTCTAGCCTCCTCAAAAGCGTGCGCGTTATGTGGGGTGCACAAAGAGGTAGCGTAGTTTGATATACCGGTATTCCTGGGACTCGGTTAATGCTGATACAGACCACAAACAGAAAAGAAGAAATAGGACGAGACGAGATGTGACTTACCTTCGACCTGCGTGGCGCTAACAGGTGGATCGCACGGTACACACGTGTGCACTACTACAACTTGGTCTTTGCATTCGGGGAGAGGCTCGGGATCAGTCATTTGGCTGTCTTCATTCGCCGATAAAGAAGCGTGGGGTGCGGATGATGCGAATCGCGTCCGATGAGTTCCCTTTTCCCATTCTAGCTCGAGCTCGGCAATGTGGACACTATCAGGGCCAAGCAATTCTGCGTCCTGCCAGTCCAACACGCTGTTCTTGCGTTCGAGAGACGGTTTCTTCGCATGTGTGAGCCGAGGAGGGGAACTATTGATACTTGGTGACGCAGATAGTGCTGACGAATAATGGAACGTGAACCCCGTGCTCGAACCCGGGGACGTTGGAGAAGGGGTGAGTGGCGACATAGGAGAGAGTGGAAACCCACTCCATGGTACACTCGTAGGGGACAACGATAACCCATTCATCACCTCTGGAGCGTCTTCCTTCTTGACTTCAATCTCGCCACACGCTCCCGCCCAGCCACTATCAAACTCCCATTCCCATAGCTCAAGTTCCTCGACCTTCACCTCTGGAGCGACTGCGTGGCGAATTTCATTTCCCTGCGCCACCAAAGTGAACCCAGACTCCGGGCATGAATAGGACCGCGCACGATTGAGATCTAGGTCCTCCCAGGCATCTAGCATGTCTCTCACGTTCTGACTTGTACCGATATCATTATTTTCTCCTTCGTCTTCTACTTTCACGCTCACGCCTCGAGATTCCTCTTCATCGCTTGAGAAATCAAAGTCCATATCTTCTTCGTGGTCAGAATCTGGCGGAGGTGATGCGCTTCCTCTGGATTGGTCGATGGGTGGCGGGGGAAAGACGTATTGAAGGGAGGTAGGGCACACGGGGGTGTAACATGGAACTGCGATTGATCTGCGAGGGTAGGGTGGGAGGCAAAATGGTTCTGCACGAATATTTGGCTCTGCTGGGGACATGTCGACGTCATCATCTGAGGAAGTATCATGGGAGAGATCAATGATGTCTGTGGGATCTGTGGCAGTAGGAGAAGGACGGAGACGTAGGGTGAGTTTGACTTTTGGAGGTCTTTCAGGTTCATCTTCTTCATCAGAAGAAGAACTGGAGGCACTCTCTGCATAACCACTATCTACAGGACTGGAGCTGGGCGGTGGACTGGCGCTCTCTGAGAGTCTGTCAGTGGCACGACAGCGTCTTGAAATGAGTCTTTTGCGTTTCTCTCCGCACTTTTCCATTGAATTGTGAGATTGCTTTCGAGGCTTTGTATTGGAAGTGGAAGCGGGGTAATTTGAAAGGAGAATACCAGCACGAGAAAAGGGGCAGGAGACGCCACTAGCTTTTGAAAGATACCATACGATTGTGCCACGACGAAAGTTTGTGTGGCGACCAGTAGGAATGTTCTGATTTGGACACGTGGAGTCGAGTGGCTGCCTTTGTAGGGGTGCGCCTCCTACACGGGAGTGGAGTGCAGGTACGAGATCGTCGTCAGCGGGTGTGCCAGAGAGGGTATGACGAAGAAGAAGAGGGTGATCTTGTTGAGCTTCACATCGAGAGAGATGATTTCGAATGTAAGTAGTTATTGCTTGCGACGCAGCGGAAACGCTAGGGTGATGTGAGTAGCGTGAAGAGAGAGAAGAAAGGACAGCATACTTCTGACACACGAGGCCGAAGTTTAGCGTCATTTCCGCAAGGTCCTTGATAGTCATGGCGCGATTGTCCTAGAGATTCACGCGTGAAGGTAGGAATAGGAACGAGGAAAAGGGACTGACCACGCTGAGGAAGCAACGACCGATAGCATGAAATACCTTGCTAGTGGCATCTTCTGGGTGTAGCATGACATTTGGTAGTGGAAATATTGGGAATTGAGATTGATTTTGAGTTAATTCTGTTTGTGTTGCATGTGGTACTGGTTTTATACGCCTTGGTTGTGGTGATTGACGAAGACGAGCGCTTGGTTTAAGGATTGAATTGTTCCTTATTCTTGTACCGTAATTGTGTGAATGTGAAGTATCAGACATTATAAAACATTAGTTGTTGAGTTCGTTAAGTCGACCAGCGAAGGAGGGACCTTAGTGAGTGAATTGGATGGACGGATGGATGATGGTGGTAAGAGGAAAAGAAGCGCTGCACACCAAAAAACCAGATTACTGCGTATCCCCCGATCAAAATAACGTAACCCCTTTTTTATCGTGTAAAATAAACTTTAATTTTACACAATGCCGTCATTGTCAAAACTAATTTAATATTTCATTTTTTTTCCCTTATTGTGTCTCACCCAAAGTTGTCTCCTCTTCTCTCAAACTCCGGATGTTCGCTTCTTGGCACTCCTCTTATCAGTCTCACGTTCCCAGTATCTTGCCGCTCGTCCATTTGTATATCAGCAAGCCGTAACCACGCCAACTTTCGTAACAGTGAACTTTTTACGAAGATCAACCTCACGCGTTTTTTGAGCCGTGAGTGCAAATCGCAGCGGAGCACATTTTTAGTGCGTGCCATAAGGAAATGAGTCCGTTCTCATCCTCTCACGACCCCAGCACCTTGGCTTGCTGCGCTGTTCTCTCGGTGATCTCCTCAGTGATGCGGATTTGGATGGGGTCGCTAAGCCGGACTATGCCCGTGCGCCACTTTGCGCAATTGACACCGTTTTTAATGCCAGGTCATGATTCGGAACAAAGATTGTGTGTACCAACCATTCATTCTAGACTAGATCGACTTACCTGCCAAAGTTCTGCAGTGGTAAGAAAGAATGTGATTACCAACGATCCCGAAGGTTAGTCTTTCAACGCAAACAAGTCGTCGATGATATAGAAGGGACGACTGTCTTCCCGTGATCTGCCTACACTAGATGATGAATTCTTGATATAAAAGCAAACCTAGAACTTCTCGGATCAATGATATATTCTTTACAGTCCTCCTTTTTGGAAGAACGGCAAATGCACGCAGTCGCGATATTCGGCTGTAGTCAAAACTCATACTCCCAGCAGTACCATACCATCAAAGTCTAAGCGCCACTAGTGACGCCACAGCTGATGTTCCTACTTCAGAGGACCGCGAGCCTTCACCCGACACTCAACACAATGCATTGAGAAAAAAGCGCATCTCCAATTGGTCCCCGTATGTGTAGCAAGAGTCTAAGACATATTCAAGGCACAGACAGTGTGTCACGTTCGGTCAAGCAAAGACGTGTCATGGAAGACTGCGGACTTGTTATACTGCTGCGCGGTAGATGGGATGGATCGCAACTATATATATAAGGCATGAGAGGCATATGCTGCGGCACGAGAAGGTGATTCTCACGAAAGGACATTGCGAACAGATATCTGTGAATGAAAGTGCAAAACTATAAAAAAAATCATTCTGGATGTGTACGACACGTCCCTTTCGAAATAACGGCGAAGGCGCTCACAGAACTTGAAAAACGTGTCTCAAGTTGTGAGAATTCACGCACGTTGAGGTTTTTCGAGCAACGAGCGAAACTACTGAAAGGAATGAAATTCAACGCTACCAAGAAATTAGATGATCAACGTTCGCTGTTATGGATATGCCCTGAGCCATGCTTCAGTACGTCCCCCAGATTATACGACGGAACTCAAAAATATACCATGTGCGGGTCGTGATCCTGAGTAGGTGAACTAACCGCAAATGGAACAATGACCAAAGAACGAACCTTGAATTTGCATGAGCCAGAGCTGGTTGTTGGATTATAACTGTTCTCAAGGCAAGTGTAGATGACTCACTCAAAAAACAAGACCTTCGAATAATCACCAGTCGGAGTAAAGTTGTATGCTTTTGTCCTTCCACCGCAATGGAAGCGTGGGACGTCCGAGCATCAAGCCATACAGAATGCTTATGGTATACCCTGCCTCTGCTGAAAAAGAATCTTGAGTTTCTCACGTCCGCTTTGATATAATTACTTCCCGTTGTGGCAACAGCCATGTAAATACTGGATATGGCCAATGCACATCGTCAGCTACCTGGTGGTTGACCGACATTGGAACAAAATAGTGGACCTGCGGCGGAATGGTTAGAGTGAGTCGTAGATGCCCTAGGGATGGTTATGCTTTTTCAAATTTGAGTGAAGAATCCGCGCGGTCTTGTCGTTTACGACTGATAATCGGAAATTGCTGACATCGTGCCAAGTTTGGTGATGTAACTTGTCTCCTTCAACTCGAAAGGTATAAGTATCAAAGTCTTCGTGTTAAGCAGATTGTCAACGCAACATAGCAGTCCGGATTTCTGTCTCAGAGCAGCTGACTCGTTCGATGCGCTACTGTGTGCAACTCTATCTGGCAAGAGACTCCCAATATAACCGACGCAGAACTGGCAGTACCCAAAACAATCAGCAGCCGATACGGCAGATTTCATGAGCTTACTTGTCCTGAATCCCAACCGGCGCTATGTGGAGAATATCTTTTCGTAAGAAGCATACGGCAAAGTCGTTGAGCTGGACGCACCACTGGAGTTTGCACCATTGATACTGCAGACCATGCATGCTATGAGCCTCGCATTATGCGAACACCAAACGAATACACTGACGTGCACCTGATGGTGTCCAGTGTTCGGTTGCGATCAGCTTGCGGTCAATAACAACTTTCTTCCATTGAATGGGGTCAGATACTTTTGCGCTGCAAGGTTCGAATGACGGCGTGTCAATTGGCCACTCGCTGGAAGCGGGTAAACACACCACGGTCGGGGCAGTGCCTCTACTTGGTTTCTCGTATTGACCATATACTGATATTTACCTATAGGAAGGAGACCATTAGAGGCAGCAGCTTCGACGGGTGTCTAAAGTGAAGATAGTAACCCTTCGAGTAGCCACGTGGGTAAATCTGAATTACCCGCCGGTAGCGAGGACATTGAAACGTAGATCATCCCATCACCCCGAACATCAAGGCCTCAAAAAGATCTGGGCGGAAATAAAAAATAAATGTTGAAAGTTCCGCTGAATCCAGATGTTCCTATTCTTAGACGAATCTTATAACAACGGGATGATAATGCGCAGCTGGCTGGCACAATAACAGTTACTGCGATAGTCGTAGTAGTCTAGGATGCTTTCGACGTTCGTTCAAGTTGGATGGTTTGTTTTACCGTCACTAGCAACGCAAGTCCCTTTGGCCTTATCGCCTGATGGCACACCGTCACTAAAACTCGGAACTGCGGCATCCACGATAGCTCAACCATATAACCCTCTCAACTCGGATAGCCTCGACCTTTCATCTTGGCAGCTCGATGAGCCGCCTCCTACTAACGAAACAGGGCATTTTGTTTTTGAAACTGTAAATTCGCTGCTCCAGCATTGGCCAAACACGCGCTATCGGAATGGTCAGTCCTTATCTTGACTTTGGCACAGATGAATGTCTGACGCATATTGTCATTTACAGGCCATACAATAGTTCCCGGTGTCATTCCCAAAGGCACCTTGTTGTATCATGGAGCTGTCAATAACACAATCCCTACGGTCCCCGAGTGGACGGCCACAGATCCAGAACACTCCATCCTCTTCTGCAAAGGCTCTCCTGACACAGGATGTTGGCACTTGACTCTTGCAGCAACTCGTCCCCTCAAAGTCCTTTATTTCGATGGGACTAGCGCAGCCAATACCCTAAATGGCACTCTTGACACTCAGGATATCATTGCATGGGGAGAATTGAGACCTGACTGGCGGTTCATGGAGGACCAGCGCATCGTGGACTTATGCAAATGGGGAGCACCATATGCCGTTGATGGTTTTGTTCGGTAAGCCAATCTTATCTGGCATCATCTCGTTATGTATCGAATTGTTTTTACAGAATGGAAATGGACTTGTATGTTCTTGATATTCGTCTTGCCCTTCGACTAATTGTTTCGCATAAGTGAAGTCATGCTCTGTGACTTTTCGGCTGGCCTAGAAGTCGTCTCCTTCTCTCACCTTGCCAGCCTCGCCGAACCGGTGTCTGCAGTCCCAAGAATACCAAACATAATTTGCAAGTCTCTGTAGTTTTCGTCTTCCTCGTGTCTTCCTAATATATACTTATAGTGCTTCGCCTGTTCGAAGTGATGCACGCAGGGTCATGGCACAATCGATATCCTGGGGATACACGAATAAACCTTGATCTGGCTGGAATCGTCTCACTGTACGACACCACCCTTGCACCGTCACTCGTTAGTTCACGCGACGGCCAGGAACGGTGCGACCATGACATAAGAGCTATATCTTCTGCGGATATCAAGGCAGTCAGGCGTAGCGTTTCTCGCACATTAGAAGGCAATCAGGATGACATCAGTGGCATCGACTGGCAAACCCTTTTTAGAGTTATCGTGGAACGTTACTCGGCGCGCTTTGACTTGATGGACTACCTTCTCAACTCCGAAAATGACACAATCATGGATCGAGCGCTGAAGGTGCATGTCCAATTGCGCGTGATGCTCACGCCGTACATTTTCCACTCTATTGTACCCCCCAGCGCATCGTACGACCCATCTAATTCCTGGGCAACACCAGTATTCAAAGCATGTGGAACCGCGCACACATCGTCAATCTTATCATACGTTCCGAGCTTGAACCCCTCAGAACGCCTTCTGTTACATGCAGTGCAAGAGACTTCGCGTGAGATATGTCGCGTTATTACAAAGATGTGGGCGTCCGGCGTCGTTGCAGGACTTGATGTCCATCTCCCCCGTGATTCTACTCCAGATACTGCGCAAATAGTTCGCCTGATGGATTCGTGGAGGCAAGAGTTAGGTGCTTTGATGACGTGGCTAGATTGGAGCGTGTGGGTTAAATGTCGTCCAGCTTGCGGACCTGAGGTAAATATCCTGACATTATGTGTGACCTATATACAACTTACTTACGTATCTTTTAGGAAATGTGTTACCTTCCTTCCTGGCCCATAAACATGCGAAGGGGTCGGTGGCCACGTCATCCTCCCCATGGACAATATGAGAGCAACGATATTATCAATGCAACTCTTCCAGACAGCCTACCTCTCACGCACGGGCTCCTCATGCAATTGGCGAGTCCGCAGGATGATGACTGGAGGAAGCCCCAACCCAAGTGTATTAGGCGAGTTGCACCCTATGGTTTCTAGATTTTCATTTATGGCTAGCATTAAATGTCATTCTTCTGGTAATGACCGGAGACGTTTTATCACATAGATGTTTTGGATATGTACAGCTATTATCTGCGTTCTTTCTTACTAGTTTTCCTCGCGCGGCCATCACTGTCGCGCTCCTATCTAGATATCATGCGGCCATATTGTCGTTTGTATATCACCCGATCATGTATGCCATCACCCACTCATGAGTATCTCTTACATTTGCCACACGACGTTGCGTCCTATCCTGACTCCGATGCACAGCAAAACATCAACTTCCCTGGTGCATGAGTGATGCCTCGATGCCTCCGCTCAACCATGACATCGACCATTTTATTTTGCGGAAGCGTGGATCCTCATATACATTCTCGTGGACATTCGAGACTGATTCATCGAATAATATGATGAGGAAGAGGGGAAACCTCGATTCCTGCGGGTACTATGAAAGGTGATACCGAGAGCACGACGAAGTTGTTTACATCGCATCTTCGCCGCCACTAGTGTCACCTTAGTTAAATCATACTGGGGGATGTCGATCTCAGGTAACAGAAGCACTATGCAAAGATCCCTTTTTCTTGTCAGGTGTAGCAGATACTCCGGATGCTACTTTCTGTGCATGAAATGAGGATACGGCTTGATATAAAATCCATCTCGGATCCTGTGAGCGTCGACTCTTGTTCAACAGTAAGTTGATTTTTAGACTCGGTAAATTTTTCCCGCTCGGAAATGCGGACCGCAGGCGAGTCCGCCTGACATCCAAGACCATCTGCTGGTTCGGTCTGTTTCTCGTGTATAAATCTGCATAAATATAAATAAAATAGTCCCTATGAATCTATATAAGAGACTCGTGACCTCTTCCGACATTTCCCAATAGTCTGAACTCGAGTTACCCGCTACCATGTCACTCACGGTGAGTCGTATTCACATTGCATTGAAATGAATATCACAGCTGAAACATTCAAGGTTGAATCAGTCGCTACCCAAGAGGAAGCATGCCGCCTCGACTCCTTTGACAGTAATGTCGCCTGGGAGATCGGAAATATCATTCGCGCCAATGTCCAACAAAAATTCACGCGCCCCGCCGTCATCTACATCGCGCACGCAAACTCATCCCAACTCCTGTTCTTCGCCACCTCAGGACCTGGTACACTTCCGGACAATATGCACTGGGTGAAGCGCAAGGAGGCAGTAGTGCTCCGTTGGGGATGCTCGACCATGCGCATGAGGTTGTTGCTGCAGACCAAAGAAAAGACACTGCAGGAAGTATATGAGATGGGCGATCCGAGCATATATGCGGTGCACGGCGGAGGTTTTCCGGTGATGGTAAAGGGCCTAGAGGGGGTCGCAGGAGTGATTGTGGTTAGTGGTCTTAAGCAGGAAGACGACCATAGCGTCATTGTGGATGGTATCCAAGAATACCTTGCGAGGAATGCTTGAGACATCGGCCCGTAAGTCGTACGACATTGGCGGCCGTGTCCCATTGACGGTTATTCAGAATGAAAAGAGATATCGAGGATGTGGAACTGTGATTTATTTCTGACTTGAATGCAACGGCACAGGTCTGATGCGTTCGGCATTTCGGAGTGTGCGCAAGCTGAATAGTGATCTGAGTCGTCCCAAACGTGCATGGCGATCTCGCGCCTCGCTCAATGATGCACTACGATTGGAGCGAAAACTCAATGCCTTCATAGATAATTTGTGTCTTTTTTGAGGTTCAGTATCCTGCACGTCGAAAAATGTCAGTTCGGCAAGGTTTCAATATCACCATATGAATAAACTGACGTTCGCCACAGAAATCCCTGAATATACCGTGTTGGTGGGCGACGATTGTTCTCTTTCCGGAAGTTCCCCACCATTGCCCCTCGGTGTGTGATCTGTAAGGGTCGCCTCTAACACAGAAGTTTGTTCTGCGTCATCCAGCTTTCTAGGGCTCGGAGGAAACCGATCTCCTTGAGGCAAATCAGAGACAGGGGACACTAATACTTCGTCGTGATCGGCGTGTGGGGTGTTGGTGAAGGAAAGGCTATCATCTTCATAACTGTGAAGCGAGAGTACGAAAGATGAACGATCTGAAAAAGGATAGCAGCCAAAACAAAGGCTGGGATGTCGTAGCACCTTAGGCATATTTAACATACGTTTTCATTAGGAAGGCAGAAGATCAGACCTCGTTGAATGCCCCAAGCTCTGCGTTAGAGAGATTTGGTGCTGCAATGAGCTCACCGACATCCTCGATAAATGACTCTTCATAATGAACCGAAGATGATGGGTCAGTGATAGGATCTGGGTTTACCAACCGAAGCTTCAATGTCACGCTAGCCTGGTATATGGAAGGCTCTCCATTCCGCCCTCGTACGTGCACATGTCTCAGATTTTGTGAGACGACTAGAAAAATGTGAGCGAATGCCTATGATGACTTGTGAGGGTCGCAGGACCTTTTGTTTGTGTTGATGTAGGTAACTGCATATAGTCACGAGACGATGCAATGGGTACATCCTTGCAGAACCAACTCAGGGTGCCGCACGATAACAATGTATGTTTTGCTATCAAGTCAATGCATATAGACCAGTCCTCTCTCACTGAGCTATTGAAGAGGGGGCTGTTGAGCTACAACCATCCACACAATAGGTAATGTCGCTTACAATTCAAATGACTCATTCCAGGCGTACTTTCCGGGGGAGGATACTTGGGTTCGCTTGCGAACAGTGTTGACGCCGACCTCCACGTAGCATTTATAGGGCACAGGCAGACATTCTGGATCGTCTGGTTCTATGGAGACGCTGATATCTGTGCGCTGCGGTGAACATCCTACAGAGTGTATCATTGCAATTCACTTGCCAGAGATCTGGACGTGATAGTAAAGTTTCCGCCTTCCACCATGCGATCGCGTTGGGTGAGAATCCATCTACAGAAGGTGGCAGCAACCCGTTGCACACAAGGAGAGCAGTTTTAAGGGACGATGAGTCATATCATGATGTTGGTCAGACGCTATGTGGTATGCCGTGCTCACGCACAGCAATGATTTGATGTCTTCCCAGGGTCGCACGTAGGACAAGTACGCCAGTATGGAATAAACGTTACACATAAATTTTGGCAAACGTTCGGAAAGTGATTCTGATTGAAAAGCATCTGTAACAGAATCAGCAAGTTGATTCACTGGCAGAACGGGTACTAGAATAACGTTGTGATCAAAAGCGCCTAAGCGCAACTGCCCTAATAAGATCTCGCACAAATACATGTCAACACAACGCGCGTCCGTACAGTGCATGCGGTCATGAAGGCCTTTAGCGTTAGCACTACAGATCATGGTAGCATCAACAAGTGAGCAAGTGAGTTGTAACGCTGAACAACTCGAACATTATGATAATTATTCAATTTGCAGTTGGCAGCACTTGCTGGAACGACAGTTGGTGAGCGAGCAACCACTCGTTCGAAAACCCCCCGCATATACTAAACACCTCCAGTCGTTCATCCATTGGTCCTACTCTCTGTTACTGATCACCATGCACGCACGGTCTCGCGCACTTCATCGAAGCGCGTTGTTGGCGTTCTTTTGGGCCAGGACAATGGCAAGACCGTTAACGTTGCCAATTCATTTGGAATCCCGTTCGAGGAGGATGAAAGAGATAGCAAGACATGGTTCCTAGACCATAACTATATTGAGGGGATGTATGATATGTTTAAGAAAGTTAACGGTACGTTCCTTTCCCCTGAATAACCATTATAGATGCTAAGTGATATTGCAGCAAAGGAGCGGATGATCGGGTGGTACCACACGGGACCAAAACTACGAGCTTCGGACCAGGAAATCAATGATCTTTTCAAGCGGTACATTGCGAAACCAGTTATGGTTATCGTTGATGTACGACCGCAGGCCGTCGGAATTCCGACGGATGCGTATTTTGCAGTGGAAGAGATCAAAGATGTTTGCCTTTCCTCCTTTGCAATCTATACTTGTACCGATTTTATGACTTTAGGACGGCACGGAAACACGGAAGACATTCCTTCACGTCCCTTCTGCAATAGAAGCCGAAGAAGCTGAGGAGATCGGTGTCGAACATCTCCTACGCGATATCAAAGACTCAACAACTACCACCCTCTCAACACGCGTTTCTGAGCAACTCGCATCACTTCAAGGGCTTCAATCCCGACTACGAGATGTGCACAAGTATCTGCTAGATGTTGCAGCTGGTACGATGCCAGTCAATCACCAAATTATTTACCACCTGCAAGACGCACTCAACCTACTTCCTGACTTGAGCAATCCGGTGACAACACAGAGCTTTGCATCGAGTACAAATGATCAACTACTCGTGGTGTATCTGAGTAGTCTTCTACGTGCTGTAATCGCGTTACATGCTCTGGTGGACAACAAGGCCACGATAGGGCGAGCAGAGCAAGAGGAAGGCATAGATGAGAAAGACAAGGACAAAAAGACGATTAACGGCGACGCTAAAAAGTTGGAGGATCCCAAGAAGGATGGGGAAAAGGGAAAGGACTCGAGTAAGAAGGACGCAGACAAGGGACTATGATTAAGTTCTATCGTTACTATCACCGGCACGACTACTTCATATTGCTGTGCAGAAGCAGCTTGCACTACATAGTTTTCCCAAAACGGTTGAACATGTGATGAGCACGTGCCCGATGAAGTGCCGTTTTGTGATTATGGAAGCGCTTTCTTTTTTCGTTCCATACCTTGAGGCATTTTTTTGTGTCCTCCTCCTCTTCACCTCCATAACCTTTCGAAGAAAGTGCGTCAGATCTTGTTCAAGATGTTTACCTTGTCCAACATACTTTTCGCGCCGAGACCATCAACGGCTGCGTCAATCGTGCACGGACCCCTAACATCGCTTTTTCCCTAACAGATTCTTTATACGACATGTCTGGCGCTCGTGGATGTTTCAACTGTGGAGGCTGTGCGTGGTGTTTCCGTGTTGTCTATTCCCTGGCTTTTGAACAATTCCTCGTCGATATGGCGAAGGAAAGGCCCCGTAACCATTGCTTTTCCTTCGTTCTTATTTACATCTTCGATTTTCGCGTTGCTGACGTGGATTGCTATGTTCTTTTGCTCATATCTACCGATGACCCATGTTATCGTCGACGACTCGCACAAAATCGCAATATATTGCATTGCTCGTCCTAATTCTCTGCCTGGCTTGGTTCCGTACCTCCGATCTTCATGAACACAGTCGGTCATCAAGCTGCTAACTGCCCCAAGGCTGGGACTCCTACTTGGTAATTATTGATCTTGTTTATGCCGGGCATCGTCTCATTTTCGCTCACCTTGTTTAGCTACAACTGTATGTCATTTCATTGCTGAGTCCATTTTTATGCGGTGATCATGATTTCTGCAGGTGGCATGGAGGGTCATGTTTCTCGTGATTGCACGATGGAAGTCAAGGCCAAGTCTTGCTACAAATGTGGTCAAGAGGGTCACATCGTATGTTTTTCGGGAATATTGGTCAATCTTTTTACTCATTGGATTCAGTCTCGCGATTGCCCCGACGGTGGTGCAGGCGGCGGCAGCTATGGTGGAGGATTCTCCAGCCAGGAGTGCTACCGCTGCGGCAAGCCTGGCCACATTGCTCGCGCATGTCCTGAAGCTGCAGGAGGCAATTCCAGCTACGGAGGTGGAGGCAATTATTCTGCTTTTGGTGGTGGAGGCTCGAAGACTTGGTTTGTCTCTATTATGTCCATCGCATATTGCACTAATTCGCCATACGCAGCTATACCTGTGGTGGTGTAGGTCATCTGTCGCGCGACTGCGTTCAAGGCTCTAAGTGCTATAACTGCTCGGGCGTGGTGCGTTGCTCTGCATATATGTGGTTCTCTTGTTCACATATGTCGATTTAGGGCCACATCAGCCGTGACTGCCCTCAACCTCAGAGGCGTGCCTGCTACACGTGTGGTTCAGAAGGGTGAGTGTGTTCAGATGTCCCTATCCGTCCTCTCGTTAATTCCCATCTAAGCCACATTTCTCGTGATTGTCCTGGTGTGGGCGCTGAGGGTGCTTGAGTGATGCGATATCCATGTATTCCTACCTGCTTAATGTTTGATCTCTTTCTGGTTTGCTGTTGAACCTTGAAGTGTTTGGATCCGTTACTCCGTACTCCATGTTGGCAGAATACTAGCAGTTATTTTCAGCACACCATTAATATCAATATTGTACCAGTTCATGCATGTCAGAGTACTTTGCAGGTTGCGGGACCACTGACCCGGTTCACGCCGATTAAGTGAAATCAGGTGCAGGGCCAGCCGAGCTTATTTTTTCCACGACCTGTTATTCGCTAATTTCCACTTCGATTTCTCTCCTCCGTCCACTGACATTCGCTTTCATTGTCCTCCATGCAAGCCATACGTCTGGCGCGCCCTAGAATCTCCTTGCGCCGTCTGGCGACTGTCGCTCAGGTGCCCACGTCCGGACCCTCGTCTGTGACCGCGTCTGTTATTCCTCTCTCCAACGTCGAGGCACAATGGGAAAATATGTCTAAGAGCGAGCAGGCAGTTGTTCACAGGCAGCTCGAGGAGTTACAGAAGAAGGACTGGAAGGCACTCTCGTTGGACGAGAAAAAAGCGGGTGCGTGTTGTTGTCCTTCCGCTGTTCGGCTGCTCCCGTTGACGTGTCTTCTGATGTCCTTTTGCTCTGTTGTTTTATTCCAAATCACGCATTATCGTGACGTTGGGGTCGATGAAACACTGTTGCTTTTGGTATGATGCGTGTTGATAGCATACTATGTTGCCTTTGGCCCGCATGGACCCCGAGCTCCTGTCAGCCCACCAGGCCAGGGCTTCAAGGTTTTCCTTTCCACCATGGGCCTTATAGGTGTCGCTGGACTGCTCTCCATGGCTATCCGTTCACAATGTAGGTTTTTTCTCGTTTTTTTGTATGCTTGAACTCTAACACATGTACCCCTGAACTTTAGCTCCACCTCCACCGAAAACGCTTACACGCGAATGGGAGGAAGCAAGCAATCAACGCGCACTCGAGCAAAAGTCAAACCCTATCACCGGTCTGTCTCTCCGCCTGGAGTTGTGTTTTCGTCGTGCTAATACCTGACTCGCCGTACAGGCATATCATCGGAAGGGTACTCTGGGAAGGGGTACGTGGTGTCGAAATAAATGCATTTTGGATTTTCTTTTCTGCCGCTTACGCGCGCACACTATGGTCATTGTTCTGTGTCTGCTGTGAAGAGAAGAGAAAAGACTTACATTATACCGTAGAGTCTACTTTCCTTTTTTTACTTCTGCAATTGCAAAACTGCATGTGTCGGAATCCATTTTGGTGTGCGATCGGTGCGGCGATGCTATTTAAGTTGTGCAGACATTTCGAAAGGCACTGCTCGCGGCGCCTAGCATGACAACCTCAGGCTTAAACATTGACATACGTAGAAATAACCAAAGTTACTAGACCACAAGTGTAACCAAGCTAGGCTGGGTAAACGGGTAGACAGGCAGCTGCATGAATTTCCGTCGTATAATCTTGTTCCGGGATTATACGCCAGGCACCCGACATGCAGCACCATAGCCACTACATAACATCACCATGCACTACGAAGCAATGGCGAAAAGGCAGTAAACAGTATGTCAAAATCAAGCCACGAAAAATGCAGACAGACCGACAGGTAGCGAGCAGTTGACAAAGCTCTTCAAGGTACCTGGCCAACAGATCTAATGCACCCATGGCACCAGCCTCCGCTTGGAAATCGGCAACCTTACTAGCGGTGCAATGCACGGGTCAAATCATCTCGATGTCATGATGCAATGATGTTCGAAGGCAATCAAACAAGATGAATGATAGATTGTTTTTATAGTCTTTCCGTCGGCGGGAAAGGTACAGGTACACCGCCGACTCCAACCGAGACCTCCGAGTCTCGATGGATGCTTCCGCGACGGGTGGTCCCGACCTGAGGTGTCACCTCAGTATGATTATAGCACCAGCCAAACAATGCACGCACCATAGCAAGAGTTTGCGCCTGCAAACTCATTCAATCAATTACAATGACTCATGGGCTGGAAGAGATGGGCGCTGCTAAACCTTCCATGTTCGGCGTTATATTATCGTGGGGCTGTAAAAATTCTCTTGCAACGTATGATTGATGGCGACTAGTGACGAGATATTTCAAGTGACACTATTTGTGCATTTAAGGATAGATTGTAGGACCGACGGACGAAGCTGAAACAACCCTTGAACGCAACAGCAAAATACGATCTCGCACCCAAAAATTAGAGCCCGCAAACTGATAGTTCGCAAGGGCAGTGGGCTCCATATGGATCCGATGACACACGAGTGAGATGGATTTGCTCAGCGGTTTCTAAATCTTCATTGGAGATAGCGAACTTTTCGCACTCGCCGTCTTGTGAATTCGTTTCAAATTGAAGCCCGCATGATACGACAGATCTGCACACTCCGGTTGCTGTTATGCATTCCATAGCCACCTTTAGCAGTTCATTTTATGAGCCAAGGACGAAAAACGTCAGAGTAAACCATGGTGGTGGTAAAACCCCCAGTCCTCAATGATGAAGCAGCTTGCGAGCCGAGGAATACGAACGGCCCACAAGAGACCCGCACAATAGGCATCAACGAAGAAAAAACGCCTCCTCGGGGTAGGCAAACCGGTCACCGATCGGGCACCACGGGAGAGACCTCCTGCAAATCTATTTCGGATATATGATGACATTGGCAATTAACGTATCCCATCGCTAGTCAAGCAGTTCAACTTGAACGCAGCGCTTTTCCCTATTTCTTGTCCTCCTCGGAGTTCAGGAGTACCTGTGTGGAACAACACATCATCAGAGATGTGCCGGTCAAGATTGAGCAAGTATGAATAGCGCACCTGCGGTCCACCAACACCATTTTCCCATTGTTGGTATTTTAGAGCGGTCGCACCTCTCTTCTCAGCCACGACACGCTCAGACTCTTGCAACGACTGTCGAACAGCCCGTGCGGTGATCTGGGCATATTTGTTGTACCTTCAGAGTCATGTCAATGAATGAAGATAGACAGAATATACTGAACACGAACGTGAAAAAGTTTCGCCAAGTTGCACTGCTCATTGTGGAGGACGTTGAAGTTGAAGAATATTGTTCGTGCTTGAAATTCTGGTGCAGTTCAAACCTTCCGGAAATGTCCGTTCATCATGCATTGCCTAATGTGGTCATTGATTTTGGAGTGGGGGCCGTTGGTATGTACATCCGCTCTCACCCTTGCTTGGTTCCCTAATTGTTGTACTTGTGTTTCTAAACTACCCTGAAGCACACGAAAAGTAAAGAGCCCTAATGACAGGAATCACTTGGCACTATGTCCTGAAATTCATCATCACTGGTGTGTCACGCGGCACTTGCATTCCGGCAAAGGGTTTATTGCTCAATAACTGCTTTTACAAGGCGATGCTGGAGTTGGCAAGTCATCTTTACTTGTTCGCTTGACGGACCAACGTTTTCTTGCGAACCCCGACCCAACTGTGCGTGGCTTTTTGCATACCCGATAGGTTGAATTTGACACACGCACCCGTTACCCCTAGCTAGGAGTAGAATTTGGCTCGAAGCTAATTGAGATACCCGAAGAAGGGAAGATTGTCAAGCTTCAATGTCCGTCTCCTTCCCTAGTCCCCTCTGACACATATTTCATGTAGTGGGTTATTATGTAGGTTGGGATACTGCCGGAACCGAATCCTTCAGGTCAATTACACGGTCATACTACCGTGGTGCCGCGGGCTGTTTGCTGGTCTATGATGTGACGTCTCGCAAAAGTGTGTTTAGCATGACCGATTCATCCCCGGCATTCTGCTAATCATTTTACACAGGTTTTACCAACGCGCAATCATGGCTTGCAGACGTACGAGAGCATGCTGACCCTCATTTAACTTGCATACTGGTCGGAAATAAAATTGACCTATGCGACGAGGAAGCAGAAGACACATTGAGTCGACGAAGAGAAGTTTCCACAGACGAAGCGGACGAATGGGCGAGAAAGGAGGGATTGCTATTCTTGGAAGCAAGTGCAAAATCAGGGAGCAACGTTGATACGGCATTTGAGACAGCCTCGCGCGATATTCTCCATAAGATCAAGCATGGCGTTTTTGATGATGATCGAGTGAGTGTTATTTTAAATCGACAACCACCTGACACCCCCCATCTCTGACATGTTGGTCTATTAGTCTCCAGGAGTGAAGCTGTCAAAGCCAACAAATGGAAACGTCGCCCTGAATCGAGCATCAAATAAACAGGGATGCTGTTCATGATGACTACTATATTATGTGCAACATTATACATAAAGTTGCTGTATTCTATTCTACTGTGGTTAAGGGACTATAGTTATTACTCTGTATTACCGAAGATGCGCAGAATTATGAGACTCGTACTGTATCTGAAATGTTCAATGAAATCCCGCGCTAGGGCGTCCTGGGCATACAGATGATACAGAACTTTTGCGTATGTGTGAATGCAAAGGAGTGATGCAAGCTTTGTCAAACAATCTTCTAACACCCATCTGATGGCCGTCGGAAGCACATATGTCCATATTTCCTGCCCCCCCGCAACTATCATGATCAACGCCGTAACGTGTCTGCGTACTCTTGCAGCTGCTGTACAAATCCAAAATTGGGTTCCGCGGATCTTCGTCTTGTTTTGACGTATTGGATAGCTTGTGCTGGAGTCCAGCCGTACTCCGATATGAGGAACGCACAAACCACGCTGGTGCTGCGGCTCACTCCTTCCATGCAGTGCACAAGAATCCGTGCATTGGGGTCGTGCAGTGCGCTGCGGATAAAAGCAGTTGCGGATGGAAGGTGAGCGGCGAGCTCGGAGAATGGAAGATCCTCGAGGGGGTATTGGATACGATGTATGGGTAGGTCATGGGGTATTGCGACGTATCCGCGCATTGCTGAGAGGATGTGGGTTATACCCAGTGAGGCGAGGGCGGCAGGGTTCTCTGCGAAAGATAGGTCTGAGACATATAGTCTTGGCAATATTTCTGATGCACCAGGCGTCCGGAGCTGGTAAGGGATTTGGGACATGGGGGACGGTGACCAGTTGGAGATGCTGGAAGGGTGACTGCCGTTAAGTGATGATACTGTGAGCCTCCCCAGGTGCTAGAATATATATAAGCATAATGAGAAGCAACGAAGATGGGACACAACCAGCAAGTGTGGATGTACTCAAATGTAGGAAGGACAACTGAAAACACGACTCACCATGACAACTTTGACAAGCCGCAGCAGAGAGTGTACAAGTATAGAACCGTTAAATTGAAGGAAGAAAGTGGTTCGGGTAAGAGGAGTAGTATAGGTGCGAGAATAGTACCACGGGGCAGAGACCCTTGCTAGATTAGCCGGCTGAGATTAATGGCCTCTTTATGAACGAAGTAGGCAAGGAATTAGCAGACAAACAGCCTCTGTTGGAGATTTGGGCTAGATTTGCTCGGTCCTGAGCCGAGACCAGGATCTAACGGCGCCCTCAGCGGACGTCGGGAAGGCACGGCTCTTGGGCGGGGTTGGTCAGGCTCAGGCTTAGTGATTTCGATAAGGGGGAGCAGAGCTTTTTGGTTGCAACTAAAGTAGGACAAAGACTGTACACTGTGAGAGAGCTCACGAGATATAATGTACAGCCTTGTACGACCTCGATCATCAAATGGAATTTTCATCCAATGGCAGGTTCAGGGACGACTAAACAAGCGGTCGAGGCTATGCTTAACACGCTCCGAACCAATGGATTCAGCCCGGGCTACGGTCCCTCAGGAAGCCGTATGCAGTGCAACGTGTAGAAAGGATTTCCACAAACAGGTACGATATGCAAATGTGCAGCTAACACAATGCGAAAAAAAGAGAAGTAGGAGAGAGAAAAACACAAGCTTGGCAGACCCAAGACATTTTACATAGCATACTGTCAAGAAAATTTCACGATCATAGAATGGACGTAACAATTTCGGAGCGGCATCGTAGCAAGTCTGGCCTATAAAAACAGATGGCAATCTAAATGAGATCGCTGGAAAAACACTGGTCAGAGCCCAGATCCAATCAGTTCCGCAGTAAGAAACTCACGCGACATTAAGAGGCATCTCGTCAATTTGAGTGTTGTAGAATTCTGCCTTTAGTCTTAGCATTAATCATACAGTCGCAAAATGTGCTCACGTTCAATATCTCTCAGCATTCTGACGTCTTCTGTTGTCACAAAGTTGATTGCAACACCTTTACGGCCGAAACGTCCGCCACGACCGATGCGGTGAATGTAGTTCTCCCTGTTTGTCGGCAGGTCATAGTTGATGACTAGAGATACCTGCTGCACGTCGATTCCGCGGGCCAAGAGATCCGTCGTGATCAGGACACGAGATGAACCTGACCGGAACTCCTTCATCAAAACTTCACGCTGCTTCTGCTCCATGTCTCCGTGCTGGGCAAAACGTACGATCAGATGGCATACAACTGAGATAATACCGCAATTACTGACCATAGCAGATACTGTGAACTCACGCGAGTGCATCTTCTCCGTCAACCAATCGACCTTCCGCCTTGTGTTGCAGAAGATGACGGCTTGCGTAATCGTCACAGTCTCGTAAAGATCGCAAAGAGTGTCCAATTTCCATTCCTCCTTCTCCACAGCGATGTAAAATTGCTTGATACCCTCAAGTGTCAATTCGTCCCTCTTGACGAGAATTCGAACAGGATCACGCATGAACTTCTTCGTCACTTCCAAAACGTCGGCGGGCATAGTGGCGGAAAGGAGTACTACTTGAGTCTCCTGCGGTAGAAGCTGGAACAACTCGTAGATTTGGTCCTTGAACCCACGGGACAACATCTCATCAGCCTCATCGAGACAGAAAATCTTGATGGTGTCGGTGCGGAGAGCTCTCCGGTTGATCATGTCATATACACGTCCGGGAGTGCCGACAACAACTTGAACACCCTCCTGGAGTTTGGCCATGTCCTCACGAACGTTTGTACCTCCAACACATGCATGGCATTCGATGTTCATGTAGTCACCGAGTGCGATGACGACTTTCTGAATCTGTTGAGCCAGCTCGCGGGTGGGTGCCAAAATAAGGGCCTGGCACCCTTTGATAGACATATCCAACTGCTGAAGGATAGAGATGGAGAATGTGGCGGTCTTTCCAGTTCCAGATTGTGCTTGAGCAATGACGTCGTGGCCTTTCACAACAGGAACGATAGCACGCTGCTGAATCGCGGAGGGCCTCTCAAAACTACGAAATATTGATATTGTTGATATAACAATGATTAAAAGCTGAATGCACTTGCCCGTATGCGTAGATACCACGGAGAAGCTCGGCTTTCAAATCCATGTTATCGAAGCTGTTTGCAACGCATCAGAACTTGATTCTGCAAAATCGGAACTCCCATTTGACGCACTTATCCACGACCTGGTCCCAGTTGGACTCGATCTCATTCTCTGCAACATCCTGGAGCGCTTCTTCTCTAAATCCACACGAGCGACATATTAGTAATTAGCATCGGCAGCAGGACGGATTACTTACGCTGACATGAGTATAGTCTATTTTTTTCTATCCAAGATTCGACTACTGTAGTCGATTATACTTGGATTGTGTAGTGGGTGTCCGGTGAGCGTAATCGATTGACTTCTGCGCACTGATCAAATTTTCCGCATATTCCTTTGGTCGGTGGCTGAAGCGGCAAAAGCCGACATTGTTGAAACTCCGACCTTTACTTCCATATGGCCAGTGTTGGTTGGTGAGACGAAACTTCCGATTGAAAGCTTGACAAGTATCGCCTGGCTTCCGTTTGACATGCAGGCTATGTACGTTTGGTGTAGACAGATGACATGACACTTCAAACGAGCATCGCTTTCATGTCAACATGGAGAATTTGACAAATCGAATGACATAAAACATGATATATCTCATATGCCTACTGACTCAGGCTAGCCTACTATGCAACCAACCGCTGGCGAGTCCAATATTGTCAAATGGCGTTCGTTATACTCTTTGAATTGACCAACCCTCCCATCCTTCCCTTTTCCCAACGCGTGGTCCTTCCTGCAGCTTGAACGCAACACCATCCAATTTGGCCATGATTTTTGCGGTGATGACAGCTGCAGCTGGCGGCGCCCAGCTTGCCGCTACACACTTCAGCTTTCCGTGCCCAAAGGCATACAGCTGATCCCTTCTAGGAGCGGACTGGCTCGCGTGGAACCGCATAGGATTGAAGGATTCAGTATCACTCCCGAACATAGAAGATTTCTGTGCCCCTTCGATGTCTGCCACATCTACAGATGGGACAAACGGCCGCTTCCACCATGGGACGACAACGGCGCGAGTGATGTGACGAGTCGGGGGGTGGAGTCGGAGAACCTCACTGATGATGGCCTCTACACTAGGCTGCGCTCTTGTCCCTTCGTTTGAAAAGGCGCAAAATTGATCGTCAGTGGGGTTCTCATCGTATGAGATAAATGCATCGCGTAGCAGACAATCACGGTTAGAATATACTACCGCAATTGCTGCTACACGCCACATTGTCTCGTATGCGGGGATGATGAGATTGAGTGGGTTGGTTCGGTTTGGAACCCATCTGACGATGTGATGGTTGATTTGATCAAGCACCTCTGTAGTAAGAGCAGTGCTCGACTTGGATTGTGCCCAACGGTCGTTAATGGCTTTTGTCACAAATGCGACGTCCGCGGGGTCAAGATCTTCAATATCTGTACCCAGCAGACCTGCCAACACGACGCTGAGCGTGACAGACTGCACAAAGGTGGCGTAGTCGAGGCTCTTCGCGTCAAGGAACCTGTTCACGCAGGTTTCGGCGACGTCAACGAGCCTCGACCATCCATCTTTGGTGCTGACGGCGGTTATCAAAACTTTCGCCTCGCGGGCGAACGTGTCGTGAACGCCAGGATCATCGCTGACGAATGTGCTCGATATACCGAGCGCCTTCACCAAACGCTGATTTGGTATGGATCTTGCGCGTAGTAATGCGACAATGGGGATATCAGGGGGATTCAATAAAGTCCTGACGGCGCGGACACTGGTGTGTGTCCGTTTGCTTGGGGTGGTGAATGCTTTGGTGAATGCGACTGCGACTGCGACGGCAATGGAGAAAATCAACACGATACTAGCATGAGACATTGCGGGTGTCAACTGGAAGAACTCTCGTGCACCTGTTGCCTCAGTATTTATCCAGGCCGCTCGTATCATCTATTCTCCGATCGCTCGCTTTCGAACCGATTGCGCGTAACCTTCTAACTAGAGTTCAACACGTTCATGACTCGGATTCTGATATCACGCTCAATCTAGAAGATGTTTTAATAGCCGCAGCTCGAGAACATTCGAGTTCGCACCCACACACTGTCAGGGGAGCTTTTACTTTCTTGACGTTTCCCATCAAAACTCTCACAAAATGGTGTTTCTTGTAGGCGCACCGCATGCAACAATAACAATTACGATACTTTATAGTATGTTCCGCAGCACGCAACAATTGTGACTATCAACCCAGGTCCTCGCGCTGATCCCTAATCAATTGACACGAGGTCTCCTGTGTGCAAAGAAGCAGTCTACCCCACTACTCTGCAGTTTCATAATCTATACCCCCTTTCACCCGTTGCTTTTACGCCAGATTTCGTTTCCTGTGCAAAACATGACCCCACAATACGTAGACAATTTGCCTGTAACGGGACATTCATATGGGCGCCAAGTTTTAGGCTCTAGGATACTGCGGTCATAGTCACCATGAGTGTTTACTTACATCCTCCCTCCATGTCAAACCTCTACAAGTCAGCCTCAGTGAACTCGGACTTGATCTGACTTCATCATGTACTCCGGAAATAGGTGAATCAGCGCTGACGAGTCGCGGTCGTCAAAAAAATAGAACAAGGAAAAGTCCGCCTTATCCGAGTCTGCTGCGGAGTGTTGCATAGAATCTGGAATCCGAGAATCATGTATGTAAGATACATGTGCCATATTACATTTTATCAGAGGAGCCAAGATGTACCTCCTGTGCCGTTATTCAGTGGGCTTGAACGGATCCCAGTTTTTTGAAGTATTTCCCTGCGTATATCCATCGCTTATTATCTAGGATAATGAGAGGCAGCAATGTGTCAACAAACGTGTCTCCTTGCAGTGATATATTGCATCTGCTCTTCAAACTGGCACTTATATCTTAGATCTCCAGACGGCATTATGATCACGATCTTATGTATCTAACTAACTCCATACAGACATACCCTTAACGAATGCTGCGGATCACCCTTGGAGTATGCGACACTCAGCTCACTCCGCCGCGGATCTCTCACGTTCCTCTTCTAACCCGAAGATAGCCCACAGCATCCCAGCCTGTCCAAACGGCCTCTCCATGCCCAACAAAGTACTCGCCGCTTCATACCTATTCTCCGGTTTCCTCACTTCCTCACAGAGTTGTGCATAGGCCCTTGTCACGCGAGCCAGAGACACGCGGTGTATGGTAGAATGCAGGGACGGAGATGTTAACGCTGATAGACGCGGTGAATGCACAACTTCGGGACTGGAAAGCCAAAGAGAGAATCTCGCAAGGGTAGGCTGCAGCTGCTGTGCAGGAAGCACACGGGAAAGCGGATCCTGTAATCGGGTCTAGGCATGCGCGAGTTGTGAATAAGATAGTGAACTTACAGAAGGTGACTTGGACTTGATGATGGCGATAACGTCGTACAACGAAGCATCTCTGAGAATGTTCTCGTACTGTAGGATGTCTAAGTAAAAGCGGACACGACATCAAGATATAGACCTACATGCTCATCCTCCAAAAACTTCACCCTTTCATCGATTTTTTCTTGGATAGTGCAACGTTTCTCTGAAGTGAACTCGAACGCCTCCAGCACATTCTACTTCGATTACCTAGCTGTAACAGGAGTGCGATAGGTCTGGAAACCTACCTGGAGATAGCACCAACAATTTAGCACGAACACTGCCCGATCCCACTGCGGGCGATACCTCGCCTTCTCCTCGGCCGCAGCGGCACACATTTCCATGGCAGGATCGAGCATCACATCTAGGATGCGGTTAAAAGTTTCTCCAGGTTCTGCAGTAGTGTCATCGAGAAGAGAGGAGTCATAAACTTGCATGATTTCCCGGAGCAGCTGGGCATGCTCTAGAATTGGGAGCGGTGGGGTCAAAGATGGGTCGTCTGAGTCCTGATAATCGCTGAAAAACATGAATCAATTCATTGTAAATGACTTACTAAGGGAATTCTTAGGAGTGCACGACCATGGGCTTCGATAGCGTCGAAAAAGACCTTGTAGCTCACATCTGTGATTCTACCAAGAAGAATAAGTATTGATCAAGTGGATTAGAGCAAGCAACTCACTCGCTCAGAGTCGCCGACAGAAGAGCATCTTCCCCGATAGTCCGCCGCATGGTAAGCATGTAGTATTGCAGTAGATTTGCAACTTTGTATGAGACAATACTACTTTCTTGCGAACGTACAGTCTGCTGCACGCGCACCTGGGAAGGCTCATGAAATCCAAATTGTTGTGTCACAAATGGCAGACAGACCTTGAGCGGCACGCACAACTTGGTTACTGCAGAGTTGAGCAATTCCTTGACCCATCCCTCTTCTTCACTCCCCCTGAATGTCCGAACAGCACCAACCATTCTCCCTGTTCTGCTGTCGTCTTCTTGCCCTCCTCCAAGACCAAAAAGGCTTTCCAGGAATTCACATTCTGCGGCGATAGCCTGGTGAACCCACGCAAGCATATCACCAACATATCTGATAGGATCATGTGCGTGCAATTCAATGGGACGCGGAAGACCTGACGGGCCTCCTCGAGTCAATGCATCCAGGAATGCACTCAGCAGACCTGTTTGGCGCGTCTGCGTCAGGAAAGTAAGAGCTTCACTGTGGGTTGTCATTGAGGAGAGACTAAGAATCTACCAATAGTGGGTACATACGAGAGTAACTCTGGACGCTGAGATAGGCGACAAATGGCTTGCTGCATAGTCGAGTCAACTTCCAGCTGGGTGTCGCGTCCCATCTGACGGAATTGAAAAGAGCACCAGCGATATATCTTCTCGTAACCCTGTTCAAGGTAGGATGAAGTGGACGCCATGATGTCCAGTCTGCAAGAGCCCTATTCACACAACATCAATGGGAGTTACAGGACGTTACTTACCCAGCTTTTGTCGGTCCGTCTTCACCTGACATGAGTACTCTGCAGTCATTACGAATACGCTCTGTCTTATTCATTGCCTCAAAAAAGCGGGGGCCAATTGGAACATCTCGCGAGGTTATAGCTTCGATCTCTTCATCATTTAGCGTGAAGCGGTTTAGGAAGAGCATGACAATAGATTTGCGCGTCTCAACCTCCTCCCTGTATTATCTATGAGTAGAAATACCTTTCAATGCACAAATACCATACCTTTCGCTCCTCAAGCTCTCCGCACGATCAAGTAGAGACTGGCTTGCTTCGCTTGATAGCCTCAGCTGCGTCTCCGCTTCGTCACAGGCAACGCGCATGGCAGCGACGTGACTCTGCAGCTCATCAAGTTTCTACAGCTTTGTTAAACGATTCTCGATGATACATCTGACCAACACACACTTGATCCACTTCGCTAAATGCTTGAAGAAATTGCTGGCTTCCTTCTGCAAGTTTGTTCTCCAGATCTCGACGAAGATTCTTGCGTGCCCTCGACGCGGTCTCGTTCAAGTATGCCCTGTGGTCTTGGACAGCTTGCCCGACCTCTACATCCTCATCACTCCAATTATCGTCTGAATCTGTACCGTTTGTCTGTGCTTTGGAATCTGATACTGATACTGTGGACTGAGTCCCATACAGTTCTGACAGCGTCCGGAGGGCTTCTGTTGTTGCTTCATCAGTAAAGTTTGTACCCAAGATTTTACGCAGGCGGATTGTTATTGGATTACGAGTCTGCGGCGCAGAAACTGGGGTGCCTGCATTTCGAGAGGGAACAGACAAGGAACTGGGTACAGGTGCAAGTGAGCCGGACATGCAGTTTTAGTTCCGCTTAAAGTCTCCACATACATATTATGCCAAGACCTCAGAATCCATTACAAGTACCAATTCCACGCAACTTTCTTGCACTTGTAGATCGAAATCAAAATACTCATGGTGCAAATACTGTGCGTTCATTGGTGGGGAACCACCAATGAATATACCTAGCGTAGAACGTAGCAAATGATAAAGTCTAATGTATTACTAACAAGAAACCCGCCAATCAGTAGTGGTGGACCTCCTCACGCTCACGACCACGCATGGATGATGGCTCCGTGCCCTTATAGTAGATGTCTGTCCAGAGGTCCTTGGTCAATGGCTCAGGGGATTGTTTAGCCTCCTCGACAGCCTGGTCAACCTCGGCCTTGGCGTCCTTGTCAAGTTGCTACGCGAACACGATCATCAATATAATTCAATGAGAAGCGATTTTCGACGGACCTTGAGCTCCTGCTCAGTGGCAAGACCCCACTCTTCGATGTAGCGCTGGAGACCGCGGATAGGATCTTGGGTGCTACGCATACGCTGAACCTCCTCACGAGTACGGTAGGTGGTTCCGGGGTCGGACATCGAGTGACCGCCATAGCGGTAAGTGACAAACTCCATAAGAAGTGGGCCATTGCCTTCCGTTACCCACTTGCGAGCGTATTGCACAGCATGTCTGGAAGCGATGATGTCCATACCGTTGACCTGAAGACATTCAAAGATAAGTAAATATTCAAGTCCGGGAGGAAATATGTTACCTGAAGACCGGGAATCTTGTCACCACGGGTAAAGTATTCGGTGTTAGATGAACTGCGCTCAGCAGAAGTACCCATTCCGTACTTGTTGTTCTCGCAAACGAAGACAGCGGGGAGATCCCAAAGTTTAGCCTACGCGTAAGAACATTGATCAGACGGAGTTTGTCCATTACTTAAAACACCCATACCATATTGAATGCCTCAAACACCTGTCCCTGGTTACTTGCGCCATCACCGTAGAGAGCAAATGTTGCGGTGTTCTTGCCAAGGTACTTTTGTGCGAATGCGATACCAGCCCCTACGGGAACCTGGGCACCGACGATACCATTACCACCAAAGAATGAGGGAGTGAAGATGTGCATAGAGCCACCCTTGCCGTGAGACATGCCGGCCTGGCGACCAAGCAACTCAGCAATAACACCTTTAATGGTGCCGCCACGCATAACAGCGAAGGGGTGACACCGGTATGCAGTAATGACACGGTCTTCAGGCTTAATACCATACTCGAGACCAACGGAGACAGCTTCCTGGGAAGATGGTCAGTACTATGTTATTGCGCTAAGAACACTGAATACCTGGCCAATAGCTAAATGGCAGAAACCGCGGATAAGCTTAGCCTTATAAAGGGCATCAGCAGCCATTTCCATCCGACGCATCGTTTGCATGTCCTTGTACATTTTCAGAAGCTCATCCTTTTTCACCTCAACTTCAAGAGACGGAGTCTCGCATTGATATGCGCGGAAGGACTCCTCATGGAGTTTTACGGTAAATGGTTGTGAGTGGTCCCCGATGGTGTCTTGCAGCTGAGTGGTGTCTGCGGACGTCTGAATGGCTCGCGCAAAGGCAGGCTGTGAAAGACACACAGTCAGTATTCTCACAAAATAAGGTGGTTGGCTAGACTGACAATACGACGAGCAGCAGGACGGAACCGTGCAAGAGAAGCCATTGCTGAGGACGGCGACGACGATGAAAAATAAGGAATGGAAAAGGGCTGTAAGAGAGGACGTACGATAGAGACGCGAACTTTGACTTCCAAAACTGAATACGTAAGTCGGGCTCGAGCGGAAGGAAATAATTATGTCTTACACAGCCACAATCCACACCATGTCAAAGAAATAAATCCTAATCGGCCGCCCGCAGAGGATATATGTGCTATGTAGTGTATGGTGTGATCCTACATATGTTTCATAGGTTATGATGACTCAATTGTTGTTGTACATATCCTGAAGTTTTGGCGTGTAAGCACTCCCTGATTTTGGCTCGCGGTAGTCTTATCAAAGTCGTCAGGTCAATTGCTGGTGAGAGCTGCCGTACGTGCCATGTGAGTATCTAGCTGCTTTGCAAGTCACCTGGAGCCCGCCTAGGGAGACTTCGATCATGCGATCGACGGAGTTCCATAGCAAGCATCTGCCCAAAGTCATCAATGCGATTGAACGCAGTATCATCGACAGCCACCGAGCTTTAATACTTCATGAGTGAAACTAGCGAAATTGAGATGTTGTATTGCACATATTAACAAACCCATCAAGCCCCTCACTAGGTAGTAGGCAGGCACTGTCGATATACAGAGTCCGCCTGAGAACGAATCTATGCATTATAGATATTCCAAGTCTGTTAATCGGAAATTAACCGAGCCCTAGAGATTAAGCAAAACATGGACTTACTTTGCGCCACAGGAGGCCCCAATAGTCATTGATTGGTCCATCGATACCCCAGGCCATTCCCCTGAACCACCAGAAGTTTCCAACGATCAGGAATGCGCAAATACCAAAAGCAACACGCTTTGTGCTGTCCTTCCAGCGTGCTGAGAAAATAAAGTGGTCAAGAAGGTGAGCGAGCATGAGAACAGAAAAGTAAAGAGTGGGAAGCTAATCGGTTGGTTAATAGGAGACTTCCAACTTCGACACAGACACGTACATAGTGATGAACATATGTGACACGGCCCATGATAAAGAACGGGACTTTAAGCGAGTTGTGAGTTCCTAAATTGAACAGAGAAGTTTAAGGCTCACAGTAATGCAGGAACCACCCATAACCAGCAATCTTTCCAACATACAAGAAATGATCCCATTGTTCTGAAACGACGCATTGGCGCATGCTTACGAGAAAGATAGGAAGTGAGCTTACGAGGAGTCATATCAACATACTTGCGTTGGTGGCGGAATAGGTATACGCCAAGGACAATAACAGAAAGTATCAGGCTGACTGTACCACCCCACCAGATCACAGGTGTGCCAAGTAGGTAGTACTTTGTTTGATCATCGCCCCAGCCACACATCCTGAGGCCTAGTCGCATCCAGGGCCAGTCAGTGGGACTTGACGCAAGGATATCTTCCTTGTCTGGATCGGGGATAAGTGCATTGTTCGAAGTCATCATGGCCACATTGAGATGCCAGAAATCACGGAGGAATGAGGACTTGTAAAATTTCGCATCACCAGAAGGCACTGAAACACCAACGTCAGGGCTAAATCGTAGAATGGCACTGTAGCTCACATCGGTCGTTCCAGTGGCTCTCCACGTTCCAGTATGTGTGTGTGTCTTCTGGGTTGTTCTCCTTGATGCAGCTGACCTCTAGCTGCTTAAAGCCCCACTGAGGTAGGATTGCATTCGCAGCATACAGGTAGCATCCTAGAGCCTGGTGTTTGAACCTCAACCTTGTGGTGAGTGAATGAATTCTTGTCACGTGCTCCTTGTGGCCCTGCTTGATATCATCGACGACCTCAACGACCCAATAGTCCTGAAAATCTCCAACGGTCGAGTTACCATAGCCAGAGACTTCGTTGTTAAGCTTCGTCACGGGTGCTGCCACTTCGTGCGAGTGTAAGTGTCGCGTTGTCGGTACATGCTGCAAGCGGATGACGTCGCCATCCTGCAGGAACTGTAACTCGCCGTTTGGATTGTATTCAGGCGCTTCCCAAGTTGGAAGGATAGTCCAATGGTTGTTATCATCTTTGTAGTGATAGCAGGTAACCTGCTGCTGGCCTGAGCCAATTGGATATGTTTGAACGTGAGAATGCAAGAGACCGCCGCCCCAGCCCATGCCTTTCAAGGTAACTTTTGAACCAAATGCAATTTCTGTGTGTATCGTCAATGGTATTATTCCGATGTACACAAGGAATCGAACCAACCACGTGGGTTCTTGCCAAAATCGTTGCCGACCAGATTGGCTTGGAATAGCGAGCTCATCGTAGAGTCACCAGGACCCGAATGGTTTAGAATGAGGAAATGCAACTTGAAGGACAACATATATACCAGGATCGGGAGGATGATTAAGCAAAGCACACGAGCTGCCCAGTGTCGAATTTGATCTCGCTGTTGAAGGCATCAACTTATAGAAGCAGCTTCACAAAAAGTAATCATGCTGACATTGGTCATGCGAAGATCGCCAAATTTCTCCCAGAGATCCTCGATGGTATACAAGCCAACCACAGCAGTCACGAATAATCCAATCCATTTCACACTGGGATAGGTCAATGAAAAGCAATTGGGAAGTGAAGAAGGGTCCAGACCTGGTCACACAGCCGATGGAAATACCTGTAAATGCAAGCCACATCCACCAATCGAAAGAGAATGGCCTGTTGCAAGCTTCAGCATTAGGCCGTACGAATGGTGCATCTAAAACATACTGATATTGTTGGTTGTGAAATTTGGTGAGCAAAAAGACCGTCGTGAAAGTGAAGAACAGGAGCATGGAATCCAATAGAATGAACCGCGATATAGCCAACCAGGCGACATCTGCATCCAGAACATGAAGCACCAGCAGCGTTTATTGTTAAACCTGACACTCACCGCACAGAACCATAAGCGCAACCAGATGACAAGACCATGAGCTCATTCCCAACTCAATTGCAGTATACCACCCTAACGGAACCAAGGCCACACCGAATGTCGCCATCATGACCCGCATGGCCACGTACGGGACATTTTCGTCGTACACCACTCCGCTTTTAAATTCAAAGTGTCCATTGTAACCCGACAGTAAACCCGCAAGGCCAACGAGCATCTTCCCGAGCGGAGGGTGGACATCGAAGTAAAACTCGCGTTTGAGGTAATGCGACCCGAACTTGCCAAAGTGCGCTTCGTCCCAAACAACAAGGTTGGCGTGGCCTATTTTATGGAAGCGAGTCCAACACGAGAGCAGAGTGTAGATGACAGGTGGGAGGTGCTCTAGGTTCTGAGATATAAATTCACTCTGAACGAAAGCTCAAAGTCAGGATACGCAGCAAGCCTCAACAACGAGAGGTACGTACTATCGAAGTTGGAGGTGGTGGAGGAGGCCTGTGGGCACGCCCGCTACTGACACGGCTTTTGGCAGGACTTAGTTTTGAGTACACATCCTTTCCGTTGTCGTCGTAGTGCATTTCACTTTCATGCTCGTCACCGCTCATAAACCCGCCGCTGCTTCCGGGTCCTCTAGCCACCCTCCGCCTTGTCGATGTATCCTCGTTCATGTGGTGTAGTGGCAATGATTCCTCGTATTTGTAGCTCTGAGCGGTTTTAGAGTAAGATGGGTGCGTGACAGGGTATGGAATTTCTTCAAATTCAGAAGACGTGCGTGGAGGCGTTCCGGGCGGTGTACCAAAGTCTATTTGGACTTGAGGGGGTCTCATCTGCCCTCTTCTGCGTTATTTTTTTTTCGACCGAACAAGCCCTGCGGAGCCTTCGGGAAGTTGATGTCTTGCGGAAGTGATGAGCTCAGCGGCAACCTTACAATGATACCGTATTGGATGGAAGCACTGCCTATTGATGTGACACGCCGCGGACTCAGATTCACAACAGAGTGCTCATAAATCGTTCAAATACACAGATAAGTTTCCAAAAATTAAATAAAAGCACAAATTCGTGTCGATGATATGAGCACAAATACTTTTTTATGACAAACAATGATACCAGCTAACAAGATGATTCAAAGCAGGCAGCAAGTGAATGCACATTTTATCCGTGTCGTTGGTATTGAGCTATATGATCAATCAATGTCAGGCACAGATAGCAGCCCAAAAGACGCAGCAACTACTAACCAGCAACCATAGCGTGGTCACGCTCGTACGGCTCGAGAGTAATTTGTTCAATGGGCTTCAACTTGTTTTCTCGTAGTTTTTGTACTTCTTGCACAAAAACGGCGGAGGGTGCTGCTGTTGAATCTATACAGCTAGCTTTGATAGATATGACGACATGGCCACCATCTTTGAGGAAGAACTGCGCATTGTGGATAACAATACGTGCTTGATCGGGCTGTGCAACGTCTGCGAATATAACGTCTACAGTTGACACCAGCATGCGGTACCTGTTAGGAAGGCGGGCGTCCTCCACAATCGCTATAGAAAACGTTAATCTCCCCAACTGCAACGTGCGGTTTGGAAGTACTTACGAATGACGTTTGTGCGCTTTTTGGCCATGTTAATCAGATCACGCCCTGATCGCGGTGAAAATTCAACAGCATAGACAACACCTTCCTATAACCATGTTTAATACCAGCATGCTTAGAAGATGAGGAGCGCGACTCACAGGACCAACAATATCTGCTACGTGACTGACACTCGTACCGCTGGCAGCACCGAGGTATAGAACCTTCTTTCCAGGTTCGATGAAAATCTTATCCATACCGCCCAATACACCTGCTGCCAACTTACTCCGGAAAGGATTCCATACGCGATACTCGACTTTTGTGTCGTCAACACCACCTTCAATGGATATCCGCTTTTCACCATAAACACTTTCTCCTGGGACAAGGTTCTTCGTGACAAGTAGATGGTCTTTCCCCTTGGCGATGAAGACACCTGGATGTCTATGGGGCTCGAGGATGACCTTCGCACCGCCCCTGGCTCCACCACCGGGGCCTCCACGACCACGGCCACCACCCCGACCACCACCCCGACCACCACCCCGACCGCCGCGATCTCCACCTCGCCCACCACGACTACCACCTAAATATTGGATAAAAAAGGCGTAATATAACGTTGCAATAGTATACGCACCGCGACCGCCTCCTCTACCAAATCCACGTCCTCCTCCTCCTCCTCCTCCTCCTCCTCCTCCCCCGCGTCCTCCCCCTCCTCTACTAAATCCACCGCGATTGCCTGATGTTCCTGTGGGTCATAAAATACACAATCAGTCAATAAAGGGGTTTTCTAGATAAAATAAATTAGCATACCAAATGCCATTGTTGTGCAAGTGATCCTGCAGTTGCTTCGTAGTGGTGTTCAAAATTTTCAAACCTTGCATGCTGTGACGTTTTGTCACGCCCACGTCACACTCGGGCAAGGCTCGACGCTTAGTACAACGTCGGGACCGTGACAATCAATGTCAATGAACATGACTTGATCACGTGAGAATAAAACGTTTCGTGGAGCAAGTCAGTTCCTAAGCGCAACCCTCGCATCCTTCTCATACAATCATGTCTGCAGCAACTGCTACCCAATCTCAGACCCAGATCCAGACTTCTCCGTCAGCCAGGCGCGGCAAACGAGGCGGACAGAGAGGCCAAGGCGGTCGTCGCGGAAGCGGTGGTAAATCCCGAGGCCGCAAAGATTCAAATTCAGCTGCACCAGCCGACCCCGTTCCTACTCAGCCAACTCAGAGCGAAGTCGTGCCTGCTCCAGAAAGCACAGAAGACGCAGTGGTATGCTGGATCTGTGCAGAGCCTGTCAAATACTACTCAGTGTCAGCGTGTAACCACCGGACGTGTCATGTCTGTGCCCTACGCTTAAGAGCGCTTTATAAGAAGCTAGATTGTACATTTTGCAAGGGGCGTATATCTTTTCTTAGTTCCACCTATGAATTTTGACGCTAGGCCGTCTACTAGGAACCTCAAACGACAGTGATATTCACAACTTCCCCCGATGCGCTTTTTTCTTCCTACACCCCCGACATGATCCCGCATAAAGACCCCAAGTTATTAATCTACTTCGAGTCCACCGACATGATGGAAGAGACCCTTATTCTTCTACGCTTTAATTGTCCTGATTCGCAGTGCGATTATACCGCGACTGGATGGGGCGATCTTAAATTGCACATCCGGGGTACGCACGGGAAGATGATGTGGTACGTACATCAGATATTCAAGCTTGTGCACTGAGCACGGACCTCTCACGTCCTTGAAAGTGACCTATGTATCCGATTCAAAAAGGTTTTCAGTCACGAGCACGCTTTGTACTTGCCCAACATCCTACCTTTACACTTGCCGTCTATGCTACATCGATCTCATAAACAAGCGACGAAAGAGCCGATTGAAGGCGGTGTGCATCCATTATGCGGGTTCTGCAAAGAATGTTTTTTCAGTGATGATGAGTTGTATGTTCATATGCGCGAACGACACGAGGAGTGCTTCATTTGCAAACGGAATGAAGTACGAGATCAATAGTAAGTTTTTTTGAGTGGTTCGTACGTTGATGGTTTATGCTGATGCGGCATCATTCGCTTGTTTAGCTTTCAGGATTATGAGGCCCTTGTAGGATCTTTTTGACTGCATTGACATTGACGCTCGTAGTAATTCGTGATTCGCTTGGCAGGAACAACATTTTAATCAAGGGCATTTTGCGTGTTCAAAACCTGCTTGTCAAGCTCAAAAATTTGTGGTGTTTGGATCTGCGATCGATCTCAAGGCGCACCAGGTCGAAGTGCATGGAGCAGAGATGACTTCAAGGGATAAGAAGAATACTCAGCGGGTTGAGGCGGAATTCGAATTTGGGGATGCTGGTGGTGGGCGTAGGGGGAGACGGGACCGAGATCGAGATCGAGAACATGAGCCACCGCCTGTTGCGCAGCCTAGGGCAGTCACAAGGCGCAGGGAAGCATTTGGTGGCCATCTGACTACCAATTCTCCTGCGCCTAATGGAGCACAAACACCGCAGTCATCTGGACCTAGTCCACGAGCATCGCCGTCACCACAGCGAGGCGGGGAAGATGTCGACCCTGTCGTTGCTCAGTAAGAATATTGTCAGGATCTCCAAAGTTTATTCTCACTCCGTTATAGGCGGCATGCAGCGTTCATTTCAAGGTTGCAATCTGTTGCGCCGAACCCTAGCACTGCAGTTCTCGCTGCTAAAGCTGCTGTCCGAGGATTCCGACAGAACGAATCGACCGCCCGTGATCTCATCTCGACAATATGGAATGTTCTTGACAGAAATTTAGATGACACTGCGGGTATTGTCAATGCTATCGTTGACTTATTTGACGAAGAAGAGAAGAAGTCCAATCTACTTTCCTCTTGGAATGGATTCAAAATTGAGGTATTTTACTCACCCCTATATTTGTACTGCAGTAGATCTGACGACGAGACCCCAGCAACGTCAGCAGTTTCCTGATCTCATACCTCAGGAAGTGGGGTCAGGCTATGCCGGTATCGCATCCGGTCGCGTCTTGAACGTAAAGCATGCTACTGCCACGCGATCTTCGTCACAATCTTCGAGACAGGTGTGGGATCGCGTTGCGCAGGCGGCTGGATCTTCTTCATCCCGCATTGGTTCCGCTCCTACTCCAACATCACAACCGCCGGATAGTTTCCCGGTTCTGGCAGGTCCTTCCCAGCTGCAGCCTGCTTTCCGCCAACAACAGCGGAACACCCCGTGGGCTTCTGGATCTGGATCTTCTAGCACAGGTTCACGACCACCGACATCAGTACCGACCCCTGCAATACAGCAACGCGCTGTTGCGAAGAAAGGTCCGCCGCCGCCGTCGCTTACATCTGCTGCTTTTCCAGTGTTGCCTTCTTCTGGTAACTCTCGTATGAAACCACTGGTTAGCGGGAATCAGTCTCTACGAAACATTCTTGGTGAGACCACTCCGCCCGTTGCTGCTTGGAAAAACAATGGCACGGCAAGCGGGGGCACTACTCCGATACCAGAGGAACAGAACACTGTTGAAGAGACTGCTAGTGGCAAAGGGAAGAAGGGAAAAGGGAAGCAGAAGCAGACCTTGTTTACTCTGGGTTCTTTCCCAGCATAAGCAGAGGTGTTGTCGTACCTACCTATTGCATTCTTTCTTTCTGAAGAACTGGGATGGATGTAGAGATATATCTGCGGTATGCCAATATTGAAATTTTGGTTGCAAACTCTCCACTCTTGTGAGCAATAAACCTACACTAGCATCCTCCCACAAGAAATTTGTGTTTCACGCGATATTATGCTGACTGCAATTCCCCAAAGGAATGAGACAAAGTGACTTCAAGTCGGGCCATAACAACCTCAAAGACTCCGTGTTACTCTTACTCATGATTGTTCTAGCGAATGAAGCAACCATCAAATGCATCAACGTTTGCAGAGAACTCGTCACTAGCTATTGCAAAAAGGCGTACCGGCGGGTTTCGGCTAAAGGCGAGACAACGATGACCAAAGTTAAAGGCAAGGTAAAGAAGATAGTCATGGCAGTGTAACACAGTAACTGACCCGTTGTTGAGCTGTCGACCACTGTCATATATATTGATTCGAGCTTTCCGCGATAGCGGTGGAACGTAACGAAACGTATTTCTTCTGGTTCCTTGCGATTTGAATTGCCAGATGTCATGCCAACTAAAGCCATACGTTTTAGAGTGCATTAGGGACTGATCCATATTATGATAATGTGCGGGTGGATCTAAGGTTAATTGTCTCCTTGGGTTGACCTAATCCAAATGAATCGTATCAGATCAAACTTCTGATATTTGGGAAGCCATTGATTCATCTACGATATTACGCGTCTCGGAGCCGAGTGTTGTTCCTTTCACCGAATGGATAATTCAACACTTGCCCCATAGGCGCCTGAGATGAAGACATCGTGTCACAAGTAGCAGTCCGGCAGAACACATAATGATGCCACCTAGAAAAGATTAGTGTTCACCCAAAGACCGCGCATTTCATAAACGTGCCTGCATAGAGACCCGCGTCAACGAACCCTCCTGATGCGGTGCTGATAGCCCCCGATATCGGAGGACCTGCAATGGCTCCAAAAGCAGCGAGGGACATGAACATCCCCACTCTGCGCCCTGCGTCCTCCATATTTCCCATTGCTACGGCAGCTACGGCGAAGAGAGTTACGAATCCTCCCGAGGAGAATCTAGATTGGGTGAGTTGGCAGCTAGTAACGAACAAGGATCACACATACCCGTAAATAATGGCTATTGCAATAATCTGTGATTCATCTGTAGCAAACGGCCAGGCAAATGTCGTAATGCCTGCCATCGCGGTAAAAGCTACCATGGTATTGAGTGCGCCTTTTAAGGATTAAATGATACCACCATAGCCCACCGCCATCAGGACTTACCGATTTTATCTGCTATTAGTCCAGATGACAGACGTCCAAATGCAGATGCTCCATTGGCGATCGCAATTATATAGAAGGCAAAGTTTTTGGAGATGCCAATTGCTATGGCACTCACAGAGATGTATGTTAACTCTGGTGAATCAATTCAGATCATTAGGAAGCCACGGTAGTAACTGGCACGATAATACCTGTGTAGAGTCCTAAAAATCCCAGTATTCCTGCAATGCAATAAATGGTATATGCTCTGCTGCGGAATACTTTAAGATTAAAGAGTCCCCCACGAACATTGACAGGTGGAAGACGTCGTTTCAGTAACTTTGGGACATATCTTCAGACAGGAATCCATAGGTGGTGATGACATACTATATTCGCCATCCCCAGTGTGGCAAGCAGAATGAACCCAAATACACGCATTGTAAATTTAAATCTAAAATTTCATGAGCAAGCATGGGTTGTTGATAATCAATTGAACAGACCCGATTAACGGTATCAGTTTCTGTGCTGCTGCAGGAAACACCGTACTGCCAGCCGAAGCACCAATGGCGGCGAATGACATAGCAAGGCCACGTTTCCTGTCGAACCAATGCGAGATGACAACAAGTGCCGGACCAACTATGATACCGCAGCAGGCTCCCAGACTAAATCCTTGCACAAGAAAGAACTGCCAGAATTGAGTGCATTCCGCAGTTAGGAAGACGGACGCAACGATAACACAGCTAGCGGCCAAAAACGGTATTTTGAAGTATCCTAGGTCAAACATTCGTCCTGTCGCAAGTGCTGGAAAATATACGAGCGCGTACTAGAAGTACACATGAGCTACGCATGAGTGTATTGGACTTGGAAAGATATTTACTTGCGCAGAACCGATCCATGCTCTGGAGAATAAAAATTCAGTTATAAGGCCAAGTCAAACGGACATAGCGCCGTACATATTTGAAGGAGAAGTGTGACGCAGTAGATTCTCCTGGTAATACGCTTGAAAGACCTAGAACGGGGGATATTGCAGGAATTGCAAGTATATAGTGACAAACTTTACTCGCCCCCCATGCATTAGCTATACCGAACCTAGTGATCACTTGAGTTAAGCTTTAAGCGAGTAAATTGAGGCAGCTCACGTAGAAAATAACGCCAAGTTGACGCTGTAATTTGAGGATGTCAGTAACTATTTCAAGGAATTAATCGTATAGTAGCCTAATACTAACGCAACAACGACTAGCCACGCGGTCAATCCTCCATCTGGTGCACCAGCGAGGTGTGTTGCAGGTTTCTCAGGCACTTTTTCATGTAGTGTTTTCTGGTCAACTGGAACAACTTCTCTCGATTTCCAAGGGAAGGCTTCGGACACAAACTCCGAGTCAGTGGACGGAAAAACCTTTAATTTCCTTGGGGACTCCTGAGCCATAATAGCTTTCAAAGAAAGATCAAGATCACAATAAGAGTTAGGTGGGAAGGGCAACTGTACTGATACATTATTCTGCCGACGTTATGTAGCAAGAGTAATTTGCAAAACTGTGCGCCGTTGGCATCCATTTGACCACCGACCAAGTTATAGAAAACACCAAAAATAGTAATCGGACTTGCACTCACATGACGTCAGCGAGCTCTCACTCAAGTCGCACCGTCATCAGCATTAATGCGGAGACCTACGGAGACGCCAACAACTGACGCTAATAAGCGCACACTTCAAGCTGGTCTTGTTTCTCGATGATGATGGCACTACTGGAGTGGGCTCTGCTATGCGCTGGACTCAACGTACAACCCGGAGGCTCTAGCAGCCACTGCTCCCCGAGACTCTTAACTCTAACTCTGCCAACTCCGCTCCAAACGCTGCCGAACCCTTCTGCCACCTGACCTCATCCATAGCGGTCCCCCACTCCACTATCAATACGATTTTTTCACTAAAAGGTTTCACCTTCAAATTGGTAGTTTCATTCGGAAAGCGAGTTTGCTTGTGGTCCGGCTTGCTTCCTCACCCCAGAAGACCAGCTAAGGCTAGCAAGTCCAATTGAATGTTTGTTGGTCCTTGTAATCGTGGCATCATCGGATGATGCTCCACAACCGGGGAAAGGGACTTTGCGCGACTCAAGGTTTTGCAAATGGCTATGGGAAGGAATTATGCGTCACGCGTTGCGGAGAATACTATATTTACATAACATTGGCAGCATGATTTACACTCGCCAGCACGGTTTCTCTTTCCCCCAAGCTGTCTGTTGATTCTGATCACCTCTCTCCATATTGACAAAACAACGGCGCTATGTCCAACTCACCAACTATAGAGTCCTCGCAGGACATTGACTCTGCGTCTGAAAGCAAACATAGATTGTCTTACGTCGACCAGGATATATCTAATGAACAAGCCTTTCATCAAACGCATCGTAGTGAAGCACCAGATGGAGGAATCAGGGCATGGCTTGCAGTTTTTGCGCAAGTACATGTTTATTTGATGGAAATAGTCACTGACGTCTTGGATTACAGCACCGCATTGATTTCATTCTCTACGTAAGCTATCTTGAATTTATTACCCTACTAGTTTGACTCAAGAAGTTGTACCAGGTTCGGTTTTTTAAATTCATGGGGTGTACGTCAGGTTTGTCACGACACATTTGCAGTTCCTACAAATTTCTGCCTTTCAGATCTTCCAAGCATACTATGAGGAAAATCTACTGGTTCACACTCCACCTTCAACTATGTAAGGTGCTAAGTCTCTTTGGTGCAATGTTAGATAACCGACCTCTTGCACTCTCCAGAGCATGGATCGGTTCTACGCAGGCATGTCTAATTCTGGTTCTAGCAAGCCTACTAAGCTCATTTGTGCTGCCAGTATGCACTCGTGTACCTTCCGTCTTTTGCAACGGGGAGACTGTTCGACTTGGGATACTTCAAAATACCGTTTTTCGCCGCTAGCTGCGTCCTCGTCGCGTGCACGTTCCTAATTGCGGAATGCACTCAATTCTGGCAGCTCTTCTTGACACAGGGCGTCGGCCTGGGAGTGGGCTGCGGTTTCCTATTTAGTCCTGCAATCGTCATTGTGTCACAATGGTTCTCTAAGAAACGTGGATTGGCTTTGTCACTCACTACCGTTGGGGCTGCGCTCGGCAGCATCTTATTTCCTGTAGCGGCACAAAATTTGATTCTGTCAATTGGGTGAGTTCGTTCAATCGTTTGTGAAGCAATCCATATACGCTTATACACTTTCAGATTTAGATGGACAGTTCGTGTATTTGGATTCATTCTGACGGTTACAATGGGGACAGCCAACATAGTATGTCGTCAGCACTGAGGACATCTTCGCGACTGACGCATCTTCCCCAGTTTCTCAAACGGAGACTTCCGCCCATCAACGTTAGCGGGGGACTCTTCAATCTTAAAGCATTCCGCAACAGAGCATATTTCACCTATTGCGTTTCAGGAATTGTGATACTTTTAGGTCTTTATACAGGTACGACCAATGTGCTTATTATTGTGGTTCCTGATATCTTGGTTCATCAGAGTTAACATATATCTCTGTGAGCGCTGTAACAATCGGCATCTCCAAAGATTTCTCGTTCTATATAATTGCGATTGCTAATGCAGCATCTGCATTTGGACGCGTGTCATCTGGACTGTTGGCAGATAGAATTGGTAGGTCTCGACAACTGTGGACTATGCGAACATCAGTTGATATTTGGCAGGCGCACTCAATACCATGGCAATTTACACAGCTATTACGGGAATCACGACAATCGCTTGGCCATTTGCTAAAGACGAATCGCAGCTCATTGCAATAGCCATCATTCACGGGTATGCATTGCATTTTTTTCATTGCTAGCTGCGGCCAACTGACTCATCCAGGTTCTCCATCGGAGCATATATATGTCTGTACTCTGTACCTGTTGTGGCAATGGGGAAAATGGAAGACGCGGGTCGTCGAGTGGGGATGTTCATGTCTCTCATTGGTTTCGGAGGCATTGCAGGTCCTCCAATATCGGGTGCAATTTCTACCGCGACAGGAGGCTTCGCTGGTGCGGGTTATTATGCAGGCAGGTTTACGACATAGACAATCTTTGAGTAAACACTGACATTTTCCAGGTGGCTGCATTATATTTGGTGTCGCATTGCTACTTGTGGCGCAGTACCTTCACCTCCGACGGCTATGGGGCAAGTTTTGAATGATTGTTTCGTGAGGCGAATCTGAACGTGCTCTTGAATGGCACAGAAGGAGTGGATGTGATATGATTCAAGCGTGGCATCAGTCACTTTCGTTATGGACTAGTGTAGCAATTTAGTGAGTTTCAACATTAGTTCTGTATTCCCTACGTCCATATCAGCTTTGAGTGCTCTTGAAAACCTTCCAACGGACTTGACAAACACACTTTCAACGATACAGATCTAGTAAGTACTCGAAGCTTTCGCGCACCTTGATTTTGTCTCGGAAGACACCAAAATTCCGAAGTTATTTCAACCCAAGGCTCTCGTATCTTTTCTTGCAAGAAGACATGTGGTCCTTCGAGCTGCAATGGGCTCCGGAAAGACTCTCTATATGGTTTTACCATTATTTCTCTCCCCAGACAAGATGGCTATCACAGTTACACCTTTAAAATTGCTTCAAAAAGATCATGTATGCTGAATGCAGTGCGCGAACGAAAGTTTCTGAGTGATTGATAGTCGACAGTAACTGTGTAGCACTACTTCGACCGGCACGACCGGCACCTGCTAAATTGAAACTCCATGCTTCGCCTGCCAAATTTCTCCGAGATCGACCGGTCTGACTAGACAGAGCCGAACGTTGCCGCGACGGAGTTCTAAAATATCGACTTGTTAGCTACACCGACATCAATTTGGAAATAACTACTATATTCCACACCATACCAGCTAATCACAATTATAATTTTCCTCTTCAACTTAATTGCTGACGTCTTAGGCAGCCTGACTCGAGGCTGTAATACCCAGGATGGTAAATTGCAAATACAAGCAGCATCACAAATTGTAATTGGATTCAAGTTTGCTGGCCTTCCCGGCATGTGTCGTGCCAAGGGGTCCAATGCCTCACCCTTGTAACTTGAATGCACGACGTGGTGATTCAGCGCGCCCTTGAAGCTTGAAGTCCTGCAGGTATTCATATTAAGTTTCTGAGAAGGTGAAACTGCCAATGTGATTTTTCACTACGAGACTAATCAGTCGAGGCTATCATATTATCAGGTTTTTCAGCTTTCAAAATTGTCACCAAGGCTAGTGGCAGTTTCATTTGAAAAGCACAGGTTGGCCTGCCTGCCAATCGGCTCGATTCCTCACCTTGACCAGCCAAGGCCAGCACGTGCAATGTCATATTGTGTGCGTGGCTTCGTCAAATTAGAATGAAATACAATATCAGTCCTGATGCGGGAAGGTTTTACACTTAGCATCCAGGCCCGGGTGTCCGACAGTACCGTATGCAAATAATGTTGGTAGCATGATTTTTACATATCAGTCCAATTGCTCCTTCCCTCTCTGCTTTCTGTTGGTCTGACCTCTTCTCTTCGTAAAGTTGGCAGGAGATTCTAGCCATGTCCGAGAAGTCACTGAGTATAGAGCCTCTGCAGGTCATTGACTGCGCGTCAGAAATTAGCCATGTCCTGTCTTACGATAGGCAGAAGACAGAAGAAGAAGAAGAAGTTGTTGTTGAGCCAGAAATCCTGTATGAAGAAGTATCTCAGAAGCACGTAACACATCTTGGTGAAGCACCAGATGGGGGATTAAGAGCATGGCTTGTAGTTTTTGCGCGAGTACTTTTCAATCCATTGAACAGTCACTGACATTCGCATTGCAGCGCCTCATTGATTATGTTCTCTACGTAGGTTGTTCCTAATTCTTCCATCGTTTGGCTCAAGAAGGGTCCAATAGGCTTGGTTTTGTACTTTCATGGGGTGTGAGCAAGGTTTATCATTGCACACTTACCACATCTACATTTTTTCTACCTTCAGATCTTCCAAGCCTATTACGAGGAAAATCTACTAGTCGACACTTCTCCTTCCACTATGTGAGGCGCCAGGTTTGTTTGATTGCAACCTTGCATGGCTGATTTCTTGTATGATCCAGAGCTTGGATTGGTTCTACCCAGGCGTGTTTACCTCTCGGTCTAGCAAACCTGCATAGCTCACTTGTCTTGCTAGTATGCGCTTCTGTGCTTTCCCTCGCTTGCGACGGGGCGAATGTTTGACCTGGGATATTTCAAAATACCGTTCTTCGCTGCTAGCTGCGTCATCGTCGCGTGCACTTTTCTAACCGCGGAATGCACTCAATTCTGGCAGCTCTTCTTGACACAGGGTGTCGGCTTGGGAGCGAGCTATGGTTTCCTATATGTTCCCACAGTCGTCATCGTCTCACAATGGTTCTCCAAGAGACGTGGCTTAGCTTTGTCACTCACTACCGTTGGAACTGCACTTGGCAGCATCTTGTTTCCTGTAGTGGCACAAAATTTGATTCCATTAATTGGGTGAGTTTGTTCAATTAATCGAAGAACAATTCATATTCGCTCATACAATTACAGGTTTAAATGGACAGTCCGCGTGTTTGGATTCATTTTGATGGCTACCCTGGGGACAGCCAACGTAGTATGTCATCAGTACCTTTAGATTCTATCTCTTTGACGCATTTCTTTCAAGTTACTAAAACGACGGCTCCCGCCCGTCAATGTTCGTGGGGGACTTTTCAATCTCAAAGCATTCCGCAACAAAGCATTTACCATCTATTGCATCTCAGGAATTGTGATACTTTTAGGTCTTTATACAGGTACAACAACTGTGCTTATCATATTTGCTCCTGATGTCTTGGCTTCGTCAGAGTTAACATATCTCTCTGTGAGCGCCGTAGCAATTGGCATTTCAAGAGATTTTTCATTTTATATACTCGCGATCGCCAATGCGGCATCTGCATTACGCGTATCATTTGGACTGATGTCAGATAGAGTCGGTGGGTTTCCGTAGCTTCGGGTTGTAGCAACATCAATTGATAATCTGACAGGAGCTATCAACACCATGGCAGTTTTGACTGCTATAACGGGAATTGCGACAATCGCTTGGCCATTCGCTGAAAATGAAGTCCAGTTTATTTCGATTGCCATCATTTACGGGTGCGCGCTGCATTAATTTAGTTAGCTACTTGACTCATTCATTCAGATCTTCCCTCGGAGCATACGTATGTCTGTACTCTGCACCTCTTGTAGCAATGGGACAAATAGAAGACGCGGGACGTCGAGTGGGAATGTTCTTATCCCTTCTTGCTTTTGGAGGCGTTGCAGGTCCTCCAATATCAGGCGCCATCAGTACCACGACCGGAGGGTTCGCCGCTGCGGGTTATTATTCAGGTAATTTTATGACGCGCGATCCTTGAGTGACTGTTGACCTCGCTTTAGGTGGCATCGTTTTATTTGGTGTTGCAATACTACTTGTGGCACGGTATCTCCATCTCGGACGGCTATGGGGCAAGTTTTGAATGATCATTCAGTGAGGTGAATATAGCATTGTCAATATGACCTAGAATGGTATAAAAGAGAGAATGGTTTATGTGGTGCCGGACACTATCAACGTTCTGCGCCACATTGATAGCAAACTCGTGTAGTAATTTGTTGACTATGGAAGTCGGGTCACTATAGAGCTTTTTAGTTTTATTTCACCTTTTACCTATCTGATCAGTTGACGAAATGAAAACTAGAGATGTAGAACATTGACTAGCACTTCGCGTTTCTTTCGACATCGTTCTCAGTACTTGAAAGTGAGTCCTCCATTCCAAGCTATCATCTAAGTGACAAATGTAACCTTTAAATTGACGAGTCTTTTATTCCCAGATATTGATTGCTCGACTTGCAGTAAGATTCAAGCGATCCCATCGATCAACCGAGCAAAAAACCACTAGTACTAACTTGCGCGCGGTGCCCTCAACCATACTGCAACGATGTGAAAGTAGAATCACGACTCATTGCCGCACTAGACACATAGATAGATAACCTACCCCACTGGTTGAATACAGGATGCAAGCTACTCATACTCACGCAGATTCCACCTTTGCAGTGCTTGCAATTTGCACCATGCCAGCAAAACCAGGGGCATTTTTCAGCGTCAGCGTCATCGGGCCTGGCGGATATTGATGCTATCAAAGTAGCAACAACAGTGAGGGCAATTGGGAAACGCATTATTTGTAGGTTTGTGGTGTCTATGGGATAAAATAAATCTGAAGAGGATAGCGCGAGTCAGAGGCTTTGCTTTTATGTGCTAAAATTGTTCTTCATGGCGATTAGAGCCTGTGATTCAGAGGCGCTAGAATCCCCTTTAAACAGAATATTTCTGTGACGCCAGCACATTGCTACCTGGCTTATTCTGTGAGGGGCAATTCGGTGTGGGACGACTGTGACGTCCACTCCCACGTAAGAAAGTCGTTGAATGGTGAACGTCTGACTCTGGAATCAGTTACGAGTCGTATGACTGACAGAAACACAAACGATACTGAGTCTTCTTCGGAATATTAGGGATTTGGACAACTAAGACCAAACTCTGGACTGCCGTATTCCAGAATTCCGGTTCAAAAGTTCAGGAGTAATAAGGACGTCGTCGATTTAATTAAGAGATTCGATGCAGTGCCAGCTCATGATCCAAGAACCTTAGGTTTGAGCAAATTGGCGAACGCGTGAGCCAAATAGCTCAAACTAGTGCTTACTAATCGAGGAAGCGCGTCTATTAATGACGCATCGAATGCAAGTAACAAAGTTTTTTTTTCTTTTTTTTTGGGAATTATCATTATTTACGAAAATTGCTACAAATTGATGAGTCTTATCTCGACTGGCAGTAGGATTCAAGCGTTGATCGACCAAGCAAGAAACCACTTGTACTAACTTGCCATCAACCATACTGCAACAATGTGAAAGTAAAATCACGACTCACCGTCGCACTAGAAGCATATATAGACGATCTACCTCACTGGTCAGTTATGTGGTTGAATACAGGATGCAAACTAGTCATACGCAGTTTTTATCAGGGCAGTGCTTGCAATTTGACTGACGCACGCAAAACACAGGACATACTCCAACGTGGCCATCGGCGTCGGCATCGATGGGCTTGGCAGATATTAATGTTGTCAAAGTAGCAACAACAGCAAGGACAATTAGGAAATGCATTGTTTGACTTTGTGAGGATGGGATGAAATCAATCTGAAGAGAAAAGTGGAAATCGGATGCCTTGCTTTTATGTACTAAGATTGTTCTTCATGGCAACTAGAGCCTGTGATTCAGAGGCGCTAGAATTCCGTTTAAACAGAATATTTCTGTGACGCCAGCACATTGCCACCTAGCTTACTGTAGCAATCAATTCAATTCGATGGTCACACGTCACAGGTGGTGTCGGTGTCGAAATTAGGTAGTTGTCACACGTAACATCAGCGTGTGTCAAAACCATTTGACGTCACAACAAACATCGAATTTTGCTTCCGTGGCGACCCCAGATTTGCGCGTGGTACACGACTCCGGATTCGCGCTGTAAGTGTGCGACGCACAAAATGTTTTGGCTACTAATAAAATCTAGCTCTCGTCATCATGATGGCGCCAGAATGAGTGTGAGTACAAAGAATTCGCTTTTTTCTTCCTTCTCCCCCGCCCTAATTCCATTGCATCTTCCAGGTTCTCGCAATCATTACCCTCCCATCAGGAAAAAACAAATTTTGTGGTAGCCCTGGTGAGAGCTATGTAGCACTACATAGCTACCATAGTTCTATGTACCTGATGTAGCCGTGACTCAGACTATATAGATCTACAGCGGGCTACAGCAGACTACAGCAGGCTACAGCGGACACTTGGAGGCACAATAGTCAAATTAAAGTCTGTAGTCAATAGTAGCTGAGTAGCAACAAAACTAATCAATAGCAGACATGCAGAATGTATCAAGGTCAATAAAGGTATTTAAGTAAAAATCACTTGTGGACTCATAGACATTTGCGCTAGTCCATTTACGGTCAACAGCTTGTCCCATCTTTGGAATAAGATGGCAAGGACGAGTGATTTTGTCGACATGTATCACCGCTGCATTCCGGTGCAGCCGACAAGTCGAACATGACAATTGGTGCAGGCCAGATGAGCGGTCCGGCTCCCTGAGTGGTGTGAACCACTCAATGTAAGCCAAGGCTCACGAGTAGGTCCCAAATTGACGCGGCAGAGTGAAAATAATGTGAACCTGTCCCACTCACATACCTAGTAAGATATCAACATGAATTTTTTGACGGCTCAACTAATAGTTACTCACCTTCTAAAGTGCGTGGCTGAATGCCATTGCTTGTCAGGGCCATATCAAACTTAGTGGAAGATCCAGGCTTGCGTCCACATCCAGGAAGCACTTCAGGCGTGGCTCTAACACGCCACTGCCTCGGTGACTCACTGATGAGTGGATTAGGTGGAGCAGTGATTACTACCTGTCGAAAAATGTCAAAATGGTCTTGCAGACCAGGGGTAATGATAGTGTGTGGCATGTGGTTGTGCAGAAACAACTTAAGGGCTGGGAGGAACATGGATGCACCATGTGCAGTGATGAGGTGCTGAACCAAACACTGAGGGTATGCAGGTGTCTTAGCGAGAAAGTGGACCGTTCGTTGCTCAGGGAGGATGGGAAGTGTATTGACAGGGACAGCGTCTGGCCCTTCCATCTCTGAGTCCGAGTCCGAGTCATATCCGTGGTCACAAGTGAAATTGGTTGGTGCTGACTGAGACTGTTCCAACAGCCAGTTGAGGTAGGAACCACACAGGAAGACTGCCTCCTGGCACTGGAGCCATAAGGCCATTTGTTCTTCATAGTCACGCTTGTTACTGGCGTGATACGCTTCTTTGGCAAAGTCGATGTGCAATCGTTCAGGAAGTTCGCTGTTAAAGCCGTCTGTAGCGCCAAACAATAGGATAGACTGAACATAGTGAGAGAGCTGATGTAATTTGGGAATATTAAAATGCTTGCGAATATCGAGTTGCTGCAGGACGTCCTTGTTGGCGTGAAATATCGCCAGAGCGCTTTCCAGGCCATTGAGGGATTCAGTTGAGTGAACTCGAAGCTGAGCATAGTACAAAAAATCTAGAATTGCTCGCGCAACTACTAACACTTGGCTGGTAAGCAAACCAAAACAATCACGTCAGCACCAACCTCGTGCTTAGCAACAATTGAAGCTTACCTAGGGACAGCGCCAGCAAGTAGCCCAACAAATACACGCTGCATCTCTTTGTGTTCTGTCCCCATCCACTGCTTTACTGTAGATATTCCCTTCTTGAAATGCCGAAGACTGGGATAATCAGGCATCGCTTTGAACCATGCGTCCATTTCTTCTTTGCCAACAATATCAAGGCACCACTTAACTAAATGGTCCTTGAAGATGCCTTTGTGGAGTTGGTGTAGGAGGTCGGGTGTAAAGGCCAGGAAGATGTTAGAGTGGGGGAGATTAGCCCAAAACAGAGCATAGACGGTGCGTAGTCCAAATTCCTCAAATTCAGCAGGATGGTGACCAGTCTTTTGCTTCTCTAATATCCCCTTTATCACTGCAGGATCCCGCATCGGCGAATCCAGTAGATCGCCTCTTTCATCCGCCACAACTACACATTTTGGACAGCAGTTTTCCTTGCAACATGCAACCAGACACTGCTCTGGAAAGTCTGCTACATACGTGGCAAGGATCGGATACACTGGACGGATCAACGAATCAGCGCACACCATTTCAACGCCGTCTTCACCTGCAGCAACAAGGGGTTGAAGGAGGAGGGACATGCAATGATGGAATAGTTGGTAGTTGGCAAGGGAGCGTTCATCAGGTGTAAAGCAGTCAAGCTTTCCTGAAGGTAGGTAACCAATCAGGACTGTCGCTCGTGCTGACGTTTGCCGCTGTTTTTCTTTAGCAATGTTTCCAATAGAGAGGTACACAGGATATGCCATTTTGTCATTTCGGAATTGCGACAGACTCGTTTTGTCTGTTGCAAGAATAATTGGCGCGATGGTTGCTCCTTCCGGCACCTTTTTCTGGACAACACAGGTCAGTGCTTGTCATTTTCGATGTTTTTTTGATATGGTGCTTACTTGCATGTCACACCACCAATCTGCAGTCCACATATCGTCTATCACTCGGTGGAGTCCTGCAGAGTCTGTGTATGTGCGAGCAGGTGTGTACACCATTTGATCCTTGAACAAAGGATTTCTGATCAAGTCTTTGATGCACTCTACGGGATTGCGCATCCACAGTTCAACATCTTCGTGCAACGGTTCACCTTTTTCGTCTGTTCTATTTCCCTGAACACTAATCTTCTTACAGCTCCAGGCGGCTCCATGTGGGAGTTCATCAACCTTCTTGAGGAATGATCGGTTGTTGTGGAATGAAGGTTGCATTCGGTTTCGTGTCTATCATGCTAGTCAGTATAATTTTTTTGGTGCTCAATGCCAAACTTACGATCGGTAACTTTAGAAATTCATTGGTTCGAGTCTGTCCAAGGCTTTTTACAAGCCACTCGGCGAGACCCCACTCTTCCCTGGCAGCTAAAGTCAGGCAGAGGCTATAAACACAATAGGGTATGTACTCGTCACAAAATGGAGCCCACTTGTCCTCACCCATGCCTTCCTTGTACTTCTGGTACCTTTCAAATTCAGTTTCCCCTTCCCGCAGTGCCCATCCACCATCAGAACATTGCTTGAAATAGTGCCCACCACCTTCCACTACCTCACCTTTGTCAGCAACATCCTCGACCGTCACATGCTGACTTTTTGGTGCCGGTGGATTATGTTCATCAGCCTTGAAAGAGTCGAAAGAGTTGGACTGTGAGCGGTGAAGTGGGGAAAATGAGTGGCCAGCATCGTGGTTCTCCATAGAAGGTGCATTGTCTTCCAAGTCTTTTTCTTCAATCGTTAACTCCCATGCCCTTCTGCATTTAGGCCGGTTAGCTATGTGTCTCTTGATGCCCCCCCTCGTAGGGAACTCCTTGCCACAAAATGCACAGCAGTGCGACATAGTAGGTGAGTATAAGTTTGCACTGGTCTTGTGTGACTTGTCTCATTGTATGCCCTTTTTTTTTCAATGGCCTGGTCTAGACTTAAACTGGGTGCAGTTACCGGGCGCCGCGCCACCACTTGATCCGAGCACCACACCACACAACCCTGATTTTGGAAAGTACGGCAAGTCTTGGCTAGTTTTGTTGATTGGGAGGACGATCCATGAGGTGCGCAGCTTGTTTTATTGATTGGGAGGGGTGTGCTTACCCTGATCTTGCAACCAGATGTGCCCTCACAAAGTGCAAGTCCCAGTCTTGCCACCAGACGCACCCTGACAAACCTATGGATTACGGCCTCGTTTAGACTCAATCCATGCGCCAAGTCGCAATCAGGTACAGTTTTTTTTTGAGGATGATCCATGAGGTGTGCTTACCCTGGCTACTTACCTGCCTGGTTCCCAACACAGTGTGTCCGAGAGAACAAGATCGAGAGAGCCAATGACCTCATGAGTCATGGCGCGTTGTTTGCAACCTCCATTATAATCTTCCTCATCTAGCGCCTGCCTGGTTCCCAACACAGTGTATCTTCCTCGTCTAGCGAGAGAACAAGGTCGGGGGAGCAAATGGCCAATTCTAGTATGTTAAATTCTTGTCTCTGATACTAGCTAATTTGATGTGTTACGTTAGTTTGGAAATACCATGGGCGGCCAGAAGTACCTCTAAAAGCTGTGCCCGTTTGGCTTCCTTGCACTGTTTCACCTCCGCATCCCAGCGCTCAACAATGAGCCTTTGTATGCTTGCTTGTAAGATACTAATAGCTGGGCCTGGTGCTACTTCTAACAGTTGCAGTTTTTTTGCTTGCTCGCAGGCCTTCACTTCTGCCTCCCAATGCTCCAGAATTAGGTTTCGTATGTAATTCTGGGAAGCTGTGATAGGGCCGGGTGTTTGACAAAACAGAGGGCGCAGGAACATGGGCTCTGCATCAGGCCTTTCGATGCTTGGGTCTGCAAGCCGGTGAGTATTTGAGTGTAACGTGGAATGGCAACTAACCTTTTGATGTCAATGTTTGTGTCTTCACAGCCAGCCTCTTTGCAACCAGCGATTTGTGACATCGGGCTGCAAGATTCGTCAGAGCGCAGTGAGTTTTGAAGCAAGCTCCATACCATTTTTTTGATGAGTCGGGGGTATTCATAACAGTGAAAATAGATTGTGATGGTATGATCATACCTTTTTATTGTCCCTCTCATTTGACACAGCTTTCAGCCCTTCATTCTACAAATCAACAATCAACGAACTATTAAGGTTCAATTGTGAGTTATTTGTATGTTTCGCAGTGGTATAAATTGTGCTGACCTGCTGTGTACTTTGACAAGACAACCATGGCACCTTGTAAGCCTACCTCCAAGCCAAAGTGCGCCCCCTCACCACCTGCCACAAAACAGCAGGTGCGCACTGCAAGTGGTCGAGAGTGGCAACCAACTGAAAAAGAGAACTACCGTCGTAAGTACCAGCATATTATGTTCTGCTCACTCACCATCTCGTTCTACAGTCAGCGAATCCCAACATGTTGTCCATCACCAAGAAATCAAGGAAACCCAGATGGCAAAACAGAAGAAGAAAACCTTAAAGGCTGCCTACCAAGGGCATCCTGACGTCTTCGAGAAAGAGCCGTCAGAGCTCCTTAGTGACATGGACAGGCAAGAAGACACAATGGTATGAGCTTTTTTTTCTTTCCTAATCTTAAATCAGCCACTGACAATTTTTTTTTCAGTTCTCTGATCACAGTGTCGATACAAGGTTGTCCAATACTAATAGCCTGACATTCAGTACAGGGAAAATCCCTCCGAGGTTGCGCAACCCATCCATACATAAAACTAAAGGACCAAAAGGTATGTTTCTACTTTATATAATTACACTACTAACCCTCCATCAAACAGCGCCGCATAATGTTGACGAGTCAACAGACAACAACGACAATGACAACGCTGCCGACAATGACGACAACGATCAGTTGCCTGCAGCTCGAGGGACCAAGTGATCATTCGATGACATGTCATATGAAGATACCATGGTGCCGAAGGTCAAGAACAATGCTGACAGTTCGCATCGACGCGTGAAAGCCAGCGACTTTGACGAAATCTCAAAAGAGATTCTCATAACTGCTTGCTCCATTTATCGGTGTCTCATCGTCACACAGGCACCTTTTCCGGATTCCATTGCAGCTGAGACAAAACTGGTGAAAGAGGCCTGGCGCGAGGCATGTCAACTCAAAGGTGTTGACGTCAAACTGACCCCTTTGGCGGTGAATATGGTGAGCACAGTATTTTTAGTGCATTCCTGGTCTTATTCATTCAAAGCTATTAAAATGTGCTTCACAAGTGCAAGGCGAACTCAAGATGAAGATGTGTCCACTCACGGCTTCATTTCACGGCTTCCGCTCAAGTAATTCTATGGAGGTGATAAGGTCAAACCGAGATCTTGTGGAGAGATTGAAAATTGGCTCAATCTTTGTTTTCAAGGTGAGTATTTGATGGTCTACATAACTTAGTGCTGACATTGAGCAATAGGACCCATCATCGAAGTCAGGCATCTACAAGACTGAGTTGCTTCAACAGGGTATCAACAGCATGTGGTTCTTGAACCGAAGTGACGAGGGTGTCGTCTACCACAAATACTTCAACCCCATCCCTATCAAAACTATTGTGCTCATGCTTACAGCTGTGAGCCGTTTTTCAAATTCTTACTTTCAACTTGATGACGCTGACAATAGTATCTTATAGATAGAATGTTGTGTCGATGAGTGGTCGCAAGGCATCAAAGAGGACATCAAGTTCACATCTGCTGGTTATGGGACCGTCTACAACCATCATTTCAGCTCACTGCAATGCTTTGATGAGCGCATGGCGGCTTACACACTCCTCTCGAAAATTTGTATCAATCTGCATGATACAGTGCGGTATGTTGGACTCTTATCTCACTGACTTTTCTAATGCTCACACTTCTCAGCTTCCACGCAGGTGTTGCATCACTCATTCCATTGTCAGCTACATCCCAGGCCCACATTGATGACGCGGCATTTGAAGACGCTATTTGAGAGTACCAGTGTGAGGGGAAGGATGTGGCAGTCGAGGATGAGGTCAAGGAGTATGAGTATCCTAGTAGTGAGGGTGGGGATGATGAATAGGGACGCAGTGAGTAAGACATTCGTATTATGCTAGTTTGTGTTTCAGGTGCTTGAATTTAATTGTTACTACGAGGTTCTTTGGTGTGCTATATAGCTGCTGGTAGTAATTTATAGCTGCGTTTAGTAGCACTCCGACAAATTACAGTAGTACCTCGTAGCTACTAGTAGTTACTATGGGACCCTATGGTGACTACATAGAGGGCACTTGACAATGGGGCTACTTGTGCTACCCTGACTATATAGTGCTATGTAGTCACTTTGTTTTTTCCTGATGCCGCCTCAGGTACCACGTCCACTACAAAGTCCATGGTCTCGACTTCTCCTTTGGAGGTAAGCACTCCGACTGGTCTCTCGGATCCTGTATGAATGTTGCCACTCAACATGTCTGCAATAACAGATGAACATGGCACATCAGTATCATCACCCTCTGGGAGACCATCGAGCTCTGCCTCATCGCCGAGGACCTCTATGCCATCACTGTCTTTCATCTTCTATCCTGTTTGCCTGGTGAGTTCGTCCCAAAACTCTGGTTCATCATTTTTCAAATTCCTCAACTTCTCTCATGCAGTATAACTGGTGAGACTTTGGTACGAGAGGTTAAAGCCACGCACACGACACATCTTGAATGACTAAAACAAAATTTTAGTGCCTCGATGTAATGGTGAGTTTTTTTTACTTACCTTTTTCATGATGTCCGGTGTGTTTACAGTGTTGAATGCATTCCACAGCCATGTCATGCTGCAATCACGAAGAACTCCGATCTGCTTGTCAACAAAAAGGTGCGTCTCCTCATGCGCAAGCTGATTCGACATTTCCAAGACTACATCGCTATGATACGAGCACTTCAAGGAGTGTTTGAAGACTCGCTGGATCCCAATGTCACACGGCTGAAACAAGCCAGTGCAACCTCCAGGTACGTAGTGCAACCCAATAGTTGGGTAGTGTATCTTCATCCATGACCGAAACTCTTCTGACCTGTGCACAGACCAGACATCAATTTGCCAGATCGTCTTCTGCATCTGCGGTAGACCTAGCTCTTGCTTCTTCTGCTCAAAGTAAGGAGCAATGATGTTGTCAACGAGGGAGTGCATGGTCATGTGCGTGGACCAGTAAGCTTTCGTGTTTGAATGTTCGAATTTAAATCCAGCGCTGATACAGTTTTCATAGTTTGGTGCAGACTGGCTTGGGTGGGACCCTTTTGAGTAACCCTGATAGATGGCTTGCAGGGGCAGCATTGTGCCATCGTTCGAAATGGAAACCATGACGGTAAATGCTCGTTTCTCATCATTGCCAACAGTTGAAATTTGCTTTGCTCCAGTTTTCGCCCATGTGAGTTGGCAGCCCTGTGCATACACGACCTGGGTTTGGTTAGAATTAATGTAGAGTGTGGAGGGGATATCTTCCTCTTTGATGGTGTATGCTAATCGAAGGAACGAGTGCTCACATAGTTCCTCCCAATTTTCAGGTATCTTTTGCGCAGCTCGAGTTGCATGTCTCTCTGACCAATCCAAGGTATGATGTAGCCAGTGTCGAACAAATGTGTCGGAGCACTGAAATCAGGATTTGTCTTTAGCTTGCTGATGAAAGATCTGTGGTGCCAAATCCAAGATGATAGCAATCATGATTGCTTGAATTGTCACGAGGGTAAGGACTGCTCCGCCTTCTCGAAGTCCTTCTAGATGCTTGACAATGACTCGCTCAACAGCTGGGTAATTTATCTAAATCGCATTAGGGTGGGTCGATGATGAGATACTTAGTAAGTCAACATACCAAAATCCCCTTTGTACCTCCTTTTGAGTGGCCCTGATGATTACCTAGCTCCGCCATGTGGATCGCAGCATCTGTCCATCTTGGTTTTTCCACACAGTCAATCCAGCCCTCAACTGTTGATTGTGTGAGGCCTTTGAAAATTATGGGGTCTTTTTGCTGTAAGTATCAAACAAGATGTGATGAGCTCCACATAACTGATGGATGTTTAGCAGCATTGTCAATTTGAGCCCATGTCGATAGGCCATGCCAGTTATGGTAGACTGCATCCTGCTTTTCATGTACACGTATTCATCCAGGTTTATGCTTTGTGTTCCAATGCTGATGCTGATGTTCTCTTGTAGCTTTATTGGGTCTTGACAACTCTGCAATAGAGGTTCGTGCTCGCTTTGCTGTACCGTCTTTCATGGTGGTCATATCTAGTACACCGTCACTGATGTCTCATTAGTCAAATGCTCAAGTACCGAACCAGATAGCTGCACACCTTGAGATTCTGTTTGGTTCCTCCAGGACTCTGTTTGCCCCTTGCAATTTTATCATTGTGCTGTTGCTGGCGATGTTTCTGCTGCCTTTTCTTATTCTCCTCCCTAACCACTATTTTCTGCCTTTGGTCTGCTATCTCCTGGTATTCCTGAGCCTGTTGCCATCCCTCGTCCAGCTTGGCTTCAACCTTGGTGAGTTGAGCATGAAGTTCTTCATGTGTACAAGGCTTTAAGAACCTCATTAAGCCACGTGCATGTCCAGCCTTTTGGTCTTTGATAGCATCGTGAATTGCAGATTGGCACAATTCTTTGGTATGTGGTTTGTTGTCCAGAGTGATGGATGTTGTGCTCAGTTCCTCTGACTCCGAGTCAAACGAGTAGCCTAGGGATGTATCAGGGCCAGCATCAGGATGTGGTGAGTCACCCGCTGTTTGAATAGGTGACGAGTCAACTGTTGAGCATTTTTCACCAGTGAGTGCAGGCACAAAATTCTAAAAGAATGTAAGTGCTTGTAATATTGTTAAGCTAAGCTACGTGCCTGATCGAGGTGCCAGTCAATCACATCTAGCATGACTTTGAGCCTACCATTCCTAACTTGCGAAGCTGGGATCAAGGGGTATTCCGAGGGGAGAACATGATGTGTGAGTGCATTAAATGAGAGAAGCCTGCATGAGAAGCTATCCTGCTGGTGGGTGATGATAAGTGATTCCTCTTTGAAATGTTGACCAGTGTGATGGTGTGTCCACCAGTGTAGTGCTGTGAGGAACCCAGTTGGAGGCTTTTTATAGATGGAATCACCATAGAAGATCGTAGAGGATTCAAAGTTGATGACGACTGCAGCCCAGTGGTTGCTGTAGACGTTAACCAAGAATCCAATACAACTGCTGAGGCCTGAAGCCATTGCATCTCCTGTTTCACGTGCACATGCAAAATACCGGCCCTTGTATTCCCCCGAGCTGTATATTTCATATGCTTTTATCAAGAAGCCATAAAAGTAAATGTTCTCAATCTCAATCTTTTTCTGTTGTGGCTGATGCTGAAGTCTCCTCCGCAGTAGGTCGAGCATCTGATTTTCATGGACATCCGACAGCCACTCGTCAGTAGCATATGCTGTTAGCTCAACAACAGGCTCTGCAACAGCAAAACCACTGAGTTTCCCAGACCATGAAATGCAGGTAAGAGCATTATAAATCTTCGTAACCAATCTTCGAGCTTCTTCACCCTCCTCGTTTTTCCATAGCTGAGTCCTCCGTTCCATGTTTTGCTCAGCCCAGATCCACAGTTCAAGATGTTTGTGACGAAGCATTGCAACTTCACTCCAGTAGGTGAGAACCCAGAGTGGGAGTCATGTCTTGGTGGCATCACCTGTAAGATGTGCACACTCCAGCGACAATGCTCCATTCTCTACGGCCTCGGAACTTGATTCGGAAAGCATGTCAAGTGTTTGTGTTGAGGGGATAGGAAAGTCTTGTATGAGCTGGGCATCACAAAGGGATGGCTGATCTTTAGCGAAGAATGCTTCAACACTTGTGTGTTTTGTAGTGACCATGATGGCAGGAAATTTGAAGGATAAGAATTCGAGCACGGACAGGTTTCCTTGGGGGAGAATTTGAATGAGAGCATCCTTTGGTAGCTCAAGGAGGGGGTGCATTTGTTGAGGGGCTTTAACGGCATTCATTTCAATACAATGTTGTTGTCCTTAACCTCCGAAATGAAAACTTAACATTTCGTACTTATCATGCTACTGCCTAATTAGGAATATTTTAGGTGTAAGTACTTAGTCATCGCATTGGTGTTGACTTGTGGTGTCGAAAATTTTCGGCATGTCACACATCACAGGCCTAAGTGTCGGAATGTCGAATCGACCTGGCATGTCACGGTCACATGGGGGTGCCGAATTGAGTTGATTCCTACAGTATTCTGTGAGAGGCAATTCGATATGGGATGACTGTGATATCCACTCCCACATAACCAAGTCGGTGAATGGTTGACGTCTGACTCTGGAATTTGAGCCGAGTCTTATGACTGGCAGAATCGCAAACGATAGTCTTCTGTTGTTCATACAGCTATATTCAGAATGCCGTATTCCAGAATTCCAGTTCAAAAGTTCAGGAGTGATGAGGACGTCACAACTTGTTTTAACTGAGAGATTCAATGTAGTGCTAGCTCATGATTAAAGAGCACGAACCTTGCCCGAGCGCGACAAAGCACAATATGTACAATCAGGCCTCCCAGTGAAAATCGACAATTTAGAGGCAGATATACGTAGATACACATCGAAAAAATATCAGCCCTATGAAACGATCCCTTTCGCCAAAATGTGACATTTCAAACATCACCAAAAGTTGAAGTTGAAGTTATTTCCAGTTTAAATTTCAAATATTTTCTGACACAAAAACATCTCCTAAATATCGATGTAAGTTCATGTTGATCAACCGAGCAAAAAACCATTTGTACTAACTTGCGCGCGGTTCCATCAACCATATTGCAACGATGTGAAAGTAGAATCACAGCTCACTGGCGCTTTAGTAACATAAGAAGGCGATCTACCTCACTGGTGAGTTATGTGGTTGAATACAGGAAAACTAGTCATACGCATCGTTGAGCAAGGCAGTTCTCGCAAGTTGCACTACGCGCGCAATACATAGGACATACTCCAACGTGGGCGTCGGCATCAGAGTCGGCCTCGATGGGCTCGGCACATATTAATGCTGTCAAAGTAGCGACAACAGCGAGGACAACTGGGAAACGCATTGTTTGTGGGGATGTGGTGTCTATGGAATGAAATCAATCTAAAGAGAAAAACGGGAATCGGATGCCTTGCTTTTATGTGCTGCCAGTGAGATTACTTCGTGGCAATTAGGACCGCTGCGGAATCCTATTGAGCAGAGTATTCCTGTGACGCCAGCATGTTGCCACCTGTCTTATTCTGCATGAGGAGCAATTCGGTGTAGGACGAATGTGATATCCATTCCCACATCAGCAAGTTGGTGAATGCTTAACGTCGACGAATCGTCTTGTCAGGCCAATTCCATTCTTGCTGTTGATATACTCACAAGCGAGACGAGCCCATTCGAACAGGCCATCGGATTTCTCTGCAAGCGTCTTGAAGTGCGTATCGTTGAAAAAGTTGTACAGTCCCGCGAGCCTGGTAGAAATGTATAACTGGATGTCGTTGTATGTGGATGCGGGCGAGATATCATCCATGGAGACATGACGGACATGTGATGCATCCAGAGTATCTGGGAGTGGACGAGAAGTGAGGAGAATGCGGAAAGTTCGGCTACTTGTGAGGTAGAAGCGTTCCGCTTGCCAGTGAGCAGACGAAGAATCTGTTCTCGGGTATTCAGGTCACCGCTCTCGTCCAATGCATTGATGACTAGCAGGACAGGTGCAATAATGGCTTTCGAGGCCTCACCAATCGGTCCTATGACTAACTCCTGCCATAGTCTTGAGACGTCTACAGTGTGCTTAAGCTCGTTGTCATCATGAACCGCATGCGCCAATGCTGCCCGCATCGTAATTCGCAATCAGCCAAGTCGCGTGCGAAGTTGATCGTACCAATGTGGTGGACAGTTTCAATAGTGGTAAGAGTCATTTGATCTCGGAACTGTCGCATGAGGTTGTCGAGCTCGTTGTGACGTTGGATCGCAGCCTCTGTTTCATTGAGGATGTGCTTGCCAAGCCTTTTCCATGTACAAAGATGATTAGTCTTGAGCGACATCGTGGTGGAAAAGAAAAGACTCACAAAACTCTTCATATCTGAGTAATAGACGACAAAGTCGGCACACTCCAGCGTCTGTCGCGCAATCTTTCCATATAACTCTAGCATGGATGCAATCCTAGCCGCTCCTTCGTGGGCCGTTAATAAAGCATTAGACGTCCGATATCTTCAAGAGCAGACGGGACACGGCATCATCCCGGTTCGCCTGATCGATAATTATCTATCGCCCATACAATATTATTGACCGGGAAGTGTAAGAATATAAAATCGAGCATACCTTGGATGCGAAGGTGAAGATGCTCAACGCCACCTTCGCGTAGGGATGGACCTAAACATAAAGATCAGCCACATACAAAATCGAGATAGATGCTCGTACTTCTGCAAGCCCTGTAGCAATGGAGTTAAACTTTTTTAATGGTGCGAGCATTGGGGCGAATATGTCGATTGTATCAGAAACAGATTGTAGGTTGTCGGATGTTGAAGCAGCATTTTCTGCCATTCCTGAGACATGTCTGATTCCGTCAAGATCTGCTTTAGCGTTCGCGAGCTTTGCCTTGACAACCTTCGGGTCAGGTTGCTCGCACTGAGGATGGGACTCAGTACATGATCGAAAGAGGGATAAGAACACTACAAACTGTAATAGTCAAATTTATGTTCGCAACGCCCACATCGGAAGACTGGTCAGGATTTGGTTCGGGAGTGACGGTGGTGAGTGGTGGAAGATCCTGCGGCCATTATTGGTTAGATCACACACAGAATGTACCAAGGATTGCATATACCTGGTTTGTCTGAGTGTGTAGGAGATCTCGTGCGCTGGAACTTGCAGCCATGGATTCAGAGTTGGGAGGCTGTCGAGCGCTTCGAGCGAATTCGTCAAATGACTTGGGAAGAAACCTCCATAACACCTCGCGAGATCCATTCCTCGAAGGCGAAAGAGAGGATGGCTATAATCACGATTAGAAACAATGGTGTAGCTGTAATAGCGGAAGTCCATACATCATCGACTGCTCCGCGGCCTCTCTCCTCTGCCAAACGAGGGCTTGAACGACTTCACCTCAGCAATCCCAAACGCTTCTTCCGAGAAGGATTGTCTTCACTCATGGAGTAAATTAGAAGGACAGTCGAGCGTAAGTTCTGAGAAATTTCTTGGTAGCAAGGTGACGACTGATAACGCAGGGCGAACAGGCAGCTGCCGAACATGCGTTCTGAAGCGCCCATAATCGATTGGCTGGACTAGAATATCGATTTGACAATTGGAAAGCAATGAAATTAATGACCGACAACTATTCCCAATGGTACCACTACCACGTCGTGAAGAAACAAACTAGCGGTCACGTGAAGTCCGAAGACACAGACTTTCGACAATGACAATGACAACGACAACGACAACGAGTCCCTACCGACTTCAACACCTGCTGTTACCCCTCCTTCCTCATCTTCTTTGACTTCTCTGAAACGAGTTAATATTGATATTGACCCTGTCACAGAACCAGCGTTGAAAAGACAGCGAGTTTAAGTGGACTCGGAGGACCTCTCACCTTCACCTTTTTTCACTGGCTTCGATAATGATTTGTATATTCCACCGGTAAGTCAAAGTTTCCATCCTTTTTATTTATTAATCGTTGTAGATTACACGGCCTGCCTCACCCCGCACTGAGAACTTGGAAATCCTGCGACACCCTTCACTAGAACGTGAACCAACTCTATCACCCCGTACAGACAAAGGAAAAGAGAAGGAAGTGATTACTGTGGAGGTCAACAATCCTCTGTAAGTGATTGCTCTATTGTTTATTCTATACTACGAACGCTATTAATTTAGTTCTAATTTTGTCTTCAAACCTCGCCCCAACCCAATCCCAAAGAAAGTTACTGCCTCTATCAACTCCATCACTTCTGGAACCACTAGCGCTGAGCCGACTATCATCACGCCTCCATCCAATGACCCATCGGATACTTCCCTCGCTGTCAAAATGGAACTCCTGGTAGCAAAACCTCCGGACCCCATTCCTAGTACAATCAACTCGAAGGCCCAACCTGCCAAGAAGCGTCAGCCGAGTACGAAGCCCATGCGTGTGAGCTCGAAGATCACAGCACGGTGAGATTTATCTATTGCTGTCGAAGCAAGTAAGGCTAACACTATTATTATTCTAGGAATCTTTGCGCTTTCGAATGGCAATCGAATGGTCATTAAAAGGAACCTGCGAGCATCTTCGCAACCTACTGGAATGGTCTATCGAAGGCCGAAAAAGAGGTACGTCGTTTTTATATTGATGTCATTTATCTACTGATTAGTACTATTAAAGGTGTACAAGCACAAAGCGGCTCTACAGGTGCGTGGTATTCATGATAGCTGCGTGTATTTTCATACTAACAACGATTTGCTTTATAGCTCGGCTCGGCTGGACCCACCGAAAGGAACGGCGCTGGTGATGATACAGATGAAGAGTAGATGGATACGGGTCGAGATGGCGGGCGCAGCGATACCACGAGCACCTAACCATCACGATACCCATAGATACATCATTCAATGGCATTGGATACCTATTCATCCCACCTAAATGGAACATTTTCAGCGCATATATGCATCTAAAAGTGATCTAAAGCCAACGAAAATCGTATCGAAGCGTTAAAAGTTCGTTTCGGTCTCTATCGTTTTTCGTCTCGAAAAGTCCCACTTTTCTAAAGAGGTCGAAACATAGCGAAAATCATTCCCTTGTATTTTTTTCGATCTATATCTACGTTACCGTTACGAGGACGTCGGGCAGTAACACCGCTGTGTGGTGTGTCCTTGTAGAACATGTATGAGGGGAATTCAAACAAACAAGGGCGCATGCGGGACTGCACTTGCAGAGGGTCCGTTCCCAAGTGGAATCAGAGATTCGAAAAGCGATTGCGTCAGACCAGCGCGCGTTTTTATCTTGCTCATAATAACCAGACCAAACTGGTGATCGCTCACGATGACAACCTGTCACAGTTGAGCACCAGACGAACCATACAATTTGTTTCAGTACCGGCCGTGGGACGCTTCGTCAAGGGATGAGCGTACCTGGCTCAGCAGTTGGAGTACCTTCGATTAACACCGTCCTGAACTTGAGCTTATCAAGACGAGGATCAACACAGGTGCATCAAATAACATCGGCAACACCAAAAATCTCGATCTCGCAGCGTGCGGAGAACCTGGGGCACCAGATCATGTCCAAAAAGTGTGTGATGTGATTGGTGAGTTTGATGAGTTTAATCCGACATCGTGGAATGAACATACGATATAACAGTTAACGCTTGAGAAGCTTTATCAGAACATGCCGTTCTTGCTGCATGCACCTACACTTTGATTGTCCGAGAATTCTGTCTCAAAGATCATATGTCAGTTAGATTTACGTCCAGGTTCGTCCATGGTCTGAGGCCGTTCGAGGAATCAGTCGCGGACCTAAATGATATCTTCCTCGCAATCCGTGAGGTGTTCTTTACAAATTGCCCTTCCCAAGGCAAACGTCAGTGAGTTCGAACCTATACGGCTGGTTCGGGATGACTCTACTACGCGGGCCTCGTGGGGACGTTGAAAATGACTCCAGAGGTACGACCGCCCAACGCCCAACACGGACATATGTCAGATTTCACAAACGAAACAGACAGTCCCCGTTCCAGTGGTGTTTGCGCGCAGATCTACCGTAAAACCAAAAATTCGGCACCGACAAGCAAGCACCGCCAGGGTCCCCATGATCTGCGATAATATGAGCAGTTTTTGCGAGACATGGAAACAAATTTAATGACTCCTTTGATATGCGAGCCGGAGATCACTGTACCTCGGAAATATGTTCTTGTCGATTTTCACTGGGGGTGAATGTTAACGCTCGTAATCGGTGCAAGTATCAATGATCCTCTACGTAAGTAGGATCTATGCAAACAAAGTCCCAACCTAGCAATGAATCATACAGAGCAATAAACCAACCAAGCATAACATTAGATCGCGCACAGAAGTGATGAAACACATCACTCGACATCGCTTTCATCGCGATCACGATGGGTCTCACCAGCGAGCGGGGTCGTAACAAACCTACTCTTGCCTCCCCCACTTTTCACAGGCGACATCCCGGGTATCCCCAACGACGACATCGACCCCAACGCTGAAGTTGAAACTGAAGCCCTAGACCCGATTCCCAACGAATACATCATTGACATCGTCCGTTGACGTCCCAACCCCGGTGCAACTCCAGATCCTACCCCAAGTCCAGAGGCTCCATACGCAGGATGAGCTTGAGATTGAGGTATCGGCGCAGGCAACGGCATAGGAATCCTCAACTCCAGCTCTGCAAGCGAAAACAGTTGCTTCACCGAGGGGGGACGCCTCAATCGCGGAGAAGTCATCACAGAACCAAATGTAGGCGTTTGGCTTGGTGTAGGCGTGGATGAACGAGGGAGGAGGCTTGATGTCCATGTAGACCAGCTTTTGCCTTCCTCTACTTCCCTCTCCTCGTCAGGCTGAACCTGAAAGTCATGCACAGCCCGCTTAACAACTGCTACATCATGTTGTACATCCCCCAATTTCTCCTCAAGCCTCGCCATAGCCCTCCTTACGCCCTCATCACGCCCATCAACAAAAGCCCGCATTTCTTCAAGGTCCAGATTCGAATCTGATGAGAGGGAAAGTGCGCCTGGGACGGTGAGGAGGGTCTCGAAACCGCGAATGGCGAGTGCTTCGTCTGTGATGCGGATTTCGAGCTCGACACGGGTGTCTTCGGTGTAGTCGGATATGCGGTCTAGGGCGGTGCGGAGGAGAGAATGGGGAGAATAAGGTGTTGGTGTCAGTGTCGGCGGAGAGGCGATGGCGATGGGAGGGAGCAAGCGTTTGAGGTCTTTGAGCGCGAGAGAGCAGTCGCGGAATGCGTGTTGGAGGGCGTCGTAGCGGTGATTGACTTGGCTCAGGGAGGATAGTAAGGATGAAATTTCGTCCGGTATGAATGGGGGTCGTGATGAGGGAATGATGTTGGTGGTTAAGTCGTTGGGTTCATTAGCTGCGTCGACTACTCGAACTTCTGGACTTGTAACAGCTGGAGTGAAGAAGTCACTGAAGTCCTCGTTTCTTTCCAGGAATTGGTTGGTGAGACTTTCCTCCTGGTTTGCAAGATCCCTTAGGGATGGGATATCCGTAGTGTTTGAAATTCCATCGTCTATAGTCGACTCATTCGAATGAGTCGCGGAAGTCAAAGGGGTACGTGACTCGGCGGACGGCAGTAAAGTACATGTTTCTTCCCCAGCGGGGGTCTGCACCAGATTGAGGATTGAGACTGCAGTCGACCGACCTGGTTCGACGGGTAAATCGAGAAGCGGCTGCAAAGTACCAGGCGTGGTGTCGCCTATGACGGGTAAAGGTATACCTTTAGTGTCAGGTGTTTGAACGTGCAATTTAGCTTCTTGAGTATCCGAAATTATATCCGTTTCAACAGGCTCCATAGTCAGCTCATCCGCTGAAGCCAAAGGCGTGGCTAGTTCGGCAGACTGCGGCAAAGTATATGCCTCTTTCCCAGCAGGGGTCTGCGTCACATTGAGGATCGAGCTAGCAGGCGACTGTCTTGATTCAGTGGGTAAATCAAGAAGCGGCTGTGAAGTACCAGGCGTGATGTCGCCTATGACGGGTGAGGACGCACCCCTGCTGTCCTCTGCTAGGAGACTTGGAGGACGCGCAGGTGATTGTGGAGAAGCGAATATTAGATCCTGGATATGTGGGATATCAGCGCTTGTGTCCTGTGTATGGGCTGGTTGTTCTGTAATATCAATAGGAGTTCCTTCGACTGAAGTGGTCTGTTCATGGACAATCTTGTCAAGAGACCTCCTGCCCAAAGAAATACTCCGCTCAGCAGCAACTCTTCTCTCAACCTCCACCCCAACCTCTTCAGTCATCCTCATCACAGCGTCCTTAGCAAGAACCAACCTCCCCAATACACCAGTAACCGAACTCCCATCCCCCAAAGCTACTTCCGCATCCAGCGTCACCAGAAGACTTTCTGCATCCCTCACTGCCCGCTCAAAAGTAGCATACGTCTGACTATCTGCATCTCCGCAGCGGTGTATACCTTCTCCGGCTCTTCGAACCCATCTGCGTAGGGCTTCGCCGAGCGCTTCTTCGCGCGCGAGAAGGGCAAGACGCAGTGCAACTTCCCTTCGCCGTCCATATGCTTCCCTGGTGACCTCTTCACCGAGCTCTTCTAATGCGTCGCGAAGACGTGCATTTTCAGCTATGTAAGCGTGCATCCTTGCTTCGGTATCGTTTATCGTAGATTGAAGGGTATGTTGGGTAGATGCGTGTCGTATTTGGAGAGTCGTGAGTGTGGATTGAAGGGCATTAGTTTGGGACTGCGAGAATTTCCTGTGCGATGATTGAGTCTGTAGAAGTAATGCGTGTATGGAGCACGTACATGTATCGGGAGACCATCTTGGCTGCTGTGGTATCGTCTAGCTTTAGTGTCTCTAGTTCTGACTGCGCTTTCGCGAGGTGAACACTATCATGAATGGCTGTTTTACGCTCAGCATCAAGGATGTTCTCCAAATTTGCGATCTCATTGCGTAGCTGGGTAATGCTCGTTTCGCGTTTCTCGTTCTCAAAGGCAAATTCAGTCATAAGGCGATGCAAGTTCGATTTGCCCTCATGGAGCCCTTCGACGAGGGTGAGAGAAGACGCAGACGCAGATGTGTTTTGCAGTACTGCACCCCCACTACTAAGCGAGCTCTTCCTGCCATCCAAACTGCGCACGAGATCAGCGTACTCATGCACCACGAGTTCTATGAGCCTGCGTTCTTCCTCCGCAGCTTGGAGACGCGTTTCCAAGCTACGTTCGCGGACTTTACCTTCCTCTTCGCGTGCACGAGCACTTGCGGCAAGTTTATATGCGCCTTCTGCCTCGTAGCGCGCTTTTTGGGCTTCTGTGCGGGTGTTTACGAGCTCCGCTGTCTTTTCTGCTAGAGCATGTTCTGTAAGGTCGAGTTTCTCGGAAGAGCGTCTTAGGGCGAGAGTGAGCTCTTGGACGACGTGGGTGTCTGATTGAGAGTTGGGTAAGGGGTGAGCACGAAGGGTAGCTAGCTCAGATGTAAGTAAGGAATGTTGTGATTCGAGGAAATTTAAGCGGGTGTTTGTTTGGGCTGCTGCTAGAGTGTGACGCTGGAGTCTGAGAGCAGCTTGGTGTGCTTCATGCTAATGAATATGAATGGTCAGTACAGAGGCGTATTGAATTAAAAGTACCTGAAATCGAGCTGATGTTTGTCTGAGACTGAAGAGTTCGAGGACAAGCGGGTGCTCGTCGTTGAGCTCGTTCTGATCGACGCTCATCGTCAGCGACAGTGATCTTAACGTTTGCGTGTAAGTCTATTTCGGGACTATTAGTGTACAAACAAAATACAACAAGAATTGGAATCAGATTTTGAAGAGGCCCTTAACCACGCGACCCAGTCTAGACTTTCTCCTCGCTGTTAGGTGCGTTGAGCTCGTTATATTTTGATATTTACCCAACAATAGTCAAGACTTCAGCATGGCAGCTCACGCTGGTCCTCCTGGTCCTTCGAGTTATTATCATTACCCTTACGGTAATGTGGCTGCTGGGCCATTTCCTGGTCAATATCAGCGATATCAACCTGTACCAATGAATGGGCACATTCACCGGCCAATATTCCATCCTCACTACAATTATCATCATCCTCATCAGCCTGCTCATTATGTTCCAAGGTCTAGTTACTGGCAACAGCATGGCCAACAGTCGCTTTCTCCCTTACCAAAACAATTGTCAACTCTTCCTTCTCTTCAATCCAGCGGCGATCAGATCGGAAATCAAAATATAGAACCCGAAGAGGCGCCTAATCCAACCACTTCGCCTCCTTCTTCACCCATGCCTAGCACCGATCCAAAACTAGGTGGTTGGGTCATTTGGTCAAAACGTCCCACAGATCCATCCACCGCTCCTGGCATCATCATATCTCCTCTAGCTCATCCTCCTCTCGACGTTATTCAATATGCACTCAACATTCCAACTCCCCCTCCATCTCCGACACCGGTCGTTATAGATCTATCAGCGCCAAACGTATCTTCTGACCTCCCAGACGGTACAGAATCAATTACGACTCCTCCGCTTTCCACAGCATTTGATACACCTGTCCCCGGGTCACCAGACTCTACTAACACTTCACTTTCACTTGCAAAGGCTCCCGAACAACCAGAAGAGAAGCCTTTGGAGGAGGCCACGTCATCCACCGCCGAACTAGAGCTTGAGCCATCATCCGCTGATCGCATAGAGGCGCCTAAGCTATCTATATCTGATACAGAACCTCCTACGTCCGCTGCTGCACCTTCCTTATCTGATGCGGAGCTTTCTGCGGCTAACCCATCCGATGCAGATCCTTCTACCTCCACCCCATCTGATGCAGAACTTACTGCTACCCCATCTGCAGAAGCCTCTACGTTCGCCCCCAAATCCACGCCTGCCCCAAAGCCCGCCGTATCATGGGCCTCTCTCCTTCGTAAACCCGGCCCCTCCAACCTCCCCGCATCCTCCGTCGTAGGCTTCTCCATTCCCGCCTCTCCTCCGCCTCTCCTAAATCCCACGTCTTCAAAAACACCCTCCCACCCTAAAAAGTCCGAGCTTCTAACCCTACTCAACTCCGGTGGATCATCCGCAGCTCCCATACGCATCAGGCCACGCGGCCTCGTCAACTCTGGCAACTTGTGCTTCGCTAACGCGGTCCTTCAGGTCCTCGTATACTGTCCTCCATTCTGGCGCTTTTTTACGGATCTCGGTCGGTTACATCAGCCTACGGAGGAGTCCAAGACCCCGTTGGTCGATGCTACCATTCGATTTATAAGGGAGTTTACGCCAAAAGAGAGGGCGCCTGTTGAGGGCAAGGGAAAGGGTGTAGAGCGCTATGGATCGAATGGTCTTGTGCATGAGGAAGTGCATGAAGATATCATGGATTCGTTTATGCCAACTTATGTACATGATGCTTTGAAAGAAAAGAAGAGATTCGATCATATGCGCGTGAGTGTTCTTTCCTACTTCTTGTGGCGATTTCGATACTGAGTTGTATTAATAGGGTGGACATCAAGAAGATGCAGAAGAGTTCCTTGGATTCTACCTCGACACACTTGAAGAAGAGCTCCTGATGCTCTCCTCGTCACTCGCTAACCCCAACCCAGCTCCAGCTCAGCAGAACAATGCTGCAGCAAACAACACGCAAGAAGAAGGTTGGCTCGAAGTGGGCAAGCGTAACCGCACCGTCCTCACGCGCTCTGTATGGTCCCCACTTCCTCCTTTGATCCTTACTCACCTTTCCTAGACAAAGACAGCCGACTCTCCTATGACCCGTATATTCGGCGGCAAATTCCGCTCTGTTCTTCGCGTACCACACCAAAAAGATTCTGCCGTCGTCGAAGATTGGCGCAGTCTACGGTTAGACATCCAAGTTCGTCATTTTGTTGTCCCTTCTAAGCTCTTACTGCTAATCAAATTGACTTTGACACAGCGCGACACGATCCACACAATTAAGGACGCCCTAACACACATTTCCACCCCCCAATCCGTACAGGTCACGTCCGTAACCCGCCCGGGCGCTACCCTCGACGCAACCCAACAAGTACACATTGAGTCCCTCCCTCCGATCCTCATTCTCCACCTCAAGCGGTTCTTATACGATGCTAATAAAGGAGGTGTTGCAAAGGTTGGAAAACAGGTTGGGTTTGCGCCTGAGCTGGAGGTTGGGAGTGAGACGATGGCACATGGGAGGAAGGTGAATGGTACGAGATATCGGTTGTTTGGAGGTGCGTCTGTCTTCGTCTCCCTGAATCACTGCTCAAGTAACCTCGTCAATTCGGATAGCACTTTACCACCACGGCCTCTCGGCCTCGGGCGGACACTACACTCTCGATGTCCTCCACCCCAACATCGACATGTCAACTCCACCCACAAAGCCACGCGAGGGGTGGATACGCATTGATGATGAGTTGGTCTCGGACCTGAGAGTTGAGGATGTGTTTGGGAGTGGGGGCGTGGAGAAGGATGAGACGATGAGATGTGCATATTTGTTGTTTTATAGGAGGATTGGGGCGGGGCGGGGTTAGGGTTTTGGGCCTTAGGCCTTAGGTTTAGTGGGTGTAGTGACAGCACTAGTCCTAGATTTGATACTTTGACTGTGATGGGTTTTTTGGTTATTTTTTTGGAATGGTGACTTTGTGAGACTCGAGATTCGATGTATGTGACTAGCTAGATTTGCTAGATAAGTAGGTATGCTTGTAATGACGACGAGTCTACTGGTAGGTTGTAAATCTCACTTTCGGATGTCTCCGTAGGTCCATTTATTCTGTTGATTCCTGAACGGCCTGGTCCGACGTTCAACATAGCGACAGGTCAATAATTATATGCGGCCACTTTTGTTGTTGAAGACAAGGGGATGAACAGACCACTGGACAGTTTCAGAATGAATGACTCAGAGATAAAGGGAAGGTCGCGTCTCGACTCTTAGCCGCATACCAGATTTTGAGGATTTCTCGTATATCCTCGTAATTGCGTCGAGCGTCACAATATGAGGATGGTCTCGTCGCCCTCTACATCATCTATACGTACCCTTTTCGGCATCCGCTCATAACCGTGAGATCTTGAGATCTGGATGATCTCGAGGCGCTATGATGACGTCATAGTACAACTCGTTACTGAACTCTTGCTACATTTTTTCTGCGGTAGTAATACTGTGTAACAATTGTCCTGCCTGCTCCGATCTGTGTACCGCTCCGCTCAGACTCGAAGCGAACCATCACAGGATAATGGGAAAAAGGACTCGCCTACTAGTATGTCCAGGATAATATTAGCTCTTAGCCCACTGGGTTGCATTGTATGTCCCACCCATCGGTTGAAACCTGCATATTCTTAGACCTTCGTGACAGCGTTAGCGTTGCAAGGCTACCGTGAGCAAGTGGATGAAGCCCATGAACTACTGTAACTAAAACATACACGAGGACATAAAATGCTTATACATTGTGATATAGATATTGGTTCGAATGTTGATTTGTACGAAGTTGTTCTGTAAAGGCTATACACGACTGTGTACAGTACGTAAGAAGAGGTATGTTCATAATGAGACACACATCTAGGAAGATTTGGATGTTTCTTTGTTGTTGCATATACTTACTACTACCATCGCTGGCACTAAACCGACTAACAACACTGAAATCAGTGAATAAGTCAAAAATACATCGGGTAGTTTGCCTCACCATGGTGGTGTAATAACTCCCTGCTATGGCTTGGGGGACTCAGTGATCCCCCGAGTCTCTGTGGCAAAAGCATTTTCGCCAGCGAGCTCCACATCGATAGCAGAAGTGGGTGGAGCAGCGACACGTAATATGGCTACAACCATCTGTACGTTCGACGATCGCCCGGCATCCAGGACACGACTGCCAATTTTTATCGTCTACGAGCGTCTTCAAGTCTCTTTGCAGTCCTGCCTCTAAGCATTCTTCTCCCAAATGTTTCCTATTCTTGCATGCGAGACATATTGTGGTGCCACACACACGACAGGACATGTTCCCCTTGCGACTCCGAGTATCTGAGGAGCACAAGAACGCAGAGCATTTCTGATTTGCGCAGTACACTCGTGTAGCCGGTGGGACAGAATATTCCACAGTTTTGGCACGGAATTGCGACTGCAGTGGTTTGGGTAATTGTCGATCGACTTTCTTTGCTGGCATTCGGATCTGGCAACACTGCAAGGGATACAGAGTTTCGTCTTTCATGGACGCCTTGGCGAAATTGACTATGCATCCCCGGCAATAGTGATGAGCACATGGCGCACGGATACTTTGCTTCGCTGGGACCTTATCCCCGCAAGCAATACATTCTACTCTATTGCAGCGGTAAGGATAGTAATAGTCCAAGGTTGGAAGGCTCACGGAGTTTGATCTCGTTTCAGAAACTTGATAAACATTCGTGATAAACAAAAAGTCGCCTTTCTATCTTGTGGAGCTTTGTGCCATTCGTCATTCGTGCAGTCCTGTGTACCACTATGAATGCAATGTTATAGGTCGCCAGAGTGCTTAGTGGTCTTCCTTTTCAAGATATAATCGTTCACTTTACACACCATTTCAACTCTGGAGAACAAGGAGGTGGAGTACAGCAAGCTTGGGGGTCGGGCGAGAGCCGCGAGACTCCCGATAGGGGTGTTCCGATTCTTGTGTTAGATTCATTGAAATGAGTTTCGCTAGTCATGGATTGAGCAAGCTGCTCTGTAGCGTGCGAGGTCTCCAGGTCACTGCTGGTCATGGTAGCCATTGATGCGTGCGTCAAGAAGGCAAAGAAGTGCCTTATGGGAGCGGCAGTGCATCATTTCGCTTCAGCTTACAAGGCAAGAGCCTTGCGCCCAGTGCTAACTTTAGACACTGAGATAAGGTCATCTTTGAAAAACGTCGCGAATTGCGTACTAGTTGGTGCTGCGATCTTTTGTATCCCATACCGCATCGCATCAAGTGCTTTGTGAAACTTCCGATCCCTTCGAGTCAGACAAGACGTCTTGTCGTCGAGTAACGTTCAAACTCCGCATGAATCCAGCTGCCGAAGCTCCAGACTGTCACTGTAGAACAGCTCCAGGCTCCAAATCACCAATATTTGCATTTGTTTGGTGCACCAGCCATGAACGACAACGTTGATGTTTTATCGTGCTATAAGGATCAATCGTACAGCTATTAGTGATCGTCCCCACTATCCTCGTCCATCATGTCGTCAACCTCTTTCCTTATATTTGGAACATTCACGTATGGCACCTTGTTCCGGATCCAACGTCCTAGCAACCAATCCACCCTACATAGTCCTGAACCCGTGGTAGACGCGAGTAGCGGCGCTCCGCCCAGACCATTGCCCGCGTTCCATGTAACACGATGGACGCCTACTTCGGGCGGCCATACACCAGTACTGGTGCTTGACTCAGATTCATCTTTTTTCGTTTGTTTCCCTTTCCATTTGTTGGACCGTTCTTGAGTTTCCTGGAGTAGGTGTCAGTGACAACGGGGTATGTCTGGAATGTCACTTACTTGCGGAAGGAAATGGTCTAACATACGAAACTCTCCCGTTTTTCGGCTGTAGTCTAGCTGAAAGATCTTGCGGAAGAAAAATGGCTTCAAGAATTTGAGAGAAGGATGCTTATGATCGTCAGAAGATACGTACGACCAACCCTCCTCTCCTTGTTGTTTTCAGAGTGTTCGTTGTCACGCAAGAGCCATCTGCAGAACCGACCGCTAGCTGAGCGTGGTAGTCCGATGCACTGACGCTCTGCAATTTTATTCAGGGGCGCAATAATAGTATCTATTGTGATACGTACCCACACCGGTCCATCGGGCTCCAGAAGTACATGCCCTCTACCCAACGTACTGGGAGATATGGCATATGCTTTGACACTGTTGTCGTGATCGATCATGATCGGTCCGCCTGCGAATGCGGAGTATGTCGTGCTATTGATCACGTCTTTAGGGAACGTATATCAGAGAAATATATTTGCTTGTAAAAGGCACCAACCCCGTGTCCTGTTTACAATATTTCCATGTGGTTCTCGGATGTCAGTCAGACATTCCATGCCATCGTATCCACCGGTAGCCAGAACCGTTGGATCTTCGGAGGTCGATGGTACGCCAGAACCATCCGTCGGCGGAATACGAATCCATGCAAGGGCTCGCACTGCGGACTGGTGTATTGAAATGTAATGGGTTGGGAGCATGTCTTGGAAATTTGCGTCATAATGGAATAAGTGAGGGCAGTCAGAACTCACTTGAGCCCTGACCCGTTCTGATAGCATGACCAATGTCATATACGGCGACATAACCTACAAAATGACGGTAATGAGGAGCACTTCAACCGAAAGACAATCTCCAGACCATTTGTGCAACCAACAGCAATGGTTTCACTATTTGCCCAGTCAAGAGACCAGCAGCAAGTTTCCTCTAGCTCGATCCGGATAAGTGGTTCGGGTAAATGAACTATGTTGTCAACCAGTCTCGGTCGTATGTTCGTAAAAGTAGGGCTAACCACCCACCAGATGTCGGACGCGTTGGGTCATCATCTTTACTCCTTACATCCTCTGGGTCTGGAACAACATAGATCGACAAGGAACCATCCTCAAATGTCCCTGCTAATAGCCCTAGCTTTCTCGGGTGTTCTTCCATATGAACTTCATTCCACTGCGCTCTCGCGTTTAGCAAAGTGTGAAAGCGTAGACATGTCGTAAACAAACCTGATCGTGTGACGGAAGAGGACACCACTTGATTTCGAATGCAGGCCCTGACTCTAAACAAATGACCATCTCGCACTTCATCTCACCGACTGGTGAGCAGTCTGCTTGCGAGACGGCCCCTTGTTCTTGTTTAGACTGCAAACCCCATATTTGTACGCAAGCAGAAACGGGACGCTGGACTTTTGCACCGATCATTGGTGAGTGCGACCGCGAAGAGAAAGGGGCGACCGCAAGGTAATGCTTATGACCCCGGTCTATATGATCTTGAGTAGTGCATACTGATGAGGGAGCGCTGTCTTACGGGGTCGGTCATCTGGATACGTCGGGCACCAATCAACGCCCCATGCAGGAGATCCGACATTGAACACGAAAGATGTGCTTCCAGGCATATATTCTGCTGTGAATAAGGGAGTTATAATCGTGACCGACGTCCGCGAAAGTGGTGAAGAGCATACATGTAGCATGACTGTCAAACATGGCCATCTCAACGCGTGTCTGGCGACCATAAAATCCAAGGAAGCAGTGTACAGGAGCAGGGGGGCGTTTCTGGCCATCATCTGTTAACACAGTGTCAGTGGGAAGATACCTCGCAGCATCACTGAAAAAGTTTCAACATTAAGCGATTCGAATGAGCACGGACATGAAAGTGCTTACCACTCGTTCAGTCTTGTCCATCCAGATTTCACCTCAACACCTTGATGAACTCTGGGACGCCTGAACGACTCATTCATTGTATTTTCTTCCCCTTCCAAAGCCTCCTTAAAGCATGACCGGTCTTCCATGATACCCCATACAGGACCAGGGCCGACATTGTAACCCCAAGCCCTACTAATGCGATCCGTTAGAGATTGTTCCGATGTCATACTATTGGTCGACACGATATTTGGTGGGTTGAAAAGGGTAGGAGGAGCATCAAGTCGCTCGACTTTTTCCTTACGAAGAAAAACTGGCATGGCTTTGTGTCGATGATGGACGCTAGGATTTGGTAGTGCATGCATCTTCACGACTCTTGGAGCAGATATCTTAGAAGTAGACACCTGTGCAGACTGAGATTTTGGTAGGGGCTTATGGGGCCGTCTTGTTCCCGTTATCGAGGGTAGACGCGATACAGGCCTAGACCTTGCAGTTGGAGTCTGATTCTTGCTTCGTTTCGGCGCTATTTCTGCTTCTTCCTCGTGATCTTCCTCGTGAACTTCAAGATCTTCAGCGGTATTATGTAAATCCTCGGGGGCATCATCGGAAAGCTTGTCCGGTGCAAAGTCACTCCCACTAGTATCCAGGGCCACGTCCTCGTCAATGGATGCGGATGATTTGGGTACACTGATCGTCAAGTCTTCTTCATCACCTATAGCCTGAAGCGAAGCGTAATTTGGTCGGGATGTACGAGTACGCAACTGTCGGGGCATTTTGTTAGGGTTTTATGTAGAAAATTTAGAAGTATCTTCGTAATAAATATTATATCCGCTTGGCCCGGTGCGCAAAACTTATTCATCGCTCACCACTTCAATTCAACAATAATGCCCGATTAAAATAATTTGACTACATAAACGTCAGACGGGAGTATATGTAGGCCCTGATACATAGTCGGTAATAAAATTCGCGAAGCGGTGGTACCAGAGGTATGCCAGACCGAACAAAGAGTAGAGTTCGTAGAGAACCGTCACACTTTGTCACGCTGCCTCTCTTCATTGGTTGTGCCAGGACAACTTGAACTGGTGTTTTTTAATGTTGTAATACAATGTATCTTACAAGAATTATTACTTCTAAAAAGTGTCTACTGCTTTCCGTGATATTGCTACAGACGTTGTGTTGACCGTCAGCCCCACTTAATCCTCGAAACGACCCCTGTCGGTCCACTGGTAACGAACCTCTCGACCACAAAAAGTATTCCTACAAAACTTTATCAAATAATCCACGCCGCCCGAAAGCGGTAAAAACCTCTCCATTGCGGACTTCGCAGCAGCAACCCCTGACCTCGGTACCGCCTTCGCAACCGTGCGCGATCGCAAAAGCAGATGGCAGTCCTCAAACATGCGGTCAAAAATCTGTACCAGCCGCCCCATTGGTACTTCATCGATATTGACGCGCGCGCACGTTTGAATCTCGATAGACAGCTTAATGAGCATGTCCACAGGCGGCAGCGCGCCAAACCGCAAGCACGCGATGCTGCTAAAACTTGCAAACTCCTCATGGATCGAAGGGGAGGTATCCAGTGTACTCCATTCCCCGTTCATGGATTTTAACGTGGCTCGTACTGCCCACAGACGTTTCTTGAAAAACTTCTTTCTTCTCGTGATGAGGAAAGGAAGTACGTCTTTGTAATTCTCCGTCTGTGGGTTTTTGATGATCTCGAAGAATTCGTGTGCGTCCATTAGGTCTTGTATAGCTTCGCATGCGTTTTCTTCCAATGATCGTCTATTTCGGAGGGGTTTGTGTAAAGTGAAAGACACCTCCGGTGAGCTATTGATTGTGACCAAGACCACCTCTTCATGACTGTCGGATTTGGATAGGTAGGACGTGATTGTGTTTGTGATGACGTGTTGTTTGGGGATTTTGAGGGGAGGTTTGCGTCTAGGACTCGGACGGATTGTGAGGTCGTCGTCCTCTTCTACGGATCGTGCTGAATGCATGCTACCTGTTGTACACTCCGATGGGTCCATTTGTTCCGAAGTATGTAAATGACGTAGACCACTTACGTTCAGTTTTACCTTCATGGTTGGATCGGGAGAGTGACGAGGAGCTCGAGGTTGTGTTGACAAGAACTAGCGTGCTAGACATGTTGCGAGATGGATGAGCAGGAATGATAGCGTCCCGACTTTGTTGAGGGGACCCGAAATGTTAATAGGGATGTTGTCATTAATGAATGGAAGAGTCGTGAGAAATTATAACATCCGACAGATCGTCGATCCACAATTGATAAACGATATATAATTGGCTAACAATTAGATTAAGTAAGCGATGCAGCAGTCACGTGCGCGTGTACAGAATGTAAGAACAGACAATGCCAGTTCAGATACATAGAAGTACATTTAAAAGTAAACCATTTGACTTTGATGTTGAACTCCACACAGCTGAAAGACTACACAGTTATAGCAACGATATCGAGATGTGGATTTGCCAGAACAGGGCACATCGATGCGAACTTGACTGTCGACAGATCCGGCAAACATCGTCATAATTTGGCATTGACCTTGTCGTTAATCCGAATGACAATTTTTCCAAACTGATCCCCACGCTTCATGAGCTCGAAGCCTTCTTCTGCAGCCTCGAGCCCTTCGAGGACATGGGACACCACTGGGACAATGCGATGCTCTGACACAAACCTTGTTGCGTCTGTGAGATCCTTGAGGGAGCCCATTGTCGAACCTTGTGCACATTCAATATCGGCGTTCAAGCGAGCGGGAAAACTTACCGATAAGTCGCTGATTCTTGAGTACTTCTCGCATGGTAAACTTGATTTGGGGATTTGCAGTCCTGTGACGATGTTGAGTAACATTTCAAGGAACAGACCTCCTTCGCTTACATCCCATAGACTACAACTTTGCCGCCCTGTTTTAACATACTGTTCACTCGCGTCATGATGTCTCCACCGCCAGAGTCAATAACCGCATCAATCTTAGCCGATTTTCCGCTGTTTTTGGTCAGAAGGGCAACAAGATGCGATGGCCAATCCTCTGTGAGATAGTTTGAACCTGCCAAAAGAGTTGTTCTAGATCGTTATCCTTACTTGATTTGTAGCTCACTCCGCCCTTGGCTCCAAGGGCAATTGCTTTCCTGATTTTTTCCTCGCTACCACTCGTAACATAGACATTAGCGCCTTTGGCTAGACAAAGTTGCATGGCAAGAAGTGCAACTCCTCCGCCGATTCCAGTGATAAGAATATTTTGGTCTTTCGATGCTTCAGCATTAACAATTGCAGCCCTAGTTACAATGCATTCGGTCATATGACGAAAATGGTTCCACGACAAAGACGTACCGCCAAGCAGTCAGGCCACCAAGGGGCCAAGCGGATACTTGTATGTCATCAAGATGATCTGGAGAGCGAATAACCTGATTTCTCTCCACTACAACGTATTCGGCAAACGTCCCTAGCGGAGGGTTTCGTCCACCTCCAAGAATTCCGAAACCGCTTCTGCATGAGACGTGAGCTAATGCCAATCAAAGAATATGTAACCCACTCCTTTTCCGGCGCATCTGGCTTGCTCTCCCAGCCTCGCATGGGTGTCAGGAAGACACGTTTGTTTAGGAGTGCATCGTTTAAGTCTGCCGATGCAACTACTGTGCCTAAGTTACTGCTCTCAGTTTCCCAAACTCAGCTTATAAACGAAATAGTACCTGCTCCATCAGCACCAAAGGCACTTCCGAAATTGATTCCTGGGTATTGACCAAGGCGTATCCAAAGCTGTCGGGGTATTCGGATGAGCAACGAATTCATTGCCGTTGATCACATCACTCACGTCTCGGTGATTAAACGACACAGCTCCCATTTTTACGAGGACTTCCCCTTCTTTTAGTTGTTGCAGTGGCCGTGTCACCAGGACAGCATCATGATAGACAGGCTTTGCTTCCACGGAGCACTTCTTAATGACCAGTGCTCGTGTCGACTCAGGAATTCTGCCAGCCATCATATTAATGGTGAAGGGAGAGTATAATGCAGACAACTTGAAGACCGCAAAGACCGCCACCACGCTGGTACGAGATTCAGAATAAGTATGATGAATGCTACATTGCGTGGCGGTTTAATAATACCTGTAATCACATGCGGGTGAGAATATTTATTACGCTGATTAGTAATCAATTTTGGCAGTACTTTAAGTTTAGCCGATAAATAAGGTTACATTCTCCTTTTCTTTTGCAGTCATTATGAACACTTGTTGTAGCGTGCCAGACTTGGAGGCAGAGGCCCTCGTTCGAGCGCTATCTCTATTAGATATTGAAGAAGTCGGAAGATCACGCAAAGGAAAGTCACGGGAGGGCTCGGATGCCTGCTTGACGGACGAAGAAATTGCGTTCAACCTTCAGGCAGAAGACTTGAAAGCGTCCTTAGCTGAACTTCAAGACCGTAGATTTGCACTGAGCCTCGATAGAGCACTTCAAACCGACACTGCGGCTCTCAGCGCGTTGTCCCTCATCAACCAAGGGGAACAAGATGATCATATTTCTGCTCTTGCCCTTGAGAGAGGCGATGATGTACCAACCCCTACTCACTCACAAGAAGAGCTTGAATGGACTAGATTTCCGTTGTCTGTAAATTTCATTTTAATTTTCGATTACTAACGACCCCTTTAGTGAGTTCGGCTCCACTACGTCCAGTAATAGTGATATTACAGGCGTAGTCGAGCCAGACCTAGATGAAATGGACGACCTCGGCGAATATTCTCGTCTATCGTACCATAGGGGACAAGTTTCAGCTCGTGATAGAATGCCACCTTGGTTAGGCGCAATTTTCATTTCACGACCTCAGCCTCACATTGCTTTGTCCCAGGGTGGAGTGTGTCATATGCGGCGATCCTGTCAGACGTTTGCAAAGTTTCAATGCTCCATGTTCTCATTTCTATTGTCGAGGTTGTCTTGTAAACCTTGTTGAAGCGTCTACCAGGGACGAGACACTTCACCCCGTGCGGTGCTGCCAACAGCCTCTTCCCGTTGCGAACTTCCTTCCATTGCTTTCATTGGACTTGCGATCCCATTTTCAGGACAAATCTGCGGAGTTCGCAACTCGACCAAATTTACGGATTTATTGTCCCAATCAGATATGCTCGAAATTTTTGGGTTCGTCTTCTGACCGCAGGTCTGAGTTCGCCTGCACAAGTTGTCCAACACGTGTGTGCTCGGCGTGCAAGAATCGAGCCCACTTGTTTGAAGACTGTGCCGAAAACGCTCAGACATCAGTGGTAAAATCCCTTGCGTCTCAAATGGGATGGCAAACCTGTCCGGGTTGCCATGCTATCGTCGAACTTTGGCAGGGGTGTTATCACATGACCTGCCGATGCTCGACGCAGTTTTGTTACTTATGCGCAGCACCGTGGAAAACTTGCGATTGTCGGCAATGGGACGATCAACGCCTGTTAGATGACGCCGAAAGACGTGTTTACAATGAACTCGGGGCTCAGGAAGCAGCTGCGCGCCCGGAAATTTTTGTGGACCGTGTTTACGAGAGGATGACAGCGTTGGAGGAAAATCACGAGTGCCTTGTGCACAGATGGGTGTACAGGCGTGGCGGTGGATGTTGTGAGGAATGTCACGATGATTTAAGGAACTATTTGATGGTAAGATTGTCATATCTGGAATGCATGAGCTGTGTGCTGATAATTCTCGCCAACTCAAGTGTTGCAGGGATTGCCAAGTCTTGGTATGTAGGCGGTGTTCAGTGAATCGTCTTTGAGAACGGCGACATTAAAGTTATGAAGTCGAGTACAAAGCTGATTCCTGGGTTTGGATTTTGGGAGTGTCAAGCAGGCTGAAGATTTTTATATTTCGGGTAGGGTAAAACATTCGCAATGGCGACTGTCAGAAAGATGCGCCTCAAACTTCCAGGAGGTCTAACGTACTAGCAAACCTATTAATAATATTGGATGGGGTTCTGCTTCAATTTGTTATTTGATTTGTCAGCTCGTTCTAACATTCTTTTCGGCCCGCCGTCGTATAATTATCTCTCCGTGCATCATCGCGTGTGACTTGTCAAGGCTGCAGCTGCAGCTTCGTCGTCGTCTTTGCTCGTGCTTCGCTAGTCGCGATGAACTCTGTAACAGCGTCCTTCCAATAAATACCATCGCTTTTTGAGCACTGCTGCACTACTATTTGCACCGAAAAATGGGGCTTCCCGATGGGCCTCCTCCAAGCTCAATTGACCGATCAAGCTATCTCAGCTGTTTCTGAATCGATAACGTTCCAGTATGAAAAAAATCTGACCAATCGATAACAGGCGCTTCCAAGCGCATGGTCATGGTATATTAAATGATACTCGTTACAGACATGCAGCAGAAGTACGTATATGTTTGGTTCTACCCTCCACACTCCTTGTCCCATCTAAAACCTTTTAACACGCACACTCAGCTATCCTTCCTACTTTCTCGATGGATGAAAATAATCCCTCTCGGAAGACGCCCAGGGGATGGTTGAAACCACGTCGTTCAGACCCTCATCTGGTACAGGAGAGAGGCACGAGGGCAGCCAGTCGAGATGTATGGACTTTCGTCTTTAGAATTATGGTTTGTTTCTAATGATTATAGCCGTCCTCTCTCCCTGCTTCAAGCCATGGGTTTCATGAACAATTTTCAGGCTTGGTTCCCAAGTTCGTCAGCAAAGTGACCAAGCGCTTCGGTCGAGGCGCTAGGCAGTCTCCCAACCCTGAACCCACAGCTGCAAGTTCCAGCTCACAGGACATCCAACATGTTCAGTCAAACAAGGTATGTGCAAACTCAGCACTGAGCGTGCCTTGCGTGCTGTGATCGCTACTTATCACTTCTGCAGGATCTCACTGTTCCTACCCTCGAACCGAATCCTGAGCAGTCTTCCAATTCGGGTATTGCAGAAGTAAGTTTCACCAAGGTAGTTCACAATATTTTGATCTGTCTTTTTTGATGATACGCAATCAGGCCGAGCATCTTGACCTGAAATTTGTGAACGAAAGAATTGCCGAAGTTACCAAAGGTGTTGCAGACATCGGCCAGGTCCCAACAATAGTCCAAGAAACTTCTTCCGCGATCAACAACCTACCATCTGTTTCTACTATGATCGATACCACAATCGACAACTTCTCCGCGTTTCTTCGACCCTTGAAGGCGTTCAACTCCATCGCCAACTCTATTGCAAATGTACAGCCACCTGTCTCTCTTCTGTACGCAACTGACAATCATACGCAGGTTTATCCCTACGCGAAGGTTGCATTGAGTATCTTCACTTGCGCATCCAAGGTAGGCTTCTTCCTCGATCATTGGTGTTGCAGGTCTACAAAGTTTCGGTTACAGATGATTCTCGATCAGGCGGAACGTGATGTTGCCGTTTCTACTCTACTCTCAAAAATATCTGAAGTCTATACATTCATCACGGAAGAGGAGGAATTGACCAAGATTGAATCTATGGTAGCGATATATGAGAAGATAGCGCACCAGACTTTAGAGTGCGCTGATTTTATTAGCCATTACTCTGAGACGAAGAGCGCCTGTGAGTAGATCCCACTGCTTCGTTGCCTAGGACTCAATGATGCCTGTTTGTGTAGGGAAAAGGCTTGGCAAGCACATTTTCGACGAGACGGATGCAACGATTCAGAGCTACAACAACGTTCTCGACGGTCTCATGCAGCAATTCCGAGACAGGGCGGCTCGCGACACCGTTGTAATCGTCCGCCATATGGGTAAGAGATGCTTTCAGGTCTCTTTGAGCCTCATCTGACATTCCGTGACCGCTGGCATAGCTGAGAGTCTGGACCTCGTAGGGATGGAGTCCGCGGCGGGCGCCGGATTGAATTCGTCCAAATGTTGTTTGCCAAACACTCGGAAAGACATTCTGAGTGATATTCAGAATTGGATCAGCAGCACTGAGGAGGGCGCTCCTTGCGTGTTTTGGTTGTCTGGCACAGCAGGCAAGGGTAAATCGGCCATTGCCCATACAATAGCGAAGTGGTATATCGAAAACGGTGGTCTTGGCTCATGCTTCTGCTTCGATCGTACTCGGCAAGCGGGTAGACGTCAGGACAAAATATTCACGACCGTCGCAAGGGAATTGGGGGACTGCAACCCTATCGTGCGACAAGCCTTGGCGCAGGCAGTTCGTGATCACGACGGACTCGAGCGCACACCGGATATCACAAAACAATGGCAGGAACTCATCGTTGAACCGATAAGTATAGCCTCAAAAGCGATGGCTGCACCCGTCCTGATTGTCATTGATGCATTGGACGAGAGCGGGGAAGCTAATTCTCGCGAACAAATTCTTTGTCTGCTCGCTGGCAAACTGAACACTTCTACCTCACATTTATCTGAACTCCCACCCAACTTCCGCATTCTCCTCACTTCCCGCCCACTTGAAGACATTCATAACACTCTGCACGCCGCCCCACATGTTTGCCATGTTTCCCTGGATAACGTCCCATCTGAATTCACAAAGCTCGACATTCAGCTGTATATCTCCCACAAGCTGGAAGACCTGCGCTTGCGTCGCATCCTCAACGATGCGCACTTCAAGGATCTGGCTCTGAAATCTGACGGCCTGTTTGAATGGGCTTGTCTCGCCTGTGAGTACATCAAAGCTACGAACAAAGTGAGCGTGGGTCCGGTGGGTCATTGCAATGCTGTGCTTGGTGGAACATCTGAAAAAGGAACACGTCTGTTGGATATCATGTATGCACGCATCTTGGAAGAAATCATGCCGGAGGACGAGCGCGGGGAAGCTATCCCGGTGTTTTGCTCAGTGATGGGGCAAATCCTCGCCTCGTTGGAACCACTCTCCATGCCTGCGTTGATCGCCATGCGATTGCATTTTCCCGAAGAGAGCGATTACGAAATGGACCGGGTCCTTGGGCCACTAGGGTCCCTTTTGACCAGCACCTCAGATTCCGATTCTCCCATACATCCCCTCCACGCATCCTTCTATGACTTTCTCACAGACAAATCACGGAGCCATGACTTCTTCGTTGATCCATCAGCAGTACAAAGAGATCTTGCCTTTGCCTCGCTTCGAGTCATGGACTCAGAGTGCGGGCTTCGCTTCAACATCTGCTCCTTGGAGAATTCGTACTTGCCCAACTCTTCCGTGCCTGATTTGGAGAAACGAGTCAAAGAATCCATTTTGGCTGAGCTATCATACTCATGTCGATTTTGGGGGACTCGTGTAGGCTCTACATCCTTCGAATCATCGCTCGCTAAGGAAGTTGAAGCTTTCTTCGATGGAGAGCGCCTCCTTTGGTGGTTGGAAGCACTGACTCTGATGAAAAGCCTCAGTGGCTCGGTAAGGACCCTCTCATCCATTGCAAAATGGTTTTCGGTGCGTAGCTTAGGCTCATTTTTCTTTAAACGGATTCTTACGAGTAGTGGGGTGGTCGTAGGGTCATGCCGAGTTCACGCATGTCAGTCACGCTACCAGGGATACCCTGCGTTTCGTCTGAACTTTCGCAAACACTATTTTACGCAGCACCCCCCATTTATACTTGTCCGCTCTGCCATTTGCTCCATCGCAGTCGAGAATGTTTTGCAAATTTGCCTCGAAGTTTCCTCGCACCCCCGCATTGCTTCTGGCCATGTGGAGAATTGGCCTCAGATGGAAAAGATACTCTATACAAATGACCGGGTTCTCTCAATTGCACTATCGCCAGACAGAAAAAGCATTGTGTATGGTCTATTTGACAGGACGATCCAAGTGTGGGATATCGATACTGGCGAGGCATTGTGTGCCCCTCTTCGAGGCCACACTGATTGGGTTATGTCTGTCGCATTCTCACCGGATGGACATCGCATCATTTCAGGTTCATGGGACAAAACAGTCCGGGTGTGGGACTCGAAGATTGGCGAAGCATTAGGATCTCCTCTCTACCACGATGGCATTGTTCGGTCTGTTGCAATCTCACCGGATGGTAAACGCATTGTATCTGGTTCAAGCGACAAGACAATTCGGGTGTGGGGCATGGAGACTGGCGAGGCATTTTGTGCCCCACTCCGAGGCCACACGAATATGGTTCGTTCTGTCACAATCTCGCCAGATGGGAAATGTATCGTGTCTGGGTCATCTGACATGACCATTCGGGTGTGGGAGATGGAGACCGGCGAGGCATTGGGCACCCCTCTTCAGGGCCACACACATTCGGTTCTTTCTGTCGCAATTTCGCCTGATGGTAAATGCATTGTGTCTGGGTCATACAACAGGACGATTCAGGTGTGGGAGATGGAGACTGGCGAGGCATTGGGCACCCCTCTTCAGGGCCACACGCATTCGGTTCTTTCTGTTGCAATTTCGCCTGATGGTAAATGCATTGTGTCTGGGTCATACGACAGGACGATTCAGGTGTGGGATTTGGAGACTGGCGAGGCATTGGGTGCCCCCCTCAGAGGCCACACTAACCTTGTTATGTCGGTTGCAATCTTGTCAGATGGAAATCATATCGTGACTAGTTCGGATGACAAGACGATCTGAGTGTGGAATGCGAAGAATGGCGAGGCAGTAGGATCCCCACTCCAAGGCCACACTAGCAGTGTTCGGTCTGTCGCAGTCCCCTGGATGGAAGTCGCATAGTCTCTGGTTCATCTGACAAGACAGTTTGGGTGTGGGATGCTGACACCGTTATGAGCAAGGCATCGGTTGCCGCACTCGAATGCCACACTGACTCTGTTAACTCAGTTGCAATCTTGCCGGATGGATGTTCCATAGTGTCTGGCTCGGATGACAAGACAGTTCGGGTGTGGGATATACAGACTGGCGAGGCATTGGTTGCCCCTATCTGAGGTCACACTAGATCTGTCCTGTCAGTCGCAATCTCGCCAGATGGGAAGCGCATCGTGTCTGGTTCAGAGGACAAGAGCATCCGCATGTGGAACGTGAAAACCGGGAAAGCATTGGGTATGTTCCAAGGTCACACTGATTATGTTCGGTCTGTCGCAGTATCACTGGACAGAAATCATATTGTGTCTGGTTCAGACGACTGGACAATCCGGGTATGGAATATTGAAACTGGCAAGGCATATCCTCTCCGTGGGCACTCTCACTGGGTTCGGTCTGTCGCAATCTCATCAGATGGACATCACATAGTGTCTGGTTCGCATGATGAGACAATTCAGGTGTGGGATATGGGCACTGGCAAGGCATTCAGTGCCCCTCTCAAAGGCCACATTAGTTGGGTCTGCTCTGTTGCAATCTTGCCGGATGTGTTACAATAACATTTACTCCTATTTCATTTTTCTTTTCCTGTAACCATGCCACCGACTCTAGACTCATCTAGACTCGGCTATTCTCTTATCAAGCGGGCTGTCCGCACTTCTCTTCTATCTTGATTGTAACATAGATACTATCTTGCGCTGTATGGCGGTTTCACCTATCTTTGCTATCTTGATAGGTTGTACTCTTTTCCTATCTTTGTTACCTTTCTTGTCACGACTACGCCGCTTCCTTTTACCTATATAAACCCCATGTACCATAGATGTATTCCTTAACTTAATCTACTGGGTTTTCCCCTTGAAACCTGATCTACTAAGGTCTCCACCCTTAGTAGCCTGAACTCTGATTCTAAGGCAGTCACTCACTGTCTTAGCCTGAAACCCTTGATTGCGGTAGAAGTGCTAAAACCACTCACCGCCTAGGCAGAAGTGCTAAAACCACTCGCCGCTGATCCTGCATAGAAGCCGCGGCTCGTGCAGTAGGAACCACCAGAAACCTTCCTTGTATTAGGAAGGCCGACGAACTGTTCGCCCTACAGGTCTATCTTGACCGGCAACAGCAGAACTATCCCAGTCGTAACAGGATGCATGTCACATTGTATCTGGCTCGAGGGGCAACACTATCCGTGTGTGGGATATGGGGACCGGCCAGTTATTGGGTGCCCCACTCCAAGACCACACTGACTGTATTAACACTGTTTCAATCTCCTCAGACGGTAATCGCATCGTGTCTGGCTCGTACGACCACTGTGCAGACCGTCCGGGTTTGGGATAAGACTGGCGAGGCAGTGGGTGGCCCTTTTCGAGGGCACACCAAACCCATTTTGTCTGTCGCGATCTCACCTGATGGCAAGCGCATCGTGTCTGGGTCAGAAGACAAGACCATCCGGGTGTGGGATTTAGAATTCCTAAACCGGCACCAATCGTCTGAAGCACCTGCAATATGTTTTTCATCCAACCCGACTCATGCCCTTCATTCCCCCTCCTCCTTTCTCCAAGATTCTCAAAACCCAGTCCCATCCTGCACAGACGGGGAGGGATGGGTTGTAGGTCCCGAAGGATGGCTTCTCCTCTGGATCCCACTTGTGTTATACTCGGACGCGATGCTTTTATTGTATGGCTCTGGTTCAGGCAACATGCTGGTGATTCCCAGCAATACCCCACAGCTGGACTTGAGTCGTGCCGCGCACGGCACATCATGGCACAAGTGTCGCGACCATTAGTAGGTTGTATTGCCTTCGTGGTAGTATCTGTCGGGCGGACTTGGGGTATGTAGCTATGAAGATTTATGTGCATTCTACAGATTTTATACAATGCCCGTTTTTACTCCATTTGTCACGTTCTGCTACTCAATGGGCTCCCTCTCACAAGTTTCATTTGCTATGTTTACATACATGCTGTCCTCATCTCGCTACTATATTCCCTAGAATCACTTCCCTGTTTACTTCCTGCAGGATGAAGTGCGCAATTTAGAACTCGATGTGAACTTGAACCACGTCATCCAGCACTTCCTCTCTTCATCAAACTCCATTCCATTCTATACAGCTACCAATACTGATCACAAGCAGTTCAGCTGTATGCAGAGCTGTAGCTATCAAGGAATCTATTATTAGACTCACCTACATGAAGGATCGACATTCAATAATATTTCCCCGTGCCAACTGGACTAGTACTGGCAGTGGCAGCCATATTACTAGTTTCCGCCTCTCTCATTGACCCGAGAGTATATTTGGCTGGATTGGATGGTTCTCACCAATAACATTCATGCTCTGGTACGGTGGTACCTGGCTGGACTTCATACTACAGCAGTGATTGGGTACTTTACTTCATGAGGCCGTGTAGTACTTTCCAGTGGATTAGTTGAGATTAAGGTTCTAAGTCGTGCTTTCAGCAAGTGAGTCGAGATTGCAAGAATGTCGATGGCACTGACTAAAACTACGGTCTTTTGATAGTCCAAGGTGGTGTAGGCGTGCGGGATCGGAATCTTGGTTACCGTTTGTGTTTTGTCCTGAGCCTGAGTTTCCTGTAGGAAGGATGAACAGTTTCAACGTCCATGAATACTGCGTATCATAGTATTTTTTATCCTATCGAGTATGCTGAATCTATAGAGGACAGTACATTCATGGTACAATGGCAGTCGGTTATCGGGAGTAGTATTGATCTGCCATAGGTCCTGGAGAGTGGATGGGCGAGAAAAGAGACGGTTCATCGTTTTATTGATCCCGAACCCCTCAGCATGGCGTATGTGGTGGTAGCAGCGCGATTGATGCGTCCAGGTGGAGAACGTGGATCAATCTGTCAAAGGATGATGGGATGTGCATCGAATATACTGTATCATGTGGACTTACATCATCGAAGAACCTACTAGTCGGCATTGGAGCGCGTCTGTGGGTCTGGGACAATTTTCTGCAGGGCTGAAGCTAAGGATCGTACAAAATAACGAGGGTGAAAGTGTACCTTGAGAATTTTCTCAGTGGACTAGACTATATAACAGGTCAGCGTGAAATATGACACCATGAGAGTATTTGATCACCCGTTGAAACTCCCTCTGACTGACTCTGAGGAGCTGTCCATATTCGAATGAACTTGTTGGTACAGCTAGTTATAATGAGCTGGCTGTCCTTGGAAAATGTCGAACACAAGACAATATCAGGGTGCTCGATTGGCTCGCCGATGGGTTCGAATGTGGTCGCATCAAGGAACCGCGTTGTCTTCAAGCATCGTAGTATGATGTGATTGCTAAGATTAATATCGTGCCATTGGGAGCAGTGGAAAACTTCTTTCAAGTTAGTGTGCGCGTCGAACTGTTTGACGGTGTCTCCAGTAGTGGCATCTGACAGGACAGGGTATAGAGCCGCGAGGGTATACTGTTAGTACAAATCTAAATCGCATATAGGGGGTATAAATGCAGAAGAAAACCGCAGCAGAAGCGACTCGGACCTATAATGCCAACCATACTCATCAGTGGGGATGCATTACCAGGCTCCATGCAGTAGAATCAAACAGTGAAAGACTCTTACATAGTACGTGTACTACAGCATTGCGAGAAAATTAGTTATATGGAGGTGCCAAGCCGTTCACTGGGGCACTCATCCCCAAGGTTCTTGCGTATTTTTTTCTATCACCACCGAGCAGGGAACGCCCGCCCGCGGATGAAAGAGAGTGAAGTGAGCTCCTGCTGCTAGCTGGTGAAGCGCAGGCAGGAACAACCCAGCCTATGCACAATTTTCAGTCTTCTCGAGCCAGAAGGCAGATAGTATTTGTTGGAAGAGGAAGCTAGAATTGTGTGAATCAAACAGTTGAAACACCTGCATAGCGAGGTGGCAGCACTAAGAACAGAAAATCTCGTTGATGTTTGTATCTGCTTGAGAAACAACTGAACCGAGTCAAGTGCCTGAATGTACCTCGTGCACGAAGAAATTGGATGTGTTTGAAGAACGACGCGAGGATTGAGATGCAGAGACCAGCCGCTTGCCAGCCACAGGAATGCATTGAGGGTGACCGGTGAAGGACGCCGTCGTAGGTCAAATTAACTGCAGGGGATATGGCTAAATGTATCAAACAGACAATGTATATGGGTTGGAGATGCCAGAAAGGGATGAGGGTGAACAAGGACGCGACATAGACCCTTATGTGACATGGCTAAAAGGAAATCGTGTGCATATGAAAAGCAGCGACGGATGGGGGTTTGGGGGCTGCATTCGCCCAGGGCAGGTGTTGAAGAAAAACAGGAAAAAGGCGAAAGGCGAAAGAAATCAAGTGTCCTGGGTTGCCCGGAGGGCCAAGACGAATCATTTTCAACAGCGCATTTCGATACAGTGCCGATACGGATCTGGGAGCCATCTTTGAAAAAGAGCGTCAAGCATGAATAACAAAATTGCTCACCACCAGACTACTGTGTCTTCATAAAGTTCTGGTCCTTGATGCGCTGTTGATTCTCCTTTCTGAGCCGTTTCTTCTCTGCCTTGCCTCCAGGCCCGTCATCTTCATATACTTTCGGCTTCAGAAGGTCCCATAACCATGAAGGATACTCGTCATCAGGTAGAGCTATTACTGGAGGCTGTCCTTTCAGATAATTCAATCCTTCCAGGATTGTACCGGGTGGACACGACGAAAGTGTCTTTTCTGGTATAGGTGTTAACGTGAAGTACTGTGGTTTCTAATTCTGCATGTTCACCTTCAGTAGCCGACGCGTCTTTTGCACTTGTGTTCAATACCCGTTCTGTATTCAAGCTCTTCACAGCATAGCTGCGTGCAAGACACGGAGAGAACACTTGCCGAATGGACGACCGATAGAGTGCAAGGAAGGACATTGCAGATTTGTGACATATTTGTCACAGCACGATGTAATTAAATCTTAACACAAAATTTGAACAATTTGATATAACGAAGAGTACATATAATCGGATAATTTTTGATACTTCCATATCATTCACTAATTGAATGGCTCCACTAAACGTTCGGCGTCTAGAGTGGAGCAGAAAATATCGAAAAGCGTTGATGAGTTGCGAGGAGAACTACCCTTGGCGGAGTGCCGCTCTCGCTTGATCAGCTCGTCGTACGTTCTTGGCGGTTATCGCTGAATCAAGGCCTTCTGTCTCGGGAATGTTTTCTGCGCTTGTTATCGCACCGAGTGCGAGGCTCAAGGCAATCTGACTTTGGCCAGTGCGGATAGCCATCTCCGATGCATTCCCAAGGGCCACGACAAGCTGCTTTCGAACACCCTTGACCTCCTCGGCATACTTTCCGCGCGTATACCTGTCAAACGAGACCAAGGAGGCTGCAAGCTCTGCAGAGGACATGAAGTGCATCCGAGCGTAACACGAGTTTGATTGAGAAACTTTCCGTCCAGACTCTGTACGAGACTCCACACGCCGGACAGCGATTAGTAGGAATTTTCGTATGATATCGGGATGTGTAATCATTTGTACTTGATCTAAGCAAGTTGCGGTTGAGAGACCATTCGGTGCTTTCTTGAGAGCTTGAATTGAGTCGAGAATGCCCCGTTGAGCAAGCACGGCCAACAATCGCGCGAGCGCTGTAGGGCCCATGACAACTTCCTCTGCGATCTGCAAGGGGGAATCTACCTGGGGAGCTGCATGTGAGTCGCAAACTTGCAGTGCGAACATATCCTGTGTTCGCTCCGCATACATCAGATAGCCTTCTTCGTTTTTCGGGTCTGCTTCTTTTATTTTCTGCGATGCAACGTAGGCCACACGAAGGAGAGACTCCAACTCTACGTTGGTAATCCCGCATGAATCTGCTGCATGACTCAACGTAGTAATCAACCGCAGGACTGTGATCCGTTTGATGCCTGAACAAAACAAAACTCAGTAGTGCAGTATCTTCTGACTCCAGGCACCGCACCTCGTAATTCGAATGCAAGTTGAAACGTCCTTTTTCCAAGGAGAGTTTTTGCGCCATAATTTTTGACGTTGTTGAACAACCTGTGAAAAAAGGCTCAGAGACAAAAGTGCAATCAACAGTAGAAACTGACAACTCGACTTGATTACAATCCTCTTCTTCGACGCTCATCCACACTTCAATCAGCTTTTCGCTCCAATCTTGTCTTTCAGTCAAAATCTTTAGGGCTTGAGACAAAGCTTTCCACTCCTGGGTTCTCGATGAGCCGTCCAACGGCGAAGACACACCAGGTACTACGTAAGGGGGCCATTGGAATAGAAGTGCAAGAATTTCGCATGCAACAGCGTCACTCTGCCGCTCAGGGTACCATGCTGGTCGAGGCGTGATCGCACAATCAAACAACAAATCGACAATTTGCGGTTTCTTCTTCAGAATTTGAAGGCGAAACTTGGTGGGGAGCATGGGATAGGTACAAAGAAGACCTTGAGCAGCCCAGAGAGCATCGTCATGAGCCAGCCCTGAGTATCGCAGAGCACATTTAGCCACATCGGCTTCGGAAGCCTTTGAAAGAGATGAGGAGGAAATGGAGTTAATGTTAATTCCACAGACATGTCTGCAGCCAAAGACCTACATTTTGCCCTCTTAAAACAATTATTCCGCCCTGCCATTTTGTCTCTGGAGCATAGAACTGTTCCACAAAAATTCGGGGTCCTTGGAGCACAAAGACGCAGAGCTTCGCAATAATATCCGCTACCATATCCGCAGGAATCCTGTTGCAAATTAGACCAGCCAAAGAGCGAATGGTACAAGCAGCAAGTCTGCGGTGCGCGCAGAGCCAGCTATCTATGTTCTATGTCATATCCTTCAGATCTCACCAAAACTTGGACATCGCATGTCCCCTCACCTTGAAGCAGAGGTCTACAATGTCGTGATTCATCATTTCCTCAGCAATCGATCTTCTTTCTGCATCTGTCCCTACGTGCAAGAGGTCATCCAACACTGCGAGTCCGCAATAACTGGCCAGAGCATGTCCATTCTTCATGCCGAGCCTAAACGTGCCATATCTCGACGTGATCAAAATCATGACTTCGACTAGGTTGTACTTTAAGCAGGTTTTGATCAAGAAGTTGAAACCGATAGGTGCTCGTTGTGCTTCAATTGCAGTCCTTGACGATGTGGTCCGGTCCCATAGGATGCCCTGAAATAACCGGCAGTTGAAGTCACATTCAAACGATTATGACACAGACGTTACGCACAGTCCATGTACAAAGGAAATCCGGGTCCACTTGGGGGTCTTTGAGTCTGGCAAGGTCTCTAGCCATATAGCTATCCAAGACATCGTGGTTGACAGTATCAAAAGTCCGTTGGATTTCGATTTCGAGTGACTGTTCCCACTGTGCATAGGACTCCGCCATGATAGAAGGGTCATAGGGACCCTTGAATTGATTTGCTGACATATTTTGGTTGGTGGGATGAACTGCGAGTCGGGCGCTATCTGATTCGGATTGACCGTTCAGAACCGTCGAAGCTTGAAGTTGTTGATGTTGCTTTGAAACAATCAGTGCTCATAAGCTGCGAGTGTCGGAGACATCGGAACACAAATCTGGGGGAGGTTAAACCAGCAGCTGAGTACGCTCATACGTGGTTCTGCATCTCATCTGCAAACAACATGTGGACGCTCGAGAGGACTCCTTGGTGAGAGAAATTTGAAACGAGGACAGTGCTACTAGCGAAACCGTATAGCTCAGTTGCAACCGTGCTTGCACGCTGGTAAACCCTCTCAATCTAGGTCAAGAACATGAATATGTAGATGAATATACATTAAATACAAAAACAGGACGTGCAAATATACAGCATAATGCGATTAATCTATCCTGAGATGTCACCATCATCGCAGATTAGTATGACTATAATTGCCCAGTTCCACTCCTATTAGAAAAGCCCCGACCCTGGGAAAAGCTGAGACTCTTCACCGTGGTCTTCCTCTCCATCAAGGCTCTCGTCATCCGCTGGCGTGCGATGGGGCTCGGGGGAGAGATTGTACTCGTGGACTTGAGCTGCAGGTGGATCAAACCCTATAGGTTCGGGCTCGAAAGGATCAATATCTGCATCTGGGATGATTGGTTGTATCGGCTGGACAGGTTGGACAGGTTGAATAGGGCGTGGAGTAGGTTTTGGAGAGGGAGGTGTATATCGTTGAGGTACGCGCGGTGGGTTGGATCTTGGAGGAGAGATGGCTGTTGGGCGCTTTGACCCAGTCGGAGATGCCTGTTCAGGCCGACCTGACAACGACGAGCGTGGTTGAGTTTGCGGTTGTGGAGCCGGAGCCTGAGGTTGTGATCGAGCTGCGGTCCGAGGCTGTATCTCGTATTCGAGCTGAATGCAGTTGTGAGTAGTATTATAAAGCCATTCGAAAATACACCCACAGCAGCAAATACTTCCTCCCTATGTCTCTCACCCACATCTTTGTCGATGCAATAACATAGATACAGCGTATCAGCACTAATATGGTAATGATTAGCATGAGAACGTTGTGCTGGTTGATCAAAACATACACATCCTTGACTAGTCCTACACAAAACAAGGCCCACGATTGCGGTGACACCACCGGCAAGCAACGAAGCTCCCAACGCATAATCAGGTGCACCTAACGTGTGTGCGACAAAAAGATACGTCATAAGTGCGAAGGGGAATGTAAGTGTTAATGGTGCGTAGGTGAGCATCCGTAATGGTGCTGGATGGCATGTCAACTATGATTGTGCGGACCGTAAAGAAGATACGCACGTTCGGTCTTAAATTTCTTGCGGTACCGACCTGCGCTAGCAGTTTCGACGGCAACAGTGAGAGCCCGGGCCCTCCTTGCGCTCACAAAGAAGGGGTCTCCAGTCAACCCAGTATATACGAGCGCATATTTGCTCAAGGATGTTGTAACGCTCTCTAGATATGAGACTGCCATACCTGAACCAAATATTATAGGCTGACACCACGGACGCAATGCAAGCGGCAGGTAGAGCGGAAGCCAGCGCAGAGCCAGGGTGAGGAGCCCTAGCAATCGGATACCCGTGAGAATGAGCGCGCTGAGGACAATCGATCCGAGAGATGGATATGCAGCCCGCATGAGAGCAGCATGGATGATGTGAGTATCGCTTGGCAGTGGAATTGGAACATCAGGGCTGAGGTCATGAGCAAACGAGATAACAACTAAGGAGAAAACAATGCTCACTCGGCAAAATACCAAGCGCCAATAACACCCGCACAACTCGTACGTAGCATCCCCTTTGCGATTCCCCAGCTCCAAAACCACACACCGACCACACCAAATATCGCCCAGTTCGTCCATCCTTGAACATGCCCTTCTAGTGTCCCATTGGGTTCATAGACATAACCAATCAAAAGGAGTCGGAATATTACAGTAATGAATGGTATAGATGCAACCAACATGGCAAGAAGCATCACAGGAGAGAGAGCGAGAAGAAAAGGGTTTGCGATGAGAAGCCGTGTAGTAAGGTCAAGGATAGAGGAAGTTGAATGGATTTCTCGGGGTAAATTCACTAGGCCTCTAGCAGTGATGACGGAGAGAACGAGGGGTACAAGTGAGAATAGTCGAAGACTGGACACCTAATGAGCTTCCGGGGTAACAACAATAAAAAAATGGTGCTCACCCAACTGTCTCACCCCAAGTTGGTTCTTGGTCTCCATCCCACATGAAGCTACCAACGAATGCCCAGATAGCAGAGATAAAAAGTGTAGCTGGTATGAATACTGATGTTGCGATCATGACTGGACGAACAAATATGCGGAGGAGGAAAACGTGGGCATATGCCATAAGAGCGCTCAGAAATGTCAATATGGTAAGCAGGGGTACCGTATGCAGCAGCGTCGTGTATGGGAGCGAAACCTTCCGTCCGTCATCCTTGCGAGTTTTGCCAAAAAATAGTAGCAGAATGGAAAAGAAGACGCATACAG